CCCACCTGTGTTTTTTTTTTTTACAGCACTTGTCACCACTTGACGCATCTCCCGGCATGGGGGACTGTCCGCCCCACAAACACAGGGACGTCCGTGGCCTGTGGGCCGACCGCCCTCCCTGCCCTGGGAGCAGCGGTGGCCTGTTGTTACCAGGACGACGTGGAAACAGGCCGCAAGCTCGCCCCTGCCGCCCGCTCCAGAACTCATTAGTGGCTGGGACTGGGGCCTTGTAACAGGACCCCTGGGTAATCCCCTCTGGGGGCCACCCAGACAAAAGCCAAATTAAGTGGACAGAATTGCAGTCGGGGTGCTGGGAGGCCAGAATTTACCCCCAAGAGCAGACAAAGAAGGTCCCTTCTCGGGTGTGGGCTGCCTGGAGTCTGATTTCCATCCCGTGCAATTTAATGCCACCCTGGGAACCGGGGACAGTTCCCCTACTCGGGGTTGGCACTGACAGTTCTTGGCAGAGCCACCCCTGACGGAACATGGCATCTGCACCTGCCCCCGTCCAGCACCCCCACCCACCCCCTGCCAAGCCTTCCTACCTATCCCTGTCCAGCCCTCCCACCCGCCCCCCGCTCAGCAGCCCCCATCCCCCACCCAGCACCCCCAGCCGCCCCTCGGTGGGTGACCAGACGTGAGGAGGGGTCCCTGGGGGAGCCACGACCTTGGGGGGGTGTGCTCTGGGCTGTGGAAGGCCCCTGTGGAATCTGCTCCCCAGGCGATGCCCTGAAGCCTGTCCACCCCCCTCCCCCACCACACAGGCTTGGTTGGTGGGGGCCTCTAGGCAGGCGCTGGCTACCCTGGGGCCCCCACAGGGCTGCGGGGCGTGGAAGACGAGCAAGGGGTAGCACGTCTTTGACATCAGCTGGTCATGGCCTTGGACTTGGCCAACCCCCCGGAACCCCAGCCCCAGAAGCTGCTTGGAAACTTGAGTGACCTCCCCTCTGGGAGACTCAGTTTACTCAGCAGTCACCGGGGAGATGGCCTCCCTGCACTTACTATCAGGAGGCTTGGCTGAGATGTCTTGGTGCTGGCCGCCTCTGGCCGCCTGGCCAGAAGCTGTGTCTGGTGGCGGTGGTCATAGTGACGGGTTGAGAAGCCCCCAGGTGTGGGGGGGTTTCGGGAGCGGGAAGGGGACCCCCACACTGGCACCGCTGGCGGGGCTGCAGGGAGGATGCCCACACCAACAAGGAGGCATCGTCCTGGCCTTGCTCCAGTGCTGAACACGTGGCCCCTCGGGGCTTCAGCCTCTAGACTGGCTGAGGGGCTGGTGGGCCAGGGGGGTTGGAAGTGCCGGGCTGGGCATGTGATGCCCCTCCCACCGTGGTGGGCGAGGGCAGGGCCTGAGCACAGCTTCGGACCCCCATCCAGATCCCACACATGATAGCCGGGTATGCAGCCAGGGCAAGGCCCTCTGACTCCTACAGATGAAGTCTGCCTGAGCCCCTCTGATGACCCAGGAGACGGGGAGCACACCCCCTGGGGTCACTGTTGATGAGATCGTCCATCCCCCTCCCCGCAGATGCCTCAACCACTCAAGCACAGCTGGATATTCACTGTGATCAAGAACTCTCCTGCCAGCTGGACCCAGGGGCATCCAGGGGACGTTTGGAAACACTCATGACACTAAAGATATCCTTGATACTGAAATCTTTCCCTTGAAAGTGAAAGTGAAAATCGTTTAGTCGTGTCTGACTCTTTGCAACCCCATGGGCTGGACAGTCCATGGAATTTTCCCGGCCAGAATACGGGAGTGGGAGGGTTTTCCCTTCTCCAGGGGATCTTCCTTACCCAGGGATCGAACCCAGGTCTCCCGCAGTGTGGGCGGATTCTTTACCAGCTGAGCCACCAGGGAAGCCCAGAATCCTTCCCTTGGGAGAGCAGAAATCACCAGCTCAGCCCTGAGAGAGCTGGTGCACGGGGAGCTGACCCAGGGCACTGCTCTGGGTCCCGAGTCCACGTAGGTGGTCAGGCGGCCTTGTAGAGACCCCTGAGTTTGGCGTCCCCGCTCTCAGGGAGGACAGCCACATCACCTTCCAGAAGGCACACGGAGGCCAGGAATCAGCCAGTGAGCGGCAGATCCAGGGTCTTCGCTGATGTGTCAGTCCAGGAGCTTGAGGTGTTCCTGGGTCCGGGTGGCCCCACATCCAGTGACTGCTGTCCTCATAGGAGAAAATCAGAGTGAGATTCGAGACAGACACAGAGAAGCCGTGTGAAGGGGGAGCAGAGACCGCAGTGATGCAGCCACAAGCCAGGGACGCCTGGAGCCACCAGCAGCAGGTAGAGGCAGGAGGGACCCTCCCAGGGAGCCTCCGAAGCGAGCACAGCCATGCCCACGCCTTCATTTAGGACTTCTGGCCCCTAGAACTGGGAGAGAGTCCATTTCTACTGTTTCCCACCATCCAGGCTGTGACATCTGTTACAAGGGATCAGGGACACTGAGTCACAGCAGCTCCCCTGACCCGGGGCAGGGGCATCCCGGCTAAGAGTCTGTGCCCCGCTTCCTCCAGCCCCCCACCCCCACCCCACCCTCTTCCCCGCCCCCACCCCCATTGCCGCAGGAGTCGGGGAGGAAGCTTAGGACCCCTGGCCGGACCTGAAAAGTGAACTGACAAGGACGGCTGAACAGAGAAAAACCAACAACCTGTTTCGTGTAAGTCTCCCCGCTAAGGAAGTGAACACCCGGAGGGGCAGTGAGCCCCGGGCTGTGACCAGGTGTAAGGGGAGCAGGCAGTCCTGGAGGAACCAGGAAGGTCAGGAGTGTCAGGCGAGCAGAGTAAGCGGGGAGCTTAGCAAGGCCTGCCAGTTAGGATTTTGCCCAGAGGCCTGGTCTTTGGAGATGAGGAGGGAAGAGAAGGTGGGGAAAGGTCAGAGCGACCTTCCTGCTTCCATATTTTTCTCCGACTCCTTCAGCTTTAACATTCATCAAGCCCAGGTGCTGTATTTTGGGATAGTGTATCCCGAACCCCATCACAAGCTCCTGCTCCGTCCCTCATCCACTCACAGGCCTCGGACACTCCCACTGTGGTCCAAGGGGACCCAGCGCTCCAGCACAGGCCTAGACCACCCTCCAGTGGTTCCAAGTGGGGTCAGCCATGTGGAAGGGGACTCGGGAGCTGCTGGAGAATGTGCCAGGTGGAAGACACAGCAGGTGAAAAGGTCCTGAGGCTGAAGACTCAGGAAGGAGCCGGGTCCCAGGTGGGGAGTGGGGCGGAGTGGGGATGTAGGAGGTGGGCTGCTGTCCCCAGCACTGGCAGAGGACCGGGAAGAAGGCCAGCCCTAGGACCGCCCCATCCTTTCTCATCTCTGGGCTGCAGGGACCTAGTGGCTCCCAGTGAGAGCTCCCTGAGGGCAGGGCGGGCCTGGGGGTCCCTGGGAGCCAGGGAACTGGCGTGAACAGACCCTTGTGGAAGTCGGGGAGAGGCTTTTCCAGGGCACCACTCTGGGCAGCCCCTGGGCAGCCGGAAGACCCAGTCAAGAGGCCCCAGAGGCTACTTGGGCAGCTGGTCCAGACTTCCTGCCCACCTGAGTTCGCCCAGACTGTCTAGTGAGGCAGCCATGCCAGGGGCAGACTCATGGGGCCTGGGTTCCAGGGCCCTGAGCACCGACCTCCCTCCCAAGGGCAGGTCTGTGGGGCAGGGGGCTGAGGGCCACGCAGGAGGCTGTGTACCCCAGGGCCTCCTGACCCTTGACCCTTGCCCGGGCCACTTCCTGCCTCCTTTTCCTCCCTGGGTTCAACAGAGACACTATTGTTCAGACTGGTGGAGACCTGCCGGCCTCCCCCGTCCCCACTCTCGGTGACCCAGGGATGGCACCCCACCCCCTCCCAACCCAAAACTAAATAAAATAAATAGATGGGACTTCCGAGGGGGTGCTGGAGGAGCGGGCTGTCCAAATGCAATCAGCCAAAAAGGCCTGAGCGCCTGGGAAACATTCATTCATCAGCATAATGGCTCTGCAGTGGAGACTGGAGGCCGGTTAGGGCTTTGTCTCAGGTGCCAGCGCCTAAGCCCCTGCCCGGCAGGAATGTGGGCCCGGCCCGGAGCACCTGAAGCGAAACCCAACACCTCTGCCCGGTGACTCGGTGACTCCCATCCTCTCAGCTTTGCGGGATTCTGGGGCCCAGCAATTTCTCCAGCACTTTCCCTGGGATCAGCTCTTCACTGAGGTCATAAATCTTTTTCTTCCAAAATGCAGACCTCATTATTTTTGGTTTCTGGCACAGATTTGCAGCATATTAGACCAGGGATCCCGGGGCTGGGGTCTAAAGTCCTAGATGAGTTTGTGAATTGCATTCGTGGCAAGGTTGCCGTTCCCCGCCTCGGTGGCACCACAGCCAACAAGGACCCTCCCTAGGTCAGAGGCCCAGTTCCACCCTCCTGGTCCGAGAGGACACGGTCCTCCCTCTGCCCAGGGCCATCGTCCTAGGTGCCACCTCCAGTCTTGACCAGAGTAGCTGGCAGGGGTATCACTTTCCTCAATGGTTCTGGAAGCTGCCGTGCAGGGGGGTTGGCATTCATGATCCAGCCCTATCTGTTCTGAAATAGTCGCAAGTCCTCACGTAATAGCAGGTCAGCTGGCTGAACGCTCCCTGCGTGCAGGGAGCCATGGGGGCCACGCCATTTCTCTCTAGCGGCTGTATCTTCATCCCTTAGATGAGAGATGAGGCTCAGAGAGCAGGCGGGGGAGGCCACGGGAGCCCCCAATTTGATCCCAAGGCCTCTGTCCATCCCTCACCCCTAGGGTCACACCTGGCACAGTCCTACGGCCGCCCGACAGTGAAGGGCCGGGAAGCACTCCGAGGGACTTTACCAGCGTGGCCGCTGTCCACCTGGAACCCTGCCTCTGAGAATGGCAAGAAGGACAAGCCCATTATTACTACAGAGGTTTCTAGAAATTTTTGACCAAAAGCCAACATGTCCATTGGGAGCAGAGGACCAGAAGGAATAGGCCATGAGTTGGGAGAAAGTCTTTGCGGGGCGGTGGGGGTGGGGTACCCAGCTCGGCCACAATCTGCGTGTCCTCCCTGCCTAGCGCCCCAGGCTCCCGCACCGTCTCCTGGCCCCGCTCCCTCCTGTGGGAAGGGGACTGGTGGGAGCGGGGGGCCCAGCCGGCGCCCCTCCTCAGCCACTAACTCTGGACAAACACCGTGACCTAAACCACAGCCGGGAGCACCAACCTTTTCATCAAGAAAGATTTAATTTATTGGGAGTGCGGAGCCACAAATCACAGGCCTGGAGATTTATCGCCTCCAGGAGTGGAATTGACCACGGAGAGAAGGCAACATCCCCAAGCTATACTCGCTCCTCTAATAAAGTTGAAAATGTAAAATACACCCGTCCCACCCTGGGCGCCGGGCGCTGTGGGCAGTGGCCCATGAGTTTATGGTGGGAAGTAACATATGCCTCTCGTCACCCCATCCTTCCGGGGAGACTCAGAGAGGCAGTGGGGACCTCCCAGGCCACGGCGGGTATCCACGATTTAGGTGACAGCTGCCCGGAGCTGAAACAGGCTGGGAAGGTGCAGGCCTGGGTGGGGGGTGGGGCGGGGGCTCCCCGACGCCCCCTTCCGCTTGCTCCGCCCTGCCCCTGGAAACACCTCAGCGGTGGAGAGCCCCTGACCCAGAGGGCTCCTGTCTGGGGAGACAGCCTTAGGAGAAAAGCTAATCCCTGCCCCTCCGGCCTTAATCTGCCCTCAGGAAATGCCCGTTTCCCAGGCCGGCCTCCTGGAGATCTGAGATTCCGGTGCTCCCTGGCAGGAGTCATGGGCTCTCAGACTGCCTGAATCCCACCTCTCCACTTACAGCTGGGAAACTGAGGCCCAGAGGGGGTGGGCTTCCCTCTGCCACGGGCAGCCCCCCGCAGACCACTGCAGGCACTTCCCTGGCCAGGATGGGACAAGTGTCCTCCAGAGGCCCTCTGAGGCCCTGGCCCTGGCCCTGGAACCCCGACCCCCTGCAGACACGAGGGGCGGCCCCCGCCTGCTGGCCAGGCCGCACGTGTGCTCTGGCCGTGGTCTCAGCCCTGGGGGTGAAGCTCTGCCCTTGGTCGGAACCCACTTCTACCAAAGAGTGCGCGCCCGCATTCACCCGGCAGGGCTCATCCGAATGACAGTGCAGAGTGTCCCTCTGCCCTCCGCCCAGCCCGGGACCCTGGTGACTTTGAGCCCCTCCAGCAGGGAACTGGAGGAGCGGCTCTGAAGCAGTAGGTGGTGGGGAGGCTGGGGGGCAGGAACCAGGTGTGCATGTGCCTGGGTGCTCACGTGTGCGGACCGGGGGGTGTGCACCATGGGCATGTGTGTTCACGCACACGTTCCCAGGCACGTGAGTGGCCGTGATGTTGCCATGTACACGTGTGTCAGCATGGGCACGCAGTTGCACACGTAAGAGCATGTGTACACTCCTGGGGCGAGTGCAGACGCCTGCAGGGGGCTCACCAGGCACCCCCAGGCCTCAGATCCCAGAGTCCTGAGACCCCCGGGATGGGGGAAGACTTGGTCCTCTCAGCGGGCCCCCCACCCACTGCTCCTCCCCAGAGGGCCGCACCCTGGGCCGCCCTCCCGACAGCTCCAGGACCACCCACTTGTCCAGCCCCTGCCTCCCCCACACCCAGCACTCTACTTGATGTCTTTCTCATAAGGAGTTTTAAATTATAAGCCTAAATGAGGTCCATAAATTTGACTTCATAAAATTCCACGCACATCATTTTCCAGCAGAAAAGGCTAAGAAATATTTTCCTGGAGACCCCCTGCGTCCCTCTCCCTGCGCAGTATAACATTTATTCTAATATTAAAATGGCAGGTGTTCTATAAATCGTGAGTCATTAGCACGCTTCATTGATTTTTTTCCCCGCAGCTCCCAGCCCGGGGAGAAGCCACGTGTAGATCCCAGTCTATTCAATTGAAATTCATACCCTATTTGGGGGTCAAAGAGCGGGACCCCACGAGCTTGAACTTCTATCAGCCTAAAGCTGATCAATACTTGGAGATATATTGGGGGCCGGCGGCTCACACAGATTAAGTGGCCATAAATGCGAGGTGTTGGGGCCGGCCAGCGGAGAGGAGGCGGAAGACCGGGCCTGCTGCCTGTCCAGTCAGGAAGGGGCTTTCCGGGGCCGTGGGGGCAGGGGTTCACCAGAGGTGCTGGACCTGGGTGGAGCGAATGTGGGGCTCAGCTGGGTGAGGGGCCCCTGGCCCACCCCGATCCCTCAGAGGTGGGGAAGGCAGAAGACACTTGAGGGGAACAGGGGGCACCCTTTTTTAAATTAATTTATTCTTTATTGAAGGATAATTGCTTCACAGAATTTTTCTCTTTTCTGTCAAACCTCAACTTGAATCAGCCATAGGCATACATACATCCCCTCCCTTTCGAATCTCCCTCCCATCTCCCTTCCCACCCCACACCTCTGGGTTGATACAGAACCCCGGTTTGAGTTTCCTGAGCCAGAGGGCAAATCCCGGTTAGCTCTCCATTTTCCATATGGTGATGTAAGTTTCCCTGTTACTCTCTCCACGCATCTCACCCTCTCCTCCCCTCTCCCCATGTCCATAGGTCTGTTCTCTGTGTGTTTCTCCACTGCTGCCCTGTACATAAATTCTTCAGTACCATTTTTCTAGGTTCCGTATATATGTGTTAGAATATGGTATTTCTCTTTCTGACTCACTTCACTCTGTCTAATAGGTTCTAGGTGGCACCCTTGTTTTTAATTGTAACAAGGGATTCAAGATCCAGCTGCAGATCTTTGTCCTGCTGTTTTGGGGTCTCTGAGCTGTCCGACCGTCTGTGCAGCCACTTCCCTCCCGCACTCAAGCGCACACGGGCAGCTTCCCTACCTGTTGCACCCATGGATGCCGACCATCTGGGCCTCTCTGGCCCTGCCTGGGGTTCCAGTGCATTCTGCCGGGACCCCTGGCCCCTCGAGGCAGGCCCAGGCGGTCCCCCCTCCCTGCGCCCCTTCAAGGCCCTGGGTGACATCGAACCCCCAACACCTCAAAGAACCCACTGTGTCCCACTCTGGGAGAACCATGCAAGGTCTGCAAAAGCCAGCCCTCACCCCGGCCCCACCCTCTACGAAGGGCGCATGGGGTCAGCACTTGCGTGCAGGGCCCCGGAAGGGTCGGGCTGACCCCACCTCTCCTCCCCCCAGAAGTGGGTCCCCCTGGCTCTGCGGATGCTGAAAAGGCACGTCCTTGCTGTGCCCTTGTGGTGGGGTCACTGTTGCGTGAGGATGGCATGCCCTCCCCTTCCCGCCCCCTCATATATCACGCCCACCCAACCCCACGTGCAGCTCTGGCCTCCACCGCAGAAGGCACGCGATCTGCTTAGTTATTAGGGAGATAAATAATTTGAACTCTAGCCTTTTACCTTTTCCCCTAGCAGGCAGGCCACCCCCACGCCCCTTGGGCGCCCAGCCTGGAGGAGCAATTTCATTAGGAGCCCTGGCAGCTGGCAGAGACCACCCTGCGAGGCCAGCAAGGAGAATTTCTTTATGGAGATGAGACGTAGGAATATGAAAATTTAAGCCGGAGCGGATGTAATTTAACTTTGCATTATTTATCGGGGACACAAATCCTTTCTAATATTGGCGGATTTGGGAGGGCTGGGCAGGGCTGCTGGGGCCTTTGGGGACAGAGGGGGAGGCCGGGGGCCTGCTTCCCACCCCCTCTGCCTGTAACAAGGGGACGGAGGAGTCGAGAGCACCAGTGGGCAGGAGGTGAGTTTATAGATGTCCATCCAGGCTAGGCGGCCAAAGCAGGGGCAGGGAGGCAGGCACCAGGCGGGGGAAGGTCAGAGGCCCTGGAGGTGCCTGGGGCCCAACCCCGCTCCCAGCTGACTCATTTCGCCCTGCCCCCAGGGTGAGCAAGGCCCTGAGGACACACACACACACACACACACACACACACACACACACACACACACACACACACGGGCCCCTCCCAGCCCTGGAGGCCATAGGCCTGACGTGCTGGAGGCCTCAGGGCGGGATGCTCCACTCCAGGCCTCTCCTAAGCTTCTGGTGGGGCTCCCAATCCCCTGCTCCCCATGGATCGTAGACGCCAGGACCATCTTCCCACTGGCGTCCCTATGTCCCTGCGTCTGAGATTCCCTCATCTCTGAAGGACACTAGTCAGGGCCCACCACACCTGCCTCCTGCCAACACAGTCACACCTGCAAAGTCCCCGTTTCTAAATACGGTTCCCTTCCTAGGTGCTGCGGGTAAGAGGGGGCCCTCTGTTTTGGGGGCACATGATTCAGCCCACAGCTGTTGTGGGGGGGCGACATCTGCCACCTCACACTCAGAGGATGTTCAGAGGACGGAATAGCGGAGTGTGAAGCTGGGCAACAAAAATTTGATTTATTCTGTGCTCTTGAATGTTTTTTTTTTTCATAGAAAAGATGATCTGGTGTAATTTGGTTTTTAAAATATTCAGTTAACCAAAACTCCAGCTGTTTGCTAAGTTGTAAATTCAGTTTACAAATATGATTCTATTATGGAGCTTAGCAAATTCTAAGAACAATGCTAAGGAACTTTTACAACTCTATGAAACTCCCTTAAACATTTAGACTCCACCTAAAGTCTTAATATTTTATCTCCTTAAAAAAATTTTTTTTAATATCCTTGTTCATAACTTTGGTTTTGGGACATAACAAAGAAAAATTCCCCAAAGCATAAACAATCACATATCTAAAAAAACACAGCAGGGACTTCCCAGGTGGTCCTGTGGTTAAGACTGTGCTTCCAACGCAGGGGGCAAGGGTTCAATCCCTGTTCAGGGAATTAAGATCCCACATGCTGTGCATCATGTGGCCAAAAAAATGAATAAATAAAATGAATAAAAAATAAAAAACATAGTAAACTTAGAAACAGGGAGACTCATGTCTTCTTAGGTTTCCAACGCTGTTTACAAAGTCAGTAAGAGACTGATCTAAAAGTTTGAATCCGTCATTTAATTTAACGTATCAGCTGGAATCACAAGCTGGTTGATGACTGATGGGCCAAGATTAAAACCAGAAAACAGCAAGTAGCAGATTCCTTGAAGCCCAATCGGGGAAGCAGTCCACATGGAATTCTGCATTTTCCTGGCTTGGAGCTGCTCCCTTCCTGAAGACACAGGAGGTGAGGCCGTGGGCTCCGCAGTGGCCCTCCTCTCTCGGCCACTGCTCTGGGTCTCCGTCCCCCTGTTCCGGACGGCCCCGGGATAGTGAAGCTGGACCCAGGACAGCAGGGTCCAGGGTCCCTGGGGGCCTGGGTGCAGGAGGGAGGAGGCAGCCTAGTCCGGCCCCTAAGGCTGCCTGGGCTCCCCCACCCCCACAGCTGTCCCCCGACCCTGACCTCATGAGCATTAACCCCTCTCATCTCATTGTCAGCGACTGGGGGAAGCCAGGAGACAGTTCCATTGAAAAAAATCCTTCAGAGGGTTTGTTAAAGGACATGACAGGAGGTGGGCCGGCTGGGCCTCTTGGGGAGGGGGCTCCCACTGGCCTAGACCCTCGTGGGGCACCCGCCCACCCACTGGCCGCCTCCAGCCTATGCACAAAGCGCCAGATGGACAAGATGCACGGCCAGATGTAGGGGTGGACGGCGCAGGCCGGCGGGATGGGTGAGGGGTTGCATGGGCTTCTTCTCAGGGCCAGCCCCCTGGAGTCGGCCCCCAGACCCACTGGGGCCCCCAGCTCATCGGCCAGCAGGGAGTATGCCCGCGTGTCTGGGCCGGAGGAGGGGCCGGGAGCCAGAAGGGGAGACCTCCAAGGGGCTCAGGATGGCCCGGAGGTGGGGAAAGGTGGAAAGGCGGGGGCCACCTCTGAGTGATGGCGTCGCATGAATGGGTGACCTGAGGAGCAGCGGCGGCTTGGTCCTCACGATTCTCCTGCACCCCCACCCCTCCTGGTTTGGACCCACCTCCTGCCCGCTCCCCAGCTGGTCCCCAGGGCGCCCCTTCCATCTCTGTGTCCTCCGGAGACCGTGGCCGAAAGCTGCCCAAACCCAGCGTCTAACCCCAGATGCGAAAAGGACAGGAAGTCTGCCCAGGTTTGGTCCCTCAGTCAGGGAGATGCCCCTGGAGAAGGTAGAGGCTGACCCTTCCCCGGTGGGTCCTGGACTTGGAGACATACAGGGAGGGGCAGCCGTGCCAGCCTGGCGAGTGGCCCCCTCCTGCCCAGACGGGACCCTGTCGATTCTGCCGGGAGCTGACACCTCCCCCGGGAGACCAGTACAAACAACGGGAGGGGGTTATTGGGCAGTCAGACCTCAAATAAGGCCACCAGCAGACACATCTCAGAAGGGACACTTGGTGGCCCAGGAAACGGCCGGGCTGTGACACCACAGAGAAGCAGGTCACGAAGCAGCTGTGTACAGTTGTGACCCCCACCCCCGACACACGAGCCACAGAGAGCCAAGTCCGGACGGAGCTCCGCCGACATGGCATCTTTGTTAGAGGAACTCAGGGCACCGGGGAGGGGGCGGTGAGGTTTGTTTTTCTACGTTTGTCAAATTTTGCAGGATGAGCACACATCACTTTCCTAAGCAGAGCAGGAGCCATCGGCATTAGTTTGTAAGCCTGGGCAGCAGCCTCTGCCCTCTTGACCTAGGAGATGGGCCAGGAGGCCAGGGACCCCCAGGAGACCCCAGGGAGGGCCCCAGCAGCTCTCACCACCCAGCCGTCTTTCAGATCCCTGGAGGGACCCGGGCTCCGTGGTCCCCGGGCTCCGTGGTCCCCACGGGTGACATCATCTCTCCAGGCAGTCGGGTACCCCACGCCCCCATATTTCACCTCCCTGCCAGCCAGCCAGCCCTCCCCTACCGCCCCCCCCCCACTCCCCGCTCCATTCTGAAGCCTGGTGTCACCTGAAGGTTGAGGGGAGAACTCTGCCCACCTCAGTTACGACCTGGCTCAGGGCTCAGGCCGTGGCCCATAAAACTCCTGCTTTCTGGTCCCCCTCGGCCCTGCCAGCAGTGTGTCCAGAGCCCACCCCCACCGGGCGTCCTTTTAACTAATAGGGCACTTAGTTTAATGAGGAGAGTTTGCATAAGAGGGACTTGCTAATTAAACTTTAAACCTTGTCATTCTAAAGATTAGCCAAGCTCTGAACGGAGAGCATTTGTCATGGAGAGAGGGAGCCCCCCTCCCTGCAAGAAAAGGCAAGCTGAGGGTCTTGCCTCAGCAGCTTCTGGCTGACCAGCCAAGTCAGAATCTTCCGGAAGGTATAGCAAACCCCTGCCCCAGGTCAGGAACGTCCGAGGTGGCACTAGCGGTAAGGCCTCCCCTACCAGTGTAGGAGGCCTAAGAGATGCAGGTCTGATCCCTGGGTTGGGAAGATGACCCAGAGCAGGAAATGGCAACCCACTCCAGTACTCTTGCCTGGAGAATCCCAGGGACAGAGGAGCCTGAATGGGCTACAGTCCACGGGGTTGCAGAGAGTCAGACACGGCTGAGGCAACTGAGCACGCACGGCCCCAGGACGAGCCTGGCTTCCAAGGCCCCCGTGGAGGGAACGCATTCCCCCCACCCCACCCGGAAGCCAGGCTTAACACTCCGGCCATAGGTTTTCTGGAGGAGTCAGTGTCACGTGAGGTGCCCGAGCAGCGTGGAGGCTTGGCGACCCCTTCCTTCCCGTCACCCCTCCCCTCACCCGCCTGCCATCACCTGGGGACCCGTCCCGCAGCTCAGAGCTGGCCGTGGCTGGCTGGCCGGCCTCCCCTGCCCTCCAGAGTGCAGAAGCCCCAGCAGCCACGGCCAGCTCTGACCACGCACCCAGCCTGCAGCCAGCTTTGATCCCCCAGCAAAGAAAGAAACTGGGGGGTGGGGGGCAGCATGTGAAGGGAATGTGAATCACCATGTCACTGTATCACCCGGGAACATCACAGGTCTTAACCTCTGACCTTTCTGGAGGTCAAACCAGGCTGGCGGTCAGGGCAGGCTGCCTTGGGGACAATGGCCAGGGGACACAACTGAGCCACTCCCCAAATGACCGCCAGGCCGGGAGGGCCTCCCCCCAGCAGTGGGGTCTTCCATGTCCCGCTCTGGTCCTGACAAGCCCTTTCGGGGAGGGGCAGAGGGTCATTAGCATCCATTCACTTGCTGGAAGCTGGTGACAGCAGGCCGCTGTCCTCAGCTGGGGAGCGTGCCCCTGTGGCCAGGCCCCTGTCTTGCAGGTGGGGTCCGGGGATGTCCCCCTGTCCCCGCAGCAATGCTTAGGACCCTCTGTGTGTGCCAGCCTGGAGGGGAGGGGGCAGGGGGAGGGGCTCTGGGAGGGCCTTTGAGGGACCCCTCTAGGGGGAGGGAGCTCTTGAAGGGTGGGAGCCTGATGCTGATCCCAGGAGCCAGCTGGACAGGGGGCGGGGTGGGGGGGTGGGGGGGGGGAGGGGGCTCTAACGAGGCCCCACTTGCTCTCCTAATCACACGATTTCCTGTTCTTCGTGTTCGCTGATCGGCTGTGAGGCAGCCCTGCCTGGGAGGGGTGAGTGGGGCACCCTTTATATAAGTGAGGTGAAATCCACACAACATAAAATGAACCATATTACAGCCTACAAGGTGCAGCCACCACCTGAGTCAAAATACCTCCGTCCTGCCCAAAGAGAAACCCCGCATAAGTCACTCCTTATCCTGCCCACTCCATGACCTCTAATCCGCTTCCTGTCTCTATGGATTCACCTGTTCTGGACACTTAGTAGAGACTGAATTATACAATGTGTGGCCTTTTGTGTCTGGCTGGGTCCGGAAGATCTCCTGGAGAAGGGACAGGCTCCCCCCTCCAGTATTCCTGGTCTTCCCCTGTGGCTCAGCTGGTAAAGAATCCGCCTGCAATGTGGGCGACCTGGGTTCGATCCTGGGTTGGGAAGACCCCTGGGAGGCAGGAAAGGCCACCCACTCCAGTGTTCTGGCCTGGAGAATTCCATGGACTGCAGTCCACAGGGCCGCAAAGAGTTGGACATGAGCGACTTTCACTTCACTCCTTCACCCAGCACCTTTCTAACTTCCCGAGTTGTAGCAAGTCTGTGCCCCCCTCCACGGCAGAGGTGGACCACTGTTAGCAGTCACGCACGGATGGATGGGGTTTTGGGCCACTTCCACCTTGTGGCTGCAGCGAACACACTTGCACAGGTGCTTGTCTGAGTCCCTGTTTTCGGGTCCTTTGGGCTTGACCTAGGAGTGAAATGGCGGCATCCCGTGGTGATTCAAGGTTTCCATCTCTGGACCCATCAAGCGGTCCTCCTCAGCCGCTCCGTGGACATTCCCACCAGCAGTGCCTGGGGCTCTGATCTCTCCCCTCCCATCATCCTGACCGCGTGGAGCAGCATCTCCAGGGCTCTGATCCCTGTTTCCCTGGAGCCGGGGCTGTGAGCGCCTGCTCCTGGGCGCGACGACCAGGATCACCCTTTTGATGGATGAGGACACAGCGTGCCGTGGTGCTGAGCAGAGGCCACCCACCAATGTGGGGCTGGACCACGGCGTCCCCCCGGCCCTCAGGTTCTAGTGTGAGAAATGTGAAAGCAAAAATGTTAGTCACTCAGCCGTGCCTGATTCTTTGAAGCCCTATGGACTGTGGCCCGCCAGACTCCTTGGTCCATGGGATTTTCCCGGCAAGAATACCAGAGTGGATAGCCATTCACTTCTCCAGGAGATCTTCCCAATCCAGGGATCGAACCCAGGCCTCCCTCATTGCAAACAAATCCTTTACCATCTGAGATGCCAGGGAAGCCGCCAGGTTCTCGGATGGGGTCCAAGTGGACAAGGACCTCCTCCAGCCATTCCTCATCCTGCCTGCCCACTGGCAGGGCAGACACTGACGAAGCAGGGCAGATGGGCATGAGCCACCCCGACTCCATCTGGGTTCCCCGCCCCCCATTCTCAAGCACAGGGGGACTTCCCTGGCAGTCCAGTCCAGTGCTTTAAGACTTCACCTTCCCATGTAGGGGGTGCAAGTTCCATCCTTAGTCAGGAAGCTAAGACGCCACATGCCTCCCGGCCCCAAATAACAAAGCATAAAACCTGCTTTGGTTTTAAATCCCACTGACCTGGAGGCGGTGGTACCCACTGGACCCAAGGAAGCTGCACATATTCAGAACTTGGAACACAGAGCTTCAGGTTGTAAGAAATTCAATGAAGACTTTAAAAATGGTCCACATCAAAAAAAAAAAAAAAAGGCAGCAGCCCAGGGCACAGTAGGGCTTTCAGAACCTGAGGGGGAGTGGTGTTCCCCTCACAGCAGTAGGGGCTCGGTCCTGGGGCCACCCTGTCCACACCCCTGCCTCGGCGCAGGTCTGATCCAAGCCTGACCAAGGTGGGCATTTGACTTCTGGAACAACAGACTGGGACCCCCCCGCCCCGTCCGATGTGGCTCACGTGCCTTTGCCCTCAGACAGCGTGGGTACGCAGGGCGCTGAGTGTGAGCTGTGTGGAGCGGGGGTGAAGGTGCGTGCCCAGGGGTGTCCCTGGCGGGTGCATCCGTGCCCCACAGAGTTCTGTGTCCCGAGTCCCGGGTGTGTGCAGCTCCCTGGGGTCCGGCGGCTCCCACCGCCTCCCTGTCAGTGGGATTTGCCCGCAGAACCGCGCACAGGGCACTTCAGGGGTGCCTGCTTCCGGCTTTGCCTTGGGAAGTGTCCTAGCGACCCCGGAGAGGAGGTTATCCTTGCTACTCCTCAGGCTCGGAGAAGTTGAGCAGCTCACCCGTGGTCACAGAGCTGCAGCGAGTAAGGAGGACGGAGGGGAGGGCCCCAGGTCCTTAACTGGAGCCCGCGTGCTCTACCAGGTCCTTAACCACAGGCGCTGGGCTCGGGGGGGGGGGGGGCCCTGGACACCCTCGTTCTGTGTCCCTCGTGCTCCCCGGACCTAGCTCCAGCCCCAGCTCTGCAGGTGCGACCCCGGTGGGCATGTCCCACGGTTTGGACGGGCTCTTGGGAACATGTGGAACTGAGGACTGTGTGAGCATCCTCGGGGCTGGCCTCTACACCCGCCTGTGACACGCTCTCTCTCTCTCTCTCTCAGACACACACACACACACACACACACACACACACATGCTCTCTCTCTCACGCACACACACACACACACTTTCTCTCTCACACACATGCATGCACACACACACAAGCTCTCTCTCACACACACGCACACACACACACGCTCCCGCACACGCACACGTGTGCCTCCTGGAATCTGGGGTCTGCAGTTTCCGTACTTCTCTCCCAGGTCTGACTGCATTCCTGCGATGCCCCCGAGACAGCTGCTTCTTAGGCTCCTATCTCTTTTTGAATGCCGAGGGGGGGCTCTGCTGGTCAGGAGGGAATATTTTTATGGTAAAAAATGAGTTGCGCTGCATCAGTGCCGGGAGTGGGAGCCGTCACCGCAGGTCATCCAGGCAGACTGATGAAAATTCTGCTTATGAAGTCACTGCTCCCCCATTAATTAGGGGGGAGGGGGGCCTGCGTGCCACTGCGTACCTCGCCCACGGCCAAAAGCTTGTCAACACTTTCCACGAAGAATGAAAATGTAAATACCTTTCAGATTATTCAATGTCACCAAGGTATGGAAAAAGGTCGGAATGCTGGGTGTCATTTATCTCGTTGTGGTTTTGAAGAGCTTTTTTCTATTAAATTTCTTAAAATTAATGTTTTATGTTGCTCAGAGTAATTTGAACAATTATGGGCTTAAAGAATTGATCATTACAGCCCCTGGGATTCAGAGCTCCTGACTGAGTCCTTTGAAAACCCACTGATTTATCGTTTTGCTACTCAACCAGGCAAGCTCCAGGGATTTGGGTCCCCAACCCCCTCCTGCCCCAGACGGGGGCCAGTCCCCAAGATACACCCGCCCTGATCTTTGGGCGGAAGAGAAGCGAGAAGCAAGTGGGTCCCCAGGTCTCCAGGAGAGGGGTGAGGAAGGAGGGGTGTCTCTGATTCCAGAGCTTTCATCCGCCCTGAGCAAATTTTATATTTAAAAGGAAAGAAGTCCTTTTACATACTGGTCGAAATTGTTTTTATCATTCAGGTATTTACCTTTGATAATGTATGCAATCGGGTTCAAAAATGAAAAGAATGTGATAACACGGTCAAGATAAGTATTCCACTTATGTTAAAATTTAAAGTTCTAAGTATCACGATACAGAGGTTACTGTTTTTCAAAAGTGAACAAGCCCTAGCCCCTCAGGAAAAAAATAACTCAGGTGTGTCCCGCCTCCCCGCCAGGGTGCCTCCCACCCCGAGCCCACCTCCCACCACGGCTGGCAGCTGGCCGCAATTCGGAGGGGCTCTGGGGAGGGCGCGGGGCCGCCTCCTGCTCCAGCCTCCGGAAGGCAGCCCTACCCAGCCCCCCGGCCCCGCCCCCACCCGCTTCGCAGGGCCCTGGCTGCCTGGAGCCGGACCGGCGGGAAAACCCCTCCGGGGCGGGCGCGCCCTGGACTCTGAACTGGGCGCCCGCCGCCTGCATCCGCGGGGAGACGGGCCCCGGGAACCCGCATCCTGGGCTAACATCCACACGCCTCTAGATGCCCCGCCCGGTTAACAGGGTCCAACGTGGGAAATGAGTCGTTGTGGTCTCCAGTGACCCTTGCAGGGGCCCGTAAGATGGGCGTCCATCTTCCTCTGCGAACCCGCCTGAGGTCCTCCCGGCCTGAGATTGGCCCCGCCCGCCTCCTCACTGGGCCTCGGGTTCGGGCTTTGGCCCCCCCAGTCCAGGGTCACGTCCCCAGACTGAGCTGGGCCCGGACCTGGGAGCCCGCTTGTCTGCCCGCGCGGGCCCGCGGGTAGGGGGTCACTCGGGGTCAAGCGCTCCGCCCAAATGGGGAGACAGACCCGTGAGGTCAGCCCACGAGCACTGTCCACTGCTCGGCTGACCGCGAGCCCCACTCAGCTGAGCACTTGCCCCGACAGGCTGGGCCGTGACGCGGGGCGCGGCCCCGACGGGGTCCATTATCCCCCCACCCCCCCAGGACTGGGGTCTGGGGCTCCGTTGCCGCCCGGACGCTCTGCCAGCTGGGAGCCCGCAAACAGGCGGAGGCTCCCTCGGGCACACTTGGCACTTTATTAACCTGTCAGTGCCTGAAAGGTCCCAGGCGGCCTGGGGAAGGTCTCCAGGCTGGGGGTTGGGGCCCGCCGCGACTGGAGGATTTATACTCCCCTCGGGCTCCCGGAGGCGGCAGCGTCGGCCCGCCTCCGCTAGGCTCCCTCCCCAAACCCTGAATCCCACCCAGACGTGCTGCCTTCCTTCCCCTCGAGGGCGCCCCTTGCAGGACAGAGTCCAAAGTGGTTCCCTCCAGGACCGCGCCCCACAAGTGGCTCAGCCACACCCCTGGGAGGCCGAGATCTCGGACCACCAACCCCCAGGCCAGCCTGGGACACCTTTCACCCAGCCACTACGCCTCTGCTCACCGGTTCCCTCCCCCCAATGCTAAATCGCCACCCACCCCCAATTTTGCTCAGCCAAGCTCTTCCCTGGGCGCTCTCCCAGACTGAAGGGTGATGGGGTGGGTGATGGGGTCACTTCTCCATCGATTCCCCGAATTTCCTCCGGAGGGCCTCCCCCATTCCTTGCCATTTCTCCTGGCGGCTCCCAGCAAGATTCTTGGGGGGAGGGGCGGGCATGCTCTGGGTCCCGGGCAACAGCGGGTGCTGGTGAGGGAGCTGACCCTGCTGGGGTGGGCAGGACTGGGGGGCAAGTGGCTGTACCTAAGTCCCTTGGGCTGCCTGGTGGTCGGGGAGGGAGGGGGGACATCTGGGGAGCTCTCCCCATCCTCGCCAGGTCACTTGCTCAGCATCTCACAGCGAGTTAGCAGGTGGCTGGGACTGGAATCCTAGTTGCAGAGCCCCCGGTGACCGCGTTCTCCGGACTACTTGCCTCCTGCAGTCCCCCTCCCCCTGATGAAGCCTGCTCCAAGTGGCGAGCAGTTTTGCTTGGTCCTGTCACCTGGCCACCCCAGCGCCCGCCTCTCCCAGGGACAGGGTGGGAAGGCCCAGCCCCTCCACCCACGGTTGGACCGTCTGTTCTAAGTCTCCATCCAGTGCTCGGAAGCCTGGCGGAGAGAACGGGACAAAGGGGCCCCGATCCACACCAGGTGTCGTCCCTGGCAAGAAGCCAACAGCTACTCCAACGGGGCTTCCAGCTTTCAGAGATCCACCCCCAACCCCCAGCCTCACTGAACGTACAGGCCTTCCAGTGACTGTAACTGACGAATTTATTGACGTCTGGGAGAGAGCCAATGGTCAGAGAATAAATAAAAGACAGGGGAACGTCACAGAAACAACAGGTAGCTGGGGATGCAGGCTCAAGGAATCACTTGAATCCAGCCTCGGTGTCTGTGGTGGCCAGTGGCAGAAGCATCTGGCAGGGAGGCAGCTCAGAGGAGCCCCCGCCCCGGCCTTCCTTTGCCTGTGGGGCGTCCAATCCTTGGGCAGTCGGAGCCCACGGGGAGAACGGGAGCTGGGGGATCTTTGGCAATGGAAATCGGCGGGCTGGTCTTGGCCTGAGCTCTCAGGGCAGCTGTGACGGGGGCGGCGGGTGTGGGCGGGGACGAAAACCTAGTCTGGATGAGAGGAAGCTCCTTAAAGGTTTCAAGAGTCCACCTCTCTCCCCCAGGGTAGTGGGGTCCAGAAGGATCGAAAGATCTAGAGCCGATGGCCCCAGGGGAGGGATGGGGAGGGGAAGACAGGAATTGGTGGCAGGGGCGATGAGGAAGTTCACAGGCGTGGCCTTCCCACAGCCACCTCCTGCCTGGACGGACAGCCTGATCTCTGATCTAAAGAGGGCGTTCGGGTGGGGGGGGGAGCAGGGGGCTAGAGAACTCAAGATATATGGAACCTGGGAAACGAAAGCACAATTAGTATTGTTTTTAATTTTAGAAATTAAAGCATCTTCCAGCCTGAGGGCTGTGCTGGTCTGGGCAGAGGCCCCTGAGGGGAGCGAAGGCCTGGCCTCCCTGGGGTGACATTTCCTGTCTGGAAACGGCTGCAAGCACTCCATTAATTGGTTGATAAAGGGGAAATCTGCTTACAAAACAAGGCTTGCAAGTGGCCCCAGTTCCCGCGGCAGCCTCTCAGACCCGAACCGGGAGAGTCCCTCTGCCTGGGTGAGAGGGGGCACTCCCAGAAACGAGCCCTCCCGAGTCTGCATCCTGTTCCCCACGGCACTGCGTCCTGCAGAAGTCCGTGCTTCAGGCAGGAGAGCTGCTGCCCAGACTCCTCACGTCCGGGGCCTGAGGGCGCGGGGACTCAAGTCAGAACTGAGCGTGGTCCACCTCGTCCAGCCAGGAGGCGGGGCTGGCAGGGAAGTCGGGGTAGCCCCCGCTGCTCCCGGTGGAAAGGTCAGAGCTGGGTCCGTTCCCTGCCAGCACTCTCATGGGTGGGGGCCCACCTGGGGCTCCCGTGGTTACGAGCCCTAAGCCGGCATCGGGGTACACCAAACTGGAGAGGAGGGGCTGTGGGCCAGACAGGTTCTGCAGGGTGGCAGGCGAGGGGGGGACGCCGTAGGGGCTGCCGGGGCGCAGCTCTCTGTACTGCTCCGGGCCGGCCAGGCCTCCGTGCTCCAGCGGGAAGCTGCCCGGGGCCCCCGAGGGCCGGCCCAAGGCCGGGGCAGGCTCTCCCAGGCTGCCGTAGAGGCCATTGGCGGGGCCCATGTCGGCCATGGCTGGCTCGTCTGCAGTGGAAGCACAGGGCACTGCTCAGTGCCCACCTGCTGCCCCCCCTCAGTGCCCCCTGCAGGGGCGACGTGCCCCACCTCCCAGGACAGGTCAGCCCACATCTCTCACCCTTTCACCCCTGAGTTTGTTCAGCTCCATCCCACCCGATTCCTATGGAACTGTGGACTCCCGTGCTGGGGTCAGGGCCAAGGACTGTCCAGTCGGCACCCAGGGATCCAGTATGATCCCAAGGCTGCCCAATTTTGCAGACAAGTTAATTGAGGCTCAGAGAGTCTAGGTGAGTAGCCTAAGGTCACAATATAGCCAAAGAATCTCCTTCACAAACTCTCTAAGAATGGTCATTAAGAGCTGGCTGGTGGGGGGGAGGGGCGGGGGTGGGTCCCTGCTTTGGAAAAAGGAGGTAACAGGTTCCAGAGATGAGGGTGGGCCCTCCTCCAACTCTAAGCAGCTAGGACCTTTCATCACCCCAAAACTGTGCTGCTGCCTTCCTAAAATATCACTGTAAGTGCCAAGTGCCCTGAGTGGGGGCAGTGGGGGAGCATGATCAGACTCTCCCTCCAGGACAGAGCCTGCCAGGAGACACGACCGTGGGCCACAGGGCTCCTGTCCCCCTCCAGGAGAAGGGCAGTGGTCCTGAGAGGCCAAACCACAGGGCCTGGGGATGGGCGCCAGGGTCTGTTGAGACAGGGACGCTGATTCCCAGGCTCCGGCAGTCAATCAACCCAACGCTCTTCCCGACTGCGCCCGTACCGGTGAAGGAGACCTCCGCATCGCTGTCCTGCCCCTCATCCTGGACGCTGTCCTTGTCCGACTTAGAGCCGCCTCGGGCGCGCTTCATGTTTCGGAAATACTGGCCCCAACGCTGCCGGCCCGCGTCCTTCTTGAGCCTCTTTTCCTTGGCCCGGCGATTCTGGAACCACACCTGGGGGTGGGGGTGGGGGGCGGCGATGAGTGGCCGCTGCTCTGGGACCCGGGGTGGCCCTTGTTTGCCAGCGGCTCGCAGGGCGCGCGGGGGTGCCGGGGCGCTGACCTGCACGACGCGCATGTCCAGGCCGGTCTCGGAGGAAAGCTGCTCCCGCACGTGGCGCGCGGGCTTCGGCGACGTGTTGTAGGCGCTCTTCAGTGTCTCCAGCTGCTTGGCTGTGATAGTCGTGCGCGGCCTCTTGGCCGTGGCCTCGGCCTCTGCACCGCGGGGGAGGCGTGAGGCTGGGCCTGCTCCTCCGCCGCTCGGCGCTCCCACCTCCCTCGGGGCGCGCGCACGTGGGAGCCAGAGGTGCCGCCGCCGCCGCTGTGACCGCCCGATTTGCCGCCGCGGCGGGGAGGCCGGAGGGTTTTGCGGGACGCGGGTGCCCGGAGCGATGGAGGAAACGCGCTGGGCGGTGACCCGGCCCAGCCAGGGGCGGCCCTCTTTAAGGACCCAGCTGCCCTGGGTCCGGGCGCAGGCGCCTCCAGCCTCGGCCCCCCACTGACAAGCGCTGCCCCCCCAACCCCCACCTAGCTCCTTTTTGTTCTAAGGGTGCGGGTAGGGTCGGATCTTCACGGTCAAGGATTTAGGACGATAATTCAGACCCGAAGAGCTAATCCACGTAATTCAGGCCAATCTCCCTGCGCTGGGAGGGAGGCGGCTGCTAAGACCCTAGACCCGGCTTCCCCAGAGCGGGTCTGCTAACTGTACCCGCCACCCCTGGGCTCCGGGCCTGGAGGCGGGGGCGCCCGCAACGCCCCCGCCCAGAGAGAAGACGCTTAAGTTCTCGCCGCTTAGTGAGCGCTTCGCCAGGGACGCTGGAGGGAAGGATCCGTCCACACCCGACCCGGACGGGCCTTAGCCCCGCTTTGCAGGGGAGGAAAGGGGAAGGTGGGCCGTGCCCAGGCCGAGCCCCGTGACCGCCACCCCCTCCCACTGACCTCGCTGTTTGGCCGTCTCGTAGTCTGCCTTGCACACGAGCCGGCTGTCCTCCATGAGATAGAACTCGTCGCCCGTGGCCAGCTGCCGCTTGCACACGACGCAGGCGAAGCAGTGCAGGTGGTACACGAAGTCCTGGGCGCGGCGCACCACCTGCGTGGGCGGGATGCCCAGCTGGCACGCAGCGCACTTGGTTCCGAAACGCCTGCGGGAGCACAGGGCGCGGCTCAGAGTACCGCCGCTCCTTCGCCCCGAGCGGGTGGGAGAACCGCTAGCGCGGTGCGGGCAGGGCGGTTCCTGGAGGAAGGCTTCCTGGCCCTGCCCCTGATCGCAGAGACTGCCTGCAGGGACTCCCAAGAAGGGGGCCCGAGGCCCTGGGGCACACAGCTGTCCTCTGTGCCCGGATCGGGGAGGCGAATTCGGAAGGGCAGAACCCTGGCCACTGGGACCGACCTGCAAACCCATGACCTGCAAACTCTGCCGGGTAGGAGCCCCATCCCTGCCGTTAAGCACGAATACAAGACCAAAACGAAGAGGGAGCACGTCCAATAGAGGCTTACAAATTTAGGGTTATCTTTTTAACGACTGCTTCAGTGATTCACAAAATTAATTACTTTAAAAGGTTGTCCGTGGGCCAGCCCAGCCGACAACAGAGAGGCCTCCGGGGTGCCCTGTTTGGGGAACAGGAGGGGTGTGGAGATGGGGGTTTTCAGGGCTCCAGACTCGGTTACGGTGAGGGCCCCGGGGGTCCCCCTGGGTGCGCCACCCCTCCCTCCCAGGTGGCTGGCGGGCTCACTTGAAGAAGTCGTCTCTGCAGTACACGCTCTCCCCGCGGCTGAAGCAGCGCTCGGCCAGCGGCGCGTGGCAGTCGCTACACTTGAGGCATTTGCTGTGCCAGTGGCGGTCCAGAGCCTTGAGGATGAAGCGGTCCAGGATGTGCTGGTCGCAGCCGGCACACAGCGGGATCTCTGCAGGCAGGGAGCAGCCACCGCGGTCAGGGCCACAGCACAGAGCCAGAGGCCTCCCCATCCCAACCAGCTCCCAGGACCGGGCTGCCAGGAGGCCCCCTTCCCGGCACACCCTCGTCCCCGGCCAGCTTGAGTGGCCGCCCCAGCTCCCTGTTCAGGAAGAGTGTGGCTCAGAAGTCTGCGCCTGGCCCGCAGTGGAAATCCAGGACAACTGAAACTAGGCTTAGAAACGTGCCGGGGCAGGAGGGCACCCAGGCCACCCCTTCAGATACCCTCAACTGCAAGAACATTTCCAGTGCATGAAGGATGCACGTTGAGCTCAAATGAAACACTCACCCCTGGGGCTGTCTCAGAGGCTGGGCTGGAGACCGGGTCCTCACCATCACCAGAGGCCTGGCACACATGGGCCATGGGGCACCCACCACCCCGTGGCCCTCATTCCTCGCACAATCAGGTGCCATGGCATCTAGAGACTTGTGGCAGGTGTGGCTGCCCGGCGCCGTGGCCCGTCCCAGGCTACCAAAATAAACACTGATGCCCTGCCTGTCTTTGGGCAGCCCTGGGGGTACTTGTGCATAGACTGGACATACGGACCCTCTGTCCTCCTGCTCAAACATGGATGCCTGAGCACACACAGTAGGCAGTTTGCCTTCCCCACAGAGACACTTGTGTTCTGTTCCCCTGGGACTGCAGGCCTCCGGGGGAACCAGGCTGGGAAAATGCAGGGCCTCTGCCTTTGAGAGCCACAGGTCCATGGGAGTGCTTTGCAGGGTGTTCAGGGTGTGAGGACTACCTGTTAATTTAGAAAAGGCCTCCTCCCAAGGGCAGAGAGCCGCGAGAATATATCACCTACTCAATATATTGGAATCTACTCAAATATATCACCACCTCAGCACACTCACCTCGCTGACAGTGGACCCCCTCCAGCCCCAGTTCGGCCTGGCAGCCGGTGAAAGGGCCAGAGAGGGACCTCCCTTTGCCCCATGCTGAGAGAGAAACGGAATCAACCTCCTTCCTACAGCCCCAGGCGCCACGAAGGACGGGGTCCCGCATCGGGCAAAACCGCGGCCCTAGCTGCGGAGCCTGGGGATCTGCTGCCTGCCTGGCCCCCCAACCCCGGGCGGTGATGGCAGGGCGGCGGGCGAGGACACCCTTCTCAGAGCTGGTGGCTGGACAGGCCCGCGCGGCGCGGATTCAGCACCGCGGCCCGGACAGCTCCCAGAGCGCGCTTCCCGCGGAGCCCCGCGTCGAGCAAACGCCTCGCCCGCCGCGCCCCTCGCGCGCTCGCGAAGCCCTGGCGGCCCAGGCCTTACGCTGCATGGCGACTCCAGCCTTGGCGGGGTCTCCTACCCTCGGCGCTGGCGGGCCCAGCACAGCCGTGCGCTTGCCTGCCGGCCAGATCCCCTTCGGCTCTCTAGAGACGTTTCACGCAGAGCCCGCGCCCCTCCCTTCCTGTCTCTCCGCCCTCCCACCCCTTCCTCCCAGCCCCCGTGGCCACCCCTCCCAGGAACCGTCGGAAAATAAATAAAGAAGTAGGAGACGGAGGAGACCCCCACAGCCTGGATGTAACCCCTTTCCCACCTGCTTCCACCCCACCACTGCCCACCCTTCCAGGGCCACCTCCATCCCATCCCGCGGGTCCCGCCTGCTCGGAAGCTCGTGGAGAACCATCCCAGTTCACGGGGAAGCCAAGGCGCTGGGGGTGAGCTGGGGGTTTTCCTGCAAGAGGACCAGCCCTGCCAATGGAGCAGGTGCATGTGAGTGCAGACACCAAGACTCCAGCTAAGGGAGTTCAGCCGCCGGGATCCAGCTCCATGCTGGCCCTTGTGTCTGACTCTTCGCCCGTAAAGTGTGGAGGGTCTGAGTGCAGGCAGCCTTCATGGAGATTCTCCTACCCCATCGACACTGGGACACACGTTTGCTCTCTGCACACTCTCCCTAAAGGAAGAGTATTTCCCAAACCAGTCCTGGGACCCAGAGGGCCCCTAGCCTGGGCAGCACCAGCGCCGCGACGAAACGCCCGACGACACAGCTCCAGGGGCCCGGAGGCGAGCCCGCTGCCGGGATGCTCAGGTAGGGACGCGCTGTGCTGGGCTCCTCGCACCCGCTGCCGCCCGCGCTCCCCGGCTCCCGCCGCCTCCGTGGCCAGGCTGGGAAGGCAGCGAGGACCACTGAGTCTCCACGGGGTCCGCCCTCCCGGGTGCAGCCGATCGGCCGGGGCACCCACCTCGGCGCAGGTCTTCCCTCCGCGCCAGCAGGGCCAGCAGCAGGTCGCCGCCCGCCGATTCCCGGCCCGGGGCCAGCTCCCCGCGCGCCTCCATGGGTCCCGCCGCCCGCCGCCGAGGCTCTCCGGTCCTGAACTTTCCGGGGGCTCCGCGAGACCGCGGCCTCTATGGCCCCGGGCCGGCGTCTGCGCGACTCCCGGCGCTGCTGGGCGCTGCGCCCGCGGGCCGCCCAGGGGCCCGAAGCCTCGGGCCGCGAGGAGGCGGAGCGGCGGAGGGGCGGGGCCGCGGCGCGGGGCGGGGCCGGGGTCGCGGAGACGCGCGGCTGGCGTCCGCGGACTCTGCGCGCCTTTGCCCGGAGAACTGTGGTGGCGAGAAACCGCCCCGAGTGCCCGGCCCAGGGATGGGGACCGGCAGGGGAGGAGCCGTGTCAGCGCTGCCCGAGGGCGCTTGACCAGGCTCCGAAGCTTCCTGCCCCGGCGCTGACTCGGGGCTGAGGCCTGGGCTCCGGCGCCAAAGCCCGCGGGTAGCCTGCCGGTCAGGGAGGGAGCTGGATCCTACCGCCGCTGAGGCTTGGGCCCGAGAGGTTCCGAGCTGGGAGGCTTGATCACAGTGCCTGGTGGCGTGTGCTAGACCCAAGACCCAGAGAGGGTGAGTGCGGCGCCCACGGACTCACGGGGAAGCCTCCAGGAGCGGACCCGACCTCGGACCTTCCTGCTCTGAGCAGCTTCTGGGCCCCGCCCTGGGCACTGCAGCCCAGAAGTGGGCGCGGGGAAGCAGGGCGAGTCTCCGGAGGGAACCCAGTGTCCTCGGCGCGGACTCCATGATGCAGCCAAGACTCCAGGTCAGGAGGGACGGAGCTGGGAACGCCGGGATCCACTCTCTTCCCTCCACCCCCGCTAGCACGGGAGGAAGCCCTGGTGCCCCATTTTCCCATATTCTGCCCTCCTCCCCCTGTCTAAACAGGTGAGCTCACAGGAACCCACCGCCCTTGCACGTAGAGACACACCTACCCCGAAGGGTGCCCACCACAGGCCAGGCCAAACCCCTGCGTCACCCACAGGCAGCACACAGCGGTGTGGGTCCTGGCAGTACAGAGCATGACGGGAGCAGGGGCCCCCAGAAAGTGTTGGGGGACTAGGGGTTGGTACCACCCTCCAGGAGGTTCCACCTGGGAGCCCCTCAGTGAGGCCCCATAGTCGCCTGGCCTCCAGTCGCCTGGTCTGTACACTTAACTTGGAGGCTGGTGTGGAAGGACCTGAGCAGGAGGAACAGCCACCTCTGAGCTCCAAGCAGGCCCCACGTCTCAGTTTGAGCAAAGGTCCCGTGCGGGCAAAGTTAAGGTGCCCCTTCACTTTGTGCTACGTTTGTTCCCCAAGACAGGACAAGGGCATTCAGGCTGGGGAGCTGAGCGGGTGTTGGGTGCGCAGGGGTGTTGGCCGTTGAGCGTCAGCTGCTGTGGAGGCCTGCCTGAGAGGGGCCGTGTGTGGTCTGCCTGGGGAAGGGGCGGGTGGGCCTATGCGCTCGGCATCTGGCCGACCGGCCAACAATGCCTCCATTATCTCCCAACGTCCTTGTGACCGAATGGCCCTTGGGGAGTGCAGTTCGGGCAGGAGACCCGACCCAGGGCTCTTGGCGCTGTGGAATTGGGCCAGCTAGCGGGGCAGGACTGGGCTGTGTGGGAGCTGAGAGGCGTGGTCTCCGGATTTTCTTGGCAGCCCTTTCTCTGCCCCATCCCCTCCCCAATAGACACGTCGGCGAGGTCCCTTCTGTCCTCCAGGCGCTCTGTGAAAAGCTGCAGACCTTTCAGCCTGGGTCCAGGCTTCTCAGACCATCACAGGGGGGCTCCAGGCCTTCCACTCACTCAGGGGTCTGCCAGCGTCGCCCAGGTCTCCATCTCAGGACCCACCAGAGGCCTCTCCAGACTCTTTCCGCCCTGACCTTAGTGTGCTGCACGCCTTCCTTCCCTCGTCCCTCTGCTCGCCTCTGCCCACCGGTGCCCTTTCCCCTCTGCGTATTCCTGCCCAGTCTGGAGACCGCAGGAGGACATGCGGGGCTCTTACCCCTGGTCCCTCCAAAGGTGCAGAGGCCGGCGGTTGTGGGAGCCCGGGGCCGATCTCGGTCGCCCTCGAGATCCGTCTCCAGGAGCATCGCGGTCTCGGGGCCAGGCCGGACCCAAGCGGCCCGGGGAGCGCTCTTTCCTCCTCCTCTGCGACCCCCGGGATGGCTGGGCCCTCCCCGCGTCCCGGTGCGCGGAGCGTGGTCAGACGCGCGAGCCGCTGGGCCTGGCGCTGTCCGCGGTGCTGAAGGAGGCGCGGCCGCGCACCTCCCCCGACCGCGCCTGCCGCCCTCAGCTCCTCCTGCCCGCCCTCCCCCCACGACCCGCCGCCCGCCGCCCGCCGCCCCACCTTCCCAGGTCCCCGGGCCCTCCTCCCGCTCCACCCCCGCCTGTCCCTGGGAGGCAGCCTTGGGCAGCTCCGCCCTGAGCTCCAGTCCTGCCTTGAGGCCGGGGATTCGCCCCAAGCGGGTGCTCCACCTTGCAGTTCCTGCTCTTTCCCGCTTGCGGACTCCAGGAAGCATCGTCCAGGCCGCCGGCCCTCAGGCCCCCATCGGCCTCCAGTTCAGGCTCCTGCTGAGGCTCTGGCCCCAGGTACTGCCTTGTTCAACTGTTGCTTTGGGCCTGAGAAACTTTCTGCACTCATGACCTCCCCAGCATGCAATGCCCCTAGGTCTCAGGCAGCCACCTCCCACTCCCCCGGGGCAACCTGAGGAAGGACGCCCCCCAACAGAAACTACTCAGAAGGACCCAAGGGCAGAGAGCGCCAAGACCCCCCAGTGACAGGGGTTACCAGATGGTACGCTTACATTGGCACCAGCACCACACAGACCCGGGCTGGGGGGCAGAGTGCCCACCGGTCACTCAGTGCCCTATCTGGCGCACCAGAGGGCTGCCCATACCCCCCAGGCGCTGTCCGCGGTGCTGAAGGAGGCGCGGCCGCCCACATCCCCCGACTGGGCCTGCAGCCCAGCTGGGAAGGTGAATTCACAGAAACTTTAGCCAGGACTCCCCCAAGCTACACAGACCACTGGAGACCTCTCCACCACAACACAAGGTGCGGGGAGGCGGTAGAAAGAATCAAAATAGTTTAGCACCGGGGGCAGTAAGCAGGTGCAGGGCAAAGCTGAGGGGAGGGGGCAACTGCGCTGCTGGGCACTCTGGTCTGGGGGTCCTCAAGTTCCCTGGAACTGGTGCCCGCGGTACCTGTGAGCAGGATCCCAGGCATCTCAGTCGCCATCCCCCCCCTCCTCCCCTTCGTGGGAGGGGAGCTGCGGTCCCACCCTCCCTCCGTCCAGCTCGGCCCTGAGAAGACCAACTATAGGGGACTTCCCATCTTTCACCTTCTGCCTGTCCCCAGGCTGTCTTCCAAAGAGTCTCTTGAGTCACTGGACATTGTGGAATTTCAGAGGTCCAGTCCATACACCCCTGCCAGACATCCCATCACTGGTAGAGCTAGTTTTACTTCAAAACAATTACAATTTTTTCAAATATCAGATTTATTTATTTTTTAAAATGTGCACATTATAGTTTACTTAAATACAAAATGTTTATTTTTCTTGCAGGTAAGAAATTTCACTGACATTTCCATGTCAATTAGCTTCTTTTTAATCAAAATCCTTGCATTAAAAATAAATATACATTTAAATTACCGAACTATCATATTCATTAGTCTCAATACGTACAACTTTAGAAAACGGAACTTAACCCTTGCCTTAAGGGAGCGTCCAGCTCTGAGCAGCGACGGACACAGTGCCGCGGCCACCCTGACCTGCCGCCTCCAACCTGCAATGTTATCAGGAGCCCTGAACGCCGACGCTGCCCCTCACAGGCTTCTGTCAAGTACACAAGACCATCCACTCACAGAACCATCTCAGTTCCGCTGTTGAAAAAACGTACTTTAGGGGAGAAAACGACATTTGGCGCAAACCAAAGGCAGTTTAATTTATGGTTCTGAGTTATACCCCTTTGGGCTGTGTGTGAACTGGCCCAGTTTTCAAGTTGAAAACAAACAACAGGTGTCTTCAGTAACCCAGGCACACAGCTCAGCCACGAAGACAAGCCCATGGCTTTTAAAAAACAAAGGCTTCCCGGGGTGAAAAAGTCTCAAACAGAAAAAGGCTCTGGCAGAGAAGTGGCGCATTCCCCGCCCAGAGGCCGCCAGGTCACACCTCCCACTGGAGGGGACCATGAAGCTAAAGGCAGCTCGAGGAGTCGGCCACCCCCTTCCCCAAACCGTCAGGCGGTCAGGGTGCTCACTGAACACAGTAACTGGAGCACAGAACAGGCGTGGTGGGGACACAGTGACAACCATCATAGTCACACACACTCACTCACACTCAAAGGAAGTGTTCCCTGCCACAGTTGTTTCTGTTTACATTTTCAGAGGCAAATTTACTTCTGAGCTTTTTGGGTTTTACAAATAATGTGTTAAAACCATTCAATATTTGCAATTAAACCATCAAAGCCTGGGGACCCGTGGTGAAACAGCTCCAGGAAAATGAAGCTTGGCAGAGACCACAGTCTGCCCTGCTGGGGGCCACCATCTCCCTCCCACTGAGCCCGGGGCTCTCGCAGAGACTTGTACGTGCTGGGGGATGAGTGCACAGGAGGAGGGTGCCTTCGGAGACCCCGCAGAGCACCCCCTGCCACGGTGGGGCTCAGCGCTCCGGGTCCGGCGGTGGACAGACTAGGATCCCCTTACAGCCTCGTGTCACCAGGCTCATGAACAAAGACAGCGCCCCCGAAGGGCCCGCCTCCCCTCCACACCCCCGACATTCGGGGGCTTCCCTCTCCTGGTCCTGAGCTGCCTCGGTGCCCCAAAGACCACCCGTAGCTGAGAGGCACAAACACAGGCAATCTCCGAGAACCGCCGGCTTCATGGAGCCACAGAAGGGGGCGGCAGGCGGCAGGCCCCAGCGGCGGGGGAAGGGTGTGGGTTTTTCTCTCCAACTCCCAGAGCGAGGCCCTGCAGTCAGGGAACTTGAGGTGAAAGCAGGTGGAAAGTCCTGTTCCTGGGGTCTGGCCACCCACTTCCGTTTTCAGACCCGGAAGAGTGAAAACACAGGTCTTTTTGCTCTAGGGTCTGTAGGGGACACGTCTGGGCCACGCAGGCGGGGAGCAGAAGGTCCCCTCGAGGGGCCGCCAGGGCCGCAGTGTGGACAGTGTCCCTGATCTGAAGAGCAAAGTGGCGGCTCCACAGTCTCGCCGCGTCCTACACAGACGGGTGGTGGTGCTTGACTTTCCAGCGCTTGGAGCGCACGCGGAAGAAGAAGTACATGACCATGAGGAAGAGGGATGAGGCCACGTACAGCAGCACGCAGAGGCTCATGTCCAGGCTGGAGAAGCCCATCCCCAGGAAGGCCGCGGCCGCCTCGGCGCCCCGGCGGCCCTCGGCCCCCGCCCGGCTCCCGAGCGGCAGGTCCAGGCCCGGCTGCGACCTCTCGGACAGGCGAGGCCGGGGGGGCAGCAGGCTGGGCGGACGCAGGCTCTCGGCACCGTGGTCTGCGGGGGGCTGCTCTGGGGGAGCCCGGCTGCCCTCCTGCTTCTCGCCCGGGGCCGGGGCGCCTTCGCCGGGGCCGCCCAGGTCTGCGGGGTGCGTGTCCACGAGGTTGTCCGTGCTGTAGTGCTGCTTCAGGAACAGCAGGACCTGGCCTTCGTTCCAGGTCCCCAGGCCCTTGATCTCCTCGTGGCAGGCTGGGCAGAGGTCTGGGCTGGGCCATGGCACCTTCGGGAACTTGGGGTCCTCACTCGGATGGCCTGGAGGAGGAGGGCTGCGGTGAAGAGACCTTCCGGCCGCCTGCTCCCACCCCAGCAGCCTTCCCCGTCTCCCCCGCCGCCCACCACCCTGTCCGTCCGGGCCCACCCTCCCCGCCCTCCCTGCCCTGCACGGCCGGGCGCCCGCTTCCCTGAAGCACCCGCAGGTGCACAGGAAGTGTCCTCACGTGGCCACCGCCACTCCCCTGGCCAGATGCTGCCCAGACACCCAGAAGGGGCCGGGCGAGTCCGCGGCTCAGCACCCTTGACCTTGCCCCGTGCCCGAGGTGCGGTCCTCCCTTCCCTAAGGTGCTCCATCGGTACAAAGACCTCTGAGAGGACCCTCTCCTACACCTTCCCTCCGGCTCACTCGCTCCCTCGTTCAGCACACCTGAGGGCAGAGCACGGCCTGGGCCGTCAGCCGTCGTGTGGGGGCGAGACTTGGAGGCAGAGCCGAGCAGCCCCCGCACGCACAGCGGCACTTCACTGGCAATGCAGTGACGGCCCTGGGGCTCCCATAGGCCCGGGGGACAGCGAGTGTGGCCCCGTGGGCTCCCGGGACTCCCTGACCTAACCGGGCATGCCTTGCCACCCAGAAGTGCTTCTAGAAGCACACGTCAAGGAGCCACTTTGTTAGTGGGGTGCTCGCCTCTGGACAGGCTGCGCTGGGTGGGAGCCACAGGGCCACGTGGCCCTCACGGCCCGGGCGTTCCCCTTGGGGGTCTGGACACACACACCCCGAGATGGAGAGGAGCTGCTAGAGCGTGTCCCACACAACCGCACAGACCTCAACCCAGAGGCGAGACGGAGGGGCTGGGGACACGCAGAGTCACAGGAGCGATCCCATCTCAGGCCCGCTTCACGCATCTCACACGGCACACGGTGCCTGCTCAGGGCAGCCTGGCTGGGGTCTCGCTGGCTGTTCCAGGGCTGAGCGCTGCCACGACAGGGTCACCATGAGGCCCCTGTGAAGGTTGGGGGGCGGCGGCCGGGGCAGGAGGGCCCTGACGCCCTGGACGTGGAGCCGTCGGAACTAGAGCCGCGGTGGACGGGCTTTCACCTGCAGCCGCAGGCGAGGCATGACTCCCACGTGACCGGACCCGCAGCCCTCAGCCCCACGTCCAGAAAAACCAATTTTCTTTAGTGCTTTAGTTGTAATATGTTTTTACAATACAGTGGATTAAATAAAAACCAACAGTTTAGTGGCATTTTCTATTCATCTCTATTAAGACTTATTTCTCGGCGGATTATGTTTAAGCCTAATTTTAATCTGCCAGTGATTTAGGAGCAGTTTGAGTTACTTAACTCTGAGAAAATATGTGTGCCCCAGTTTTTCTTCAAACAAAATCATTCTGAGGGGTTTCGTCTAAGATCTGAGGACAGATTTGAATGACACTAAAATTCCTTATAGAAAATGAACTGTATCCCAAGTCTCCCAGTGCTGGGTTCACTTGGGGGCCTGGGGCACGTCCTCCTCCACGCGGCTGGGAGCCCTGCAATGCAGGAGGGTCTGGAGCCAGGACGGGAGCTGGAACGGCTGGGGCCTGCCAGCCAGCGGCCAAGGTCACTAGGAAACTGACACCTGATCGGACAGACGACCCAGCCGCGGGCAGGCAGCGCCGCGCCGCGGGGTGAAGCTCAGGCACGCCCCCGCCGCCTACACGCAGTCCCCGCGCAGGCTCGGGCCACCCAGTGGCTTCTGCTCACCTGCCAAGCGGCTGTTGACCAGGTTATGCTTCTTCCAAAGCCAGAGAATCGCTTGGTCCGGGGTTTTCACGGAATCTATTGATTCTTTAGCCATTTCCTCAAAATGCTCGCCACATTCCTTACACCCAAAGAAGACGTGGACATACCTCCTGATGGTCTGCAGCACAGCCTGCGGGTCATCTTCCAGACCTGTGGGGGGACCAAGGCGCCCGACGGTGTCCACCAGCACCGGGGAGCCGCTGGGGGAGCTGGCGACGAGTGAGAGCCTGACGCAGGCCACGGGCCAGCCCCCGGGAGAAACGGGCTCCTTCCCAGGTGCCCACGGCCACCAGAAGCTGGCTGCGTAGTCCCGACACTGCGCCAAACGTCCCACCCCACGGGCAGCAGGCCTGTGTCAGCTGCTGGGCCTGCTCCAGGGCCCGTGCTGCTTCCCAGGGAACGAGCCAGAGGCCCGGAGCGGCCAGGCCCAGCAGGACCCCCACCCCCGAGACCGGCCCAGAGGCCAGCTCTGCGTCCTGTCCCCATCGCTCCTGCCCTACAAGCAACCCCAAAGGCCGGGGCTCATTCCACGTCTCGTTTGTTTGCTTTGAAATGCTTGCTAGGTGCGAGCCCGAGTGTGGATATGGCCTCAGGAAGTGCCTCTGGGCGTGACGCCGGCCCCGTCTCTGTGGCCGGTCTTTCCTGGGTCAGCAGCGGTGCTCCAGGCAGTGGCCTGTCTAGGCCTGCCCTCTCTCAAACAGGCTGAGCCCCTAGGTGTGAGGAAACCCTCTTATCTACCAGCCACACAGATGCTGTTCACCCCTGCGTGTCAGCCCAATGGGACACGGTGCCTGTGCAAAGCCCCTGGGGTGGGGGGCACCCCGTCTGAAGGAAGCAGCACCCCCAACAGCAGGGCACAGCATGCACTGTGAGGAGCCCCCGGGGGCGGCCTCAGGGCGGGACCAGAGTCCTGTCCAGACAACTAATGCGGGGGATTGAGTGTGCACACAAGAGACCCGTGAGATTAAAACAGATTAGATGTCAGCACTATAAGAAAGGCAGCAAAATAATAGGGGGAAAAAAAGACGTGGTTGTGGAGACTGAATCCGTCTTAACAGCAGGCCCTCAAGAGCCCTCTCTCCCCACGGCCGGCAGGGGCCGGGGAGCCAGCCTAATGGGAGAGGCCCCGGGGGCATCGGCCTGGTGGGCCCCGTGCGTGTTCCTCAGAGAAGGCCCCAAGGAGCAAGTGGCCACCGCCTGGTGCCCCGTGTTCCCACGGGCAGCAGGGGCGATCGCGCAGGCTGAGGACTCGCCGTGGCTGGGCTGCGCTCCCAGCTGCAGGCCCTGGGCCGACATCTGCCGCGCCTGGCGGGTAATCCTGCCCCCCTCGTCCCCGCCAAACCTCTGCACACTCGGGCCGCCCTAATCTTTAAAGTGGACAAGAACCATAAACCCTACCTGGGGCGGATTAGAGGCGCGGCAGGCTTTTTAGTCGATGGGGTTTAAGCGTGCAATAAGGAGAGGAAAAACCTTCCAAGACATAATCCGGGTCTCAGTCTGACCCAATTCTTTCAGCATGAGACAGACTCCTCGGATATTGCTTCCATTTACGCCGACCAAAGGGACGGACGCCCAAGACCTCTAGGACTGTGCGCCTGTCCCCCGGCAGCCCTCAGGCTGTGGGCATCGGCCCTGTGGTGCTTTTACAGACTGTCCTAGTTGCTGACCTCCCTCTTCGGGCACCATCTCCATGTCCTCTACAGAATGCCCCCTGTCAGCATGAGGTCCAGGCAGCGGAGGCTCCAGGGCCCCGGCCGGCGCCCACCCGCAGCGCTAAGCCTCTGAGCTCACCTGCTGTTTGGAACCCCAGGTTTCTCCTGAACATACCCGACACATTCTTCTCTGTGATTCTCCAGAGAAGCTGTGGTTTAAAGCACCTCCCCACCACCAGCCCTGGGGAGTAGACATCCAACGCCCCCTGGAAGTGGGGAGGGGCAGGGATGCCTTAAGAGACCACGGGCCCCCTTGCTGAGTCCCTGACAGGTGGGCTGTGGCACGGGGAGATGTGTCTGAGCCACAGGCTGTGGCGGAAGCGACACCCAGGCCCTGAAGCCCCTCCTGGGCCCCCAGGGGAGCTGCACTGCCTGGGGCCCCAGCTTCCAAGTCTAGAGCACTCAGCTCCCACCCGCTCAGCGAGCCCACAGGTGAGCCCATCCCACGAGTCGAGCCCCAGAACCTGAAGCAAACACCTGGTGGTGATTTCAAGCCATAGCACTTGGGGTCTGTTTGTTACACAACAAAAGGTAACTCTAAAATAATTTTACAATTTCACTGGAAAAAATAGTGAACCGTGTGGGTCCAAAGACTCCATTCTGACTCAGTACAGATGTCAGTGAACCTGACGATTAAAGGACAAAACTGCAAGATAAGCAGATACCTCCAGGGCTGCCAGGGCCCGGCGTCATGGGGGCACACACCACACGGTCCAGGGAGGATCCATAGACCCAGCACGGTTTTAGTGATCTGAAGGGTACAGCGTGGCCCCACTTCCTGCCGCCTCCTCTGTGGCACCCCTGCCCCTCGGGGGCCTGGGAGCTTCCTTTTAACAAACCATCATGGCAGAGGTGACGGACAGGCCAACAAGGGCTCCGGGATAGCCGCTGCCCGTGGGCAGGCCGCACAGTGAGGGACAGCCGCCACCCACGCGGGGCGCAGGCGTGGGGAGGGCATCTCATCCCCCGCCAGCCCTGGCTGGTACTCTGCCCTCAGGCTCTGGGGGACCTGAGGCTGAAGACCCTGGGCAGGGCACACCTGAGCGCCTGTCCAGAGATGCTATGGCGTATGCAGTGTGCACTGCTCCAGGCAACTTGTTATAAACGAGACACCACATACCTCCCCAAACGGGTCTCACATTCCTTAAAGCAAAAAAGAAAAAATAAAGTGGCGCCGACATCAAGAGGCATTCCTGGCCAGTGCGCCCTCCCAGCCCTGAGATGTATGGCCCGTGGGTCAGCCAGGCCCCGGCCTCCAGGGCAGAAGGTTGGGCCGCATATGGGTGCCTCCCGAGCCGGGGCAGGGGCTGAGCAGGGCTCCTGAAAAGACGCTCCTTCCACCCTCCCCAGCACAGACCCGGGCACCCCGAGGGCCCATCACTCTCTGCAGGCAGCACGGCGCCCGTGCAGGCGGCCCGGGGCGGGGGGCTACTCACCTGTGCCATCCAAGGCCTCCGGGTGGGCCCCGGCTCCAACAGTCAGAGTGTGGAACAGCTCCCAGAGAGAACACGAGTAGCCCCGCAGCCCCGGCCGGCTGCCTTGACATCCAACCCACTCGACACGGTTTGTGAGAGATATCCCAGAAATCTGGGCGGGGAGGGGTATGGAGAGAAGGAGAGAAGAAGAGATGCTAAACTGTTGGTGGCCATCCTGTCTCAGCTGCGTGGTGGTTACACAGGGAGCATCTGTCTGAGACCTTCACCAACTACGAGTGCGGTTAATCCAGGAACAAACGGGAGAAAAAGCCTCCATTTTACTAATGGAGTTCTCAGAACATGGAGCCGTGGCCCGCTCTTTCGTCTTTGGGAGAAGAGAAGTGTCCAGCTGGGTCGCAAAGAACCAGCACAAGGAAGCATACAGGATGCCCACCATTGTTTCAGGTTAGAATTAGTTGTAATGAGGTTTACGGAAGACTAATAATAATAAAGGAATTCAACTGTCAGACAATTCTCAGCCAGAACAAACAGGATCTTAACAAGCAGCGAGCTGATGGGCCTGAGCCTGTAACAGGCCAGGAGTGTGGGCTGCAAGCGGCCCCTCAGGCCCTGCAGGCGACCCACAGGCCTGGCCCTGGGGCCATGGTCCTGCTCTCATCCACCTCCCAGTCACTCAGCCTGGGGCCCATGGAGGAGAGGCCAGGCCAGACAGTGGCACCCGTCAGGCAGCCGGGCGCAGACCCCGGGGAGCCACACCCTGGGCCTGTGGCTGCAGCGGCCAGGCCCGAGACCCAGCCAGCAGCCCGGCCTGCTTGATGACTCGACCAGGGGTCCACGCGGGACACGCTGTCTTTGCGTACTTGTTCAGGTGTGAAATCTAGTTGAGTTTACTAAAAATTAAAAAAGAAACCCTAGTGCTATCTCCCTGCGGAAACCCCCATCATTTCAGTCAGCTGACCCAGATCCCGGCCTAGGGAGCAACGGGAGGTCATCGTGGACACCGGGGACAGCAGACCAGTGACGGGGGGCGGTGAGGGGCCCCCAGACAGACCTCCCTCTGCGAAGGGGCCACCTCACCCGCATCTTGTTGTTGACCAGGTCAAGCACAGCATCGTAGGGGATCCTGTCCAGCGGAAGGCTGGCTAGCCACTCCTGCAGCATCTCCAGCAGCTTCCTGACCGGCGGTCGTCCGGGGAACAGCTGGGCAGGAAGGACCACACTCAGGGACTGTTCAGGGATCACCCCCCACGGCAGGCATGGCCTCCCAGGGCCCGAGACCAGGCCTGCCCCGACCCGACCCACTGGCTGGAGGGGGAAGTGACTGCGATCCATCCGGCTGTCCTGGAGACCCGGGCAGGGGTCTCTCCAGAACACAGACGAGGTGGCCTGGGTGGCCGCACCTTCCCCTTCCTCCAGCCCCACCGCTGCCCTCAAGCCCGACGACAGGTCCACGGCCACCCAGGACCGCATTCATCACGCTGCCAAGAGCTCCGGGGGCCTCTCCAAAGTCACTGCTGACTCACTCAGTCCATGTTCCTCAGCCTAACTTACACCCATCTGCTGGTCTCCTCACTCCCCGCCACCACCACCCGCCCCTCCGACCCCCACCAGCTCTGCCCACGGGACTGGAGAGGTGTGCACACTTGAGGCTTCCATGCAAACAAGTGCCACCCGCTGCTCCGCTGCACATGGACACGCAGGCCATGCTGGCTGCACCTCGGCGCCCGGGAAGCCTCGAGCGAGGAGCCCCCGGCTATCCTGTGAGGAGCTTTGCTGAGATGCTGCCAATTACACATCAAGTAAGGGCTGACGCCGCCCTAACCACAGCGCTGGGACCAAAAGACCATGCAGAAACAGCACATTTTCAACTCTGCAAAGTCTGGGTTTTTCCTCCATCAGTTACAGAGCATCAGTATCAACTGATCAGCATTTCAAGTTTAAGTAAACTTCAGAAAAGAATAAGCTATGCTGATCTTACAGGCCGTGCATGCCCTCCAGCCTGACACCAGAAAAGATAAGGACAAAGAACTCATGTGCAAAGCGAGACCCCTGTCCTGACGTGCTAACAGCTGGGCAGCCAAGGGGGCACATTCTCAAAGGAACGAGAACAGCGCAAGAGCTCTGACCTCCGAGGTCATCGTGGGGGGAGAACCCTCTCAACAGTTTCCATTTATTCATTTGCAACACACCATGCAGCTTTCTATTCCCTTAAACATAAGTTCTAGCTTTTTAATTTTTTAAATGATCTTACTAAGTAAACTCTGGCCAGCTGAAGTATTGATTATAAGCTACTGTGTCAGCGGGGCTTCCCAGGTGGCGCGACTGGTAAAGAATCCACCTGCCAATGCAGGAGACGTAAGAGACACGCATTTGGTCCCTGGGTTGGGAAGACCCCCTGGAGGAGGAAACGGCAACCCACTCCAGTATCTTGCCTGGAGAATCCCATGGACACAGGAGCCTGGCAGGCTACGGTTCATGGGGTCACACAGCTGGACATGACCGAGCGCATGTGTCAGGGCTGTACACTTGGCAAGAGGAATCATTTCACAATAAGCCTCCTTATCTCTCAGGTGACAGTCACCAGTAACTCAGATCTTGTCAGATCATGTCAGAGGCTATAGAGGGTGGCCTCTGGAAGCAGATTCCTCTTGAGGCAGTGTAGGATCAAAGGTGACCAACAGGTGGGGGCAGCCCAAGGGCCTGGGCTCTCTCTGAGGTTGGAGAGCAGAGGGCCACAGCAAGGCTGCCGGGCCAGCGGAACAGGGTGCAGATCCACCCCAGGGGGCAGGGACGCCTGACTGCCTGAACTTCTGGCCACAGACTGTGGGCCCGGACTCTTAGCTCAGGAGCTCAGAGTTCTCAGCAGGAAATGGATGCCGCCCAACAGCTCCTCACCTCTAGACCCGAGCAAACACAAAGCCACCCCCTGCCCCACCTACTACTAACGGCGTGCATGCCAACCTGGCCCACCCCCAGGGCTCCCCAAGGCACCGGCCACAGGCGTCTCCTATGAGCCCGCCACCATCCATCTCCACTGACCCCAGACACACAGGCCTCCTGCCCACTCTCTGCTCCCCAGGTGCTCCCCTCTCATCCTGCTGTCTGCAGCCCACTCACCACCAGCCTGGCTTGTGCCCCCTTAGGCCACACCGAGCCGTGCTCCAGCACAATCCCCTCCTCTCCGCTCCACATGCCCCCAGCCAGCGCTTGTCTCCAGCTCCCTACACAGGGACCCCGGCCGGGCAGGGATTTTTGCCCCCGCCACATGCGTCCCCAGGCACATCCGGCTCCCCGCAGCCAGGGACCCCGGCCCAGCTCGGGCGCCCACGCACCTTGGCCAGGACAGTGACAAAGTCCTTGAGGGTCTTCAGCTCGGCGCCGGCCAGGGACCTGTGTGCGGCGAGCTCCACCCTCAGCAGGTGGTGCAGCCCCGACTCCAGGTCGGCCGTATACAGCTTGGACCTGGGGGCGAGCACTGCCAGGTCAGGGAGCCCACCGTCTACAGAAACCCCCTCTGTTCCTGAGCCCGACCCCAGAGGGACACCCCTAGGACGCCCCACCAGTAGACAACAGGGAGACTCCCCAAGAGGCCAGCAGGTGGGTGGTGGGCTTCTGAACGAGCCGCCCAGAGGAGCCCTGGGCCCAGACCCCCACTCACGGCGGCTCCCGCAGCTTCCTGGGGAAGAACACTCGCCTGTCAAAGTCCCTCCAGACCACAGCCTCCGAGCTCTCCTCTCTGCTGGGTCTCCCAGGCAGGGAACTGGGTTTCTTCCTCACTCCCGGCAGTGACCTCAGGTAAGAGGAGAAAAACGACCGGAGTGGCTTCCCCCTGCAAGAGCGGGGCAGGGGCGCGCTTAGGCGGCTCCTGGGCCTGGCCCGTGGGGAGGTGTCTCAGGGCGAGAGGGTCAGAGCAGCGCCCCCCTCCCCACCAGAGGCAATGTGATCCGCCCAGACCAGTCATCCTCTGAGCATTTCATGCAGGTGTTTGAGGCAGGGGGCAGGCAGAATGGTGACAAAGCCTGGGCCTTGGGGAGCTGGCCCCCACTTGAGAACATAAGACAAATCCAGGAACAGTACCGACCTACAGGTATAAAAAAGACCAGGATTCATTTGTTTGGTGGGGAGGTTAAGATGGCCCCGACAGCTGGTGTGAGCACCTGCCAGGGTCAGTTTTGTCCAAACTTGTGGTTCCGACCTCAGACTCTCTGCCCGCAGGCTGCCAGCCCCACTTGGGGCGTCCGGGGTCTGGCAGCGAGGGGCTCCCGAGCACTGCGGCGCAGCCCCTCTGCGGTGGGCAGGGGCAGGACTGGGGTCACTGGAGGGCTCCACCCTCCCGAGGTGGTCAGGGGTCACCCGAAGGGTCCAGAGCCTATTTTCATTCCCAAAGAGAAGGTGCAGCAGCTATCGCTAAAAACACCGCCTTTTCATGCTGAAGTTACAGGGACACTTTGGATGTAAAACGAGCGTTTTTCCCTGAATCGGGATGGCAGTGTACTCAGGGGTGTACTCAGGGCAGGTCTGCTGAGATGGGTGCCCGGCTCTGTGAGCCCAAGGGCTCAAGCACGACCCCAGAGACCTTGCTTGCCCTGAATTCCACTGCTTTCCCAGAAAATACCAGACAGGCAAGGAACCATGCATGTCTAAGGCTCCTGGGGATGGCACCCTCGGTGCCCCAGGAAACTTCTTGGGGTGTGGGGGGAGGCCCACCCACATGTGGCGACTCACCAACAGCTCCGTGGATGCAGGCAGGGCTGACCCTGGCCACTGGCTGCGGCGGGGGCCCCACAGGCAGCTCAGGTTCCAGGAGGCACCCCATCCCACCCGTGAGGCCCTCCCAGACTAGACTCAACTCACTTCCTTTCCAGCCGAGCTTGTCTCACAGTGCACAGGCCCCACTGCAGAGGCCAGTGGCATCCTGCTGCTTCTGTGGGTCTCACAAGGCAAGCAACACATGTGGGGCCAGAGCCGGTCCCCCTGCTTTTTATTCTGGACACCAGGTGGCGAGTCCCCCCAGACCAGTGAGTGCCACGCGGTGCAGGAGGGCGGCAGACGCTACTTACACGATGACTGACCCATGCGACCCGTTCGGGTGGATCAGGTAGCACGAGGGGAGGGATGGCACGCCGAGCTTCTGCAGGAAGGCGGTGTCGGAGCCCAGCGCCCGCTTCACCTCAATGCGCTCGTAAGGAATCAGGTCTAAGATCACCTGGGCGACGAGACGGCACGTCACCTTCTTGGTGGACGGCGGGGTCCGCGGGAAGCGCTACACTGACGAGCGTGCCTTCTTACAGAAACTAAAACAGCCTCTCAGCCCATCTCCTCCCTGAGGCCGGCGCCACTGACGCCCCTACTGTGCTGCGCTTTCAGGCCCCCGGGGCTGCAAGGGCAGGAACAGCGGCAGCCGTGCGGACCCTCAGAGCGGTCAGAGCTGTGCTCCCCACACCCCCTCCAAAGCCCACCCCGTCAGATGGGGCCGGTTGCCCCCAGGCGAGTGGGGGCCACGCCCCAGCCTCCCCGCCACCAACAGGGCTTGCTTTGGGAGGCTGACAGCACCCCCTTCCCGACTGGCCAGCTGAAGGGCACTGGATTTGGCAAAAAGTTGGGAGTCCAGAATACAGCAGAAAGTCTGGACCATAGCACCTATGAGACAGAGAACGCCCTCAGGGACAATGCGTATCCTGGGGACCACATCCGCTGTGAGCCCACCTGGCCCCCCAGGGGAGGCAGCACTGGGGAGCTGCTTCTGTCTCCCCTGGGAGGCAGCCCCCAACCCTGTCCCAACCATCTTCTCTGTAAACCAGTCTTCTCTAGTGAGTTTGTTCAATAATGCACACGACAACTCTTGAGAATTAATGAGCGCAGAACACACGCTCCAAGAGGTGAGGCAGAAGTCGCTCCTGTCACGGAGTCTGACCGCAGCGCCGACACGGGCGGGGCGCAGACAGTACCTCACGTCCCACGTAGGAGCTGTCGTCTTCCAACAGCACAGCCACATACCGGTCGCCTCGCTTCTCGATGAGCGAAAGGACGTCACTGGGCCTTTTAAGAGGAACAGAGCCTTTTAGTGCCTTCAAGGCCACCGCACACCAGTGCCCACATCACTTAATGCGAGTCTCTACTTTACAAAATTAAATTCAACTTGAAACGTGCCACCTTTTCCACAGAAGCACGCACCTAATGGGGTCCAAGGACGGGCAGGCGGGGGGCCGATTTCCGTCCGTGTGGTTCTGCAGGAAGTTGATCATGGTCCGCCTCACTGTCTGCAGTTCTCGGTCGGGCCCTGCAGGGAGGCGCCCCCGTCACGGGCGAGTCGGCAGAGCCGAGCGCCCGCCCCACCCCAGGACCCCCAGGGCGCGAGGCACACACAGGGGCATCATGCAGAGACCACCTCGTGGTGACCAGCGTGGGAACTGGTGAGCTTCAGAGCCCCCGGGGTGCAGACAGGCCACAGGCGTGTCCATCCCCAGCAAGCGCAGAGGCAGGCCGAACGCCCTCACCTGCGGGCTCCGGGGCGGGGGGGCGGGGGTCATTCACAAAATTCACTGGGGAGCCCATGTGACGCGTGTACCTTTCCAAACTTTTGTTTTCAAAAAAATTTTACTTAAAAAAAATTTAGCCACCATATTTGCCAAAAGCAAACATTCTTGCTGAAACTGTGGCTATTGAACCCTTCTGGGGAAGAAAAGGACCAACAGCGTCAAGGCGAACCTGCCAAAGCGGGGGAGGGCAGGCCCGCACAGGCCCTGGTCTTGCTGTGACGGACGCAGGCGTCTAGGGGAGTAAAAGACAATGTGTGTGTCCTTACCTTTAAAATTTTCTCCAGTTGTAAAGTCCTTTGTAAACGCTTTAAAATACTAAGGAGAAAAAACCAACAACAAGAAGTAAGAAACAGACTTGCCCAGCGTCTGTGTAAACGTCTGATCTTCAAGCCACAAAACGGCCATCACGTCTGAGAGCTTTAGTCTAACCGCTCCAGGAACTTTACTCTGATAATGAAACCACCACTCTATGGGCCTCTGTGCAAGGCAGTGTTTCCTCCAGACTCACGAGGGCTGCTGAGTACCAACGGGACCCGGGCGCACACGGGTGCTGCCCCGACGGGGCTGGGACCCCGCGGCCAGCACTGCCCCCAACAGGCTCGTGGTGCGCCAGTGCACAGACTCCTGGGAGGAAAGCAGGCTCTGCGGCAGGTCTTCCAGCGGAGAAGCATTTCACTTGAACGTTAAAAACCTTCTTCATTAAAAGACTCAGTGAAGACAATGGAGAAAGGGACGGCTGGGGTGACGACACTCCCCCCTCACAACTGGACAAAGGGGCGTGATGAAGACACACGGGGCTTGTACACCAGCCCAGAGAACACAGGTGAACAGCGGGAGACGGGCGGGGGGCCGAGCAGAGGTCACCCCGGGCCCCCATCAGCACCGCACTCCAGGGCTGGGCCCCGGTGGTCACCGGGCTGCCGGGATGCGGGGCCCCAGCCACACCCAGCGTGTGGGGGTCCCAGCAGTGTCCTGTTAGGTGAGAGGGGCCCCCCGCATACGCAGCACAGCACCCTGTGGGTAAAGCCAAGACACAAGAGGCAAACCCAACAGGAAGGCCCTGAGGGGACCCAAGCCTGGACCCGCGCTCCAAGGCCTGGCCAGGGACGGACACACGAGGTCACCAGGTCAGCATGGCGGGGAGAAGCAGCTGGCGCCGTGCTCATGGAGCGCGGGTTCAGGGCTGAGGGAGGGGGCCCCGAGCGTCCCAGAGGCCACCTCCGAAGGCGCGGCTTCTCCCCTCAGATGCGCTCCAAGGCGGCGAGTGAGCACACACACAGGCACGTGCATGCACACACACACAGGCACAGGCGCACACACTTGTGCACACACACACACAGCTGGGTGCACTGCTCAGGCTCCAGTCGCCCCCTAGCGGGAGAGATGGGGACAGACTTGTCTGCCGGGCGGCCACAGCGACCAGCAGAGCCGGCACCCAGAAACCCCACCCCCCCCCACCCCCCCGGGCAGGGCGCCTGCGGGCCCCACCTCACTCAGACATACTCTCAGGGCAGAGCCCAGCCGCTCCCATGCCTGCAGGCCTCGCTCCCCTCCCCTTGCTGGGCGTGAGCAGTCCCAGTGTGACCCTGCAATCCAACCAACGGGGTGCAACGAGAGGTGAGCCCTGCACACAGAAGCCCCTGAGTGGGAAGACGCCTGCCCCAAGCCCCCAGGCTGTGAGCGTCAACTTGGAGCAGCTGGCGCAGAGGGGCGGCTCACCCGGAAGGTGGGGTAGAAGTGGATGTCGTAGGTGCGGCACACCTCCTGGTTCTTCTCCTCCGCACAGTCTAGGGCGGCGACGCGGATGGCGGCTGCCCAGTCTGCAAAGCAGGAGTGAGACTGTCAGCAGGGCCCCGTCCTGGCAAGGACTGGGGGAGCCGCGCCTTGGAGACCCCAAGGCGCAGCTCACACAGGCGAGGGCAAGGATGGGGCTCACGCCTTCAGTTGCCAGCTTCAGAGGCAGGGTCTCCCCAACATCCCCAGGTGAGGGTCTCTCTTTGGAAGACCTGCTCCCTGCTCCGGGACAGTAAGAGCCCCAAACCTTCCCTGGCTCCTCGGCCGGCTCAGGGACAGCCTGCAGGGGAAGCAGGAGGGCTGGCAGCGTGGCACACGGGCAGCAGAGGAGAGCTGGGCAGGACCGGCCTGAGGGGATGGGCCAGGGCGGGCCCTGCTCACCGCCGCCCGCACTCAAGTGACATCTGAAGGGGAACCTGCGGCTGTCCGTCCCTGAGCTGTGGTGAGTTCTGACAGATGCCACCAGTCTAAACCAGTCACCTGACTGTAAGTCATGGCAAATGAGTTTTCTTTGAGTGCTGCTAAAGCCAAAGACTTCAGAGATTATAGTAAGGATAGGCCTGGAAGGAGACAGGACAGCCTCACTAAGAACTACCCAGACACGAAGGCTTGTATACATCGGCAACTCAGTAACTGCTTTCGTTCCATCTAATATTACACTTATCTTTAAAAATACATGCCTTCCTCCTCTGCAATTATAAAAAGTATTTATTGATATTAACATAAAGCAAAAGATCAAGTGATAAAAAAACAACACAAGATAACCCTATATGCAAAACAGAAAAAGAGACACAGATGTACAGAACAGACTTTTGGACTCTGTGGGAGAAGGCGAGGGTGGGATGTTTCGAGAGAACAACATGAACATTATCTATAATGAAACAGATCACCAGCCCAGGTGGGATGCATGAGACAAATGCCCTGGCCTGGTGCACTGGGAAGACCCAGAGGAATCGCATGGAGAGGGAGGTGGGAGGGGGGATCGGGATGGGGAATACATGTAACTCCATGGCTGATTCATGTCAATGTATGACAAAACCCACTGCAATGTTGTGAAATGGTTGGCCTCCAACTAATAAAAATAAATGAAAAAAAAAAAACCAACACAAAACACACGGCTCCATCTTTCGTAAAATCAATGATAGAACAGCGCTCTACATAAGTGGCCGTAGTGAGGCCGGCTCATCCTGAAGGCATTTGATAGGATGGAAAAAATCACAGAGCCCTCCTGAATCACAGGTCACGTTTTTCCGGAATCTCAAATTACAAGGAACTAAGGAAGAACAGTTAACACTCTTGTCCCATCAGTGAGGCCGGAGCGCAGACGTGGGCAGGACGCAAGGCCCAGGGTCACTGTGCCTGCAGGCACTGCGCCCCACCCAGGGGCCGACTGCGAGCAGGGAGCCCCGTGCTCTCCACTCAGCGGCCTGTCCATCCCGCCAGAGCGCCTCACTTCTGCGACCTCCTCCCGGCTCACAAACACACGGATTCAAGGCTTACTGAGAATTTCCATGACAAGCTTTTGCTCCATCTTAAAAAAAAGTGCTCCAGGACCAGAGAGAGAGGAGAAGGAACACGGCTCCAGGCGCTGACACTACACACACGTGGAGCCAGCTGACAGAGACAGGAAAACACTCAGAGCCGCTCACGAGGGCGCCGTTTTCACGTGGGACTCGGCCCTACGCTTTTTCAGGTTTTTCTTAATAAGCATGCACTACTTATAAAATGTAGAAAAATGTGGAACCTCGGGGTACTTGGGACCGTGTGTTCACATCTGTGTACCATGGGACCCGTGTGCTGCTCTCAGCTTGTACCTCCCCAGACTCCGGGGGCAGAAGGCCACGGACAGCAGCCATCGGGGCTGCCAGGCGTGCTGGCTGCAGGGAGACGGGGCCCCAGGCCCGGGCATGGCCCTCCTGACTCCAGAGGGGCGCTGGCTTCACACGGGCCCTGGTTCAACAGCCCTGTGACCACAAAAGAGCACCGCAGGCTCCAGGGCTCGGCCTGCAGGCCTGCATGGGGGTGATCAAGACCTCCCAACTGCCCCCGGGGCCTGGCCCCCACCCCAGCCCCCTGGCCAGAAATTCCCCATGGTCAGCGGGTGACACTGTCCCCACCACGACGCACCCTGCTCTCAGCGCCGGACAGATCCCTCTGGTGGACACTCCACTGGCCTGTGCTCAGCTGCCTTCCTCTTCAAGGTCACGTCAGCCCCACAGGGAGGCCACCGCAGCCAGGCGCCCCTCCTGAGACGCAACCGACCCCCGTGCCTAGCCCTCCTCCCAGAGTGAGGAGGGGAGGGACAGCCCGGCCCTGGGAACCACCGTGTCCTGGCCACAGATGCCCTGGCCAGAGCAGCAGAGACGGGGTGATATTTGGCACCAGCTTTGCTTCTCCAGCTTCCCAGGCTCCTTCAAGTATCCCAGGCACCCAGTAGGTGGGCCCTGCCCTTCAAAATAGGGTACACCTGCCAGTGACTTCCAAAAGAAAGACCTTGGTTTTCCCCAGGGTTTTAACCACCTGCTTATTCCCAGGGTAACAGTGAAAAGTTGAGGTGTTACCTGAAATAGCAGCAGTGCCCCAGCATCAGTCTGACTGCGCTGAAATGCCCTGTGTTTAAGAAAAACTTACGCTGGACTAATCTTTCCTGGGACATCTCTAGTAAATGAAACACTTCATAAATTTACAAGAGTGAGGGTTCCCAGCACTGAGTCCTTCCTAAGTCAGCATCAGGGTGTAATTTTCAAAAAGCCAAGAACATGACTCATCACCGCAGAAGGGGAGTCACACACGCCTTCGACCTGCTTACTGACAGACCTGGCTGAGGTGAGAGAGGACCAGCCCCCCAGGACAGAGCTGGCCGATGTCGGAGGGCAAGAAGCCCTCAGGTTTCCCTTCCCACTGGAAAGAAACGATTTGCATCGCTCCCCAGTGAGGTCTGTGAGTTCACTGCAGCCTGGGTCTGAGCCCTTGACTAACGGTCATGAAACAAAAGTCAACACAGGCACAGCCCTGGGGACTCAGGCTTGGGGAGCAGGCCCGGGTGATACTGAGAGGACACAGGTCCCACCTTGGCTCAAGTCTCAAATGTGTCCTAACAGGAGGACGCAGAAGCAAGCAAGCCCCCCTGGGCAGTGACCGACCAGGGGTAGTCACGGCAGTGCCCTGCAAACCAGCGTGACTGTGAGGCTCAGGGTCAGCCTGACCCCCGCCATCAGCCCCAGGGTGCAAGCCAGCTGGAGGGCCGTCCCTCCTGCACCCAAGCTGACACCAGCTTCTGAACGGCCGACGGCCCTGGAGAGCCAGGGCCGCCACACCCCTCGGAGCCCGTCCACACCCCCCCAGCACCCCCACTGGCCAGCGAGTCTCTGGGCCTCAACCCTGCAGGGAGCAGCCGGGGACTCTCCATGGAGAGACCAGGCCGAGGGGCCTCTGCTGAAGCCGCTCCTCCGGCAGCTCTCGTGGCCGTCAGGGCTGGGCCCTCTGGACGCGGCACCTGCTGGCCCTCTGTGTGGCGGGCCCCTCGCGCAGCGGCCCTGCCTGGTGCCAACCCCAGCGTCCCGCTCACCCTCCGAGGACCTGCCCCCCCCCCCCATGTCCACCTGTTCACGCTGCTGGCGCGCCTGCGCCTTGTCCGTCCTCCCCTCTGAAGGATGGGGTCCACACGGACAGGGAGCGCATGCAGTGTGTTCCGAGACGCACGCAGGTCGCCACACGCCGGTGGGGACAGGACGGCCCCTGTCGGGCTGAGGACTCTGGGGTCTGCACATGCACCCCATTGAGGCAGCAGCCCATGGGAGGGCCTGGGGCCTGGCCTGCCGACGCCTCACGTGGCCCTTGTCCACCTTTGAAAGAGGTTGCCTGTGCGGGGCGGGAAGGAGGCAGATGAGGAAGATTCCGGTGACGCAGGCACCAACAGCCACCGCAGGCATCCCGGCAGATGGGCGGCTTTCACGGCAGCACAAAAGGGAGCCAGTCTGTTTTATCAAGGAGAATGCAAACCGTTTCAGAGGGTGAGCTTCAGGGTCTGTGCTCATTCAGCTGGTACCCTCCCCTCCTCCCGCCTCTCCCACCTGTCGGGACTTCACACACAAAGGAGAGAAGCGCTCTCAACTGCATGCAAATCGCCTGCTTTCAGGACTAGGCGTCAGCCACCCCCAACTGCCGGCCCAGGGCACAGGGCCTCCACAGGGAGCCGAGAGCCCCACGCTCCTCACTTCCGCTCACAAGCCTGCCTATTTTTAGGATCACAGACTAAAAAAAAATACCAGAAATAACTAAGCATGTCTACACAGCAGACTACAATTCATCTCAAGTTTCCTTGTCAAGTAACTATATTATTTATCTTCACAGGATTAAACTTCCCACCATTACCTGGCAAGTTCTAATAGAACGTCTACAAGTCACACTTATGGTAAAGCATCCATCACTTGAAGAAAACGGTTACAGCTCAGATTAATTAACCCCTTGGGTTTCAGAGAATCCCGCCCCTCACTTCCTTGCCGCCTCCCGGTCCTCTCGCCCTCGGGAGGGAGGGCGGTCAGGGTGACGCAGCCGCTTGGCTCCCAAGCTGGCGCCGCTGGAGGGCGCTCTGGCCCCCGCGAGGCCCCTCCAGGCCGAGCAAAAGGCCTTTCAGGAAAGCTCCAAGTTCAGGACACACAGGCCTGGGCAGAGAGGAAGCCAGTGCTAAGGAGCGAGCCTTCCCACCAGCACCCCCCACCCCCCAGCAGCCTGGAGTCGCGCTCTGGCTCAGCCTCCGGGGAGCGGAGGGCCGCTTCATCCCTGCGCTTGCACACGGGTGTGCTTAAGCTAGCACTGTCTGTGGTCCTGCAGGCGTCGCGGCACACTCACTGTGAACAGCACCTGCGGGAAGGCTGGCCGGCTCTGCCGGCTGGGGCGGGGGCGCGCAGCACAGGCCACGGGCGGGAACCGCTCTGAGATCAGGGTCCCCTGGCCGCCCGTGAAGCCAGCGACGTTCGCCACCAGGGCTCCTCCGCTCAGGGTCCGGAGGGGCACGTGCCGGCGGTGTCCCTCTGGGTCTGGCTGCAGTGAAGCCTGGGTCTCACAGACAAGTCTCAGCGCAGGGGGAGCCCCGTGTGGGGGACGTGCCCCCGCCCACCTTCCTCTCCAGGGTTCAGGTGGGGTCCTGTTCCATCAGCACTCTGCCCCCCTCCCCCCCCCCCCACTTCTCCCAGCGGACAGGGAGCGGCCGTGGGGACCATCAGCTGGTCTAGAACATGTGCATGAAGTCTGCAGCCATGCAGACAAGGAGACCAGCTGGTGACCGAGATGGGTGGGAGGCGAGGCGGGCGGCCACGGCAGGCGGGGCGTGACTAGCCCCGGAAACGCCAGGCGCGACCCCATGGGGCTCCAGCACCCGCCGCTGCCACTCGACAGCGTGGCCGCGCTGCAGTGCTGCCTGCCGGTCCTGCTTTCCTGAGTCTCTCATCAAGGATTCTGGGGCTCAGTGGTAAAGAATGTGCCTGCCTGGAGACATGGTTTTGACCCCTGATCCAGGAAGATCTCACAGGCCGTGGAGCAACTCAGCTTGGGCGCAACTACCAAGCCTGTGCTCAAGAGCCAGTACTCCGCAAGGAGAGAAGCCGCTGCAGCAGAAGCCTGAGCACTGCAGCCAGAGAAAAGCCCAGACAGCAACAAAGATGCAGTGCGGCCAAAACGAACAAACAAGCACAATTACAGGTAAAAAAAAGTGTGATCTTGTTTTAAAAAACAACACTCTAGGGTCAATGACAGAACACCTTCCCCTGTCCCTCCCCAAGACGGAGCGGAGGAGACACGGGCTGGAACAGACGCCCAGGACCCGGCGGCCCCGACAGGAGCACTTCGTGCGAGAAAGTCTCCGAGGCGGGCAGCGGCCCACCCCCACCAGGTGTTTCAGCTCTCACCTCAAGGAGGTGGCGCAGAGACTGAGCTGACATCACAGCTCCAGGCAAGAGGGTTTTCAGAGCACAGTAGGGTTTTGTTTAGTGAAGGATGTAGAAGTGACGGGCCTAAGCCAGATCTACATAAAGACTGGAAGGACATTTGGCTGCACCCACAGTACCTCTTTTGTTTGTTAAGCCACCTTCATAGAAGGAAAAACAATTATTTTCAAAATCTTAAAAATGTCAGCAAAGAGCTCAAGTTCAATCCAAATCTTTTAGGAAAACAAAGGTGCCCCGACGCTGTGTAGAGAGAGGCCCTGCCAAGGGGAGGAGCCCCCGCCCCCTGCAGACTCCCGTCCACTCTGAGCAAGTGGAGGGGCGGGGAGGGGGGGGCAGCAGGCACTCCCCCGGCTCAGTGGCCAGCCCCAGCCTCAAGTCAGGGAGCAGGGGCTGTACTGTAGCCAGCCGCCTTCTATAAGCCACGCTGCTGTCGAGGATGGGGGTGGAGGGCAGACCAGCCCTGCAGGTTGGACACGGTGTTTGAAGAGGGGTGGGAAGAGGCATCTGACGGGCCCAGGCCAAGGTCTGCGTGTCCTGGGAGGCTCACTGAACCCCCCCATTCACAAGAGACTGACTGGGCCTGAAGCAGTGAGGGTGGGAGCAATGACTGCACTGAGACTGGAACTTGTGGGCGCTGGGCACCCCTGCCCCTGCGGGACGGCCCCTGGCAGAAGTGAGGTGCTGGGCGGAGGGGTTGCACCAGCCTCCCCAGCAAGGGTGCGGGCAGTTCTTCTCAACGCACTCCTCAGGGACTTCAGAGATGACGCATGGGGAGGACCCCGGGTCAGTCAGGTGGGAGCTCAGGATCCGAGTGGCAGGTTCCTCTAGCGGAGCATTCTCGTGTGCAGACAGCCACGGGGGGGTGGGGGTCCCTGCACCCCCGCAAGCCTCAGGCCCTCTCCTGCAAGTGTCTAACGAGGTCAGTGGCCCCAAGTCAGGGATCCTCCACCTCTGGGGCTTACGCTGACAGGAGGCCGGGCCTCATGCCCAGAGCTGCTGCTCTGCCTGCTTCTGTCTCCAGTCAGAGCTGGTGCTCAGGGAGCCCCCGGCAGTCCAGCTCTCAGGACCCCCTTCCTCCCCCCATCTTTGGAGCCACAGCTGTTTTTCACTCTCAGCCACATCTCCTTCTGTCTCAGGCCTGCTTTTCCTGCCTTCACTTGCAGAATGCCCAACTCGGCGTGCATGCTAAGTTGTTTCGGTCGTGTCTGACTCTGCGACCCCAGGGACCATAGACCTCAGGGTTCCTTTGTCCATGGGATTCTCCAGGCAAGACTACTGGAGTGGGTTGCCATGCTCTCCTCCAGGGGATCTTCCCCACCCAGGGACTGAACCCGGGACTGAAGCCAGGTCTCTTACACCTCCTGCACTGGCAGGCAGGTTCTTTACCATGAGTGCCACCTGGGAAGCCTCCAGCTCTCTTAAGATAATCTTATTTAGCCAATAGTTAGGCTAATCACACCACTAGGTAATGGATTTTACTACTAGACTGGCCAAAAAGTGCATTTGGGAACATACAGAGAAATCTGAATGAACTTCTTCGGCAACCAATAGTTTCGGTCTCAAAAATAACTTTCCTTCTGAGTTCAGAGACAACTTCCAAGGCTCCTTACATGCTGGTTCAACCATGATATGGTTTGCAATATTCAAATCCAATTTACAACTTTTGTATTTCATACACTAAGCTGAAAAAAATCAAAATATGCACAAAACAGGTGATGACGTCTTGCCAAAACAATGAGCATTAAAATTTATGTATCCGTGTTTCTGCCTCCCAACAACAAAAGAAAACTGAAAAGTCCTTTTATTATTAAAAGTACTTGCTTGATGACAAAGCAAAGGCTTACAGGACACCTATTATGGAGCAGGCCGTCCATTTCTTGAAGTCTCTGGCTTCAGTTCTGATCAGAGGTGAAAGTTCAAGAAAACACTAGATCAAAGAACAGACACTTTAGAATCAAGAAGTCCCAATACCTTGAGGCAAGAGAAACACTAAAGATAATCACACAATCAAGTACAAAAGCCCGATTTAAAAAAAAAAGCCCGATTTAGACTTTTTTTTCAAGTTTCACGAGGAATCTGTCTAGATATGAGAAAATCCCAACAGGGCTGGCTGTTAAACTGCAGTTCAGGAAGAGAGCCCAGGGATTTGTTACTCTCTTGCCCTCGGAAATATATAATTAGAGGCCAGCTCAGCCTCAGCAAAGTCCTGGCAAACCCTGCTCTTGTCGGGGACAGGCCCCCACTTCAGAGCAATTCGCATTCTCTTCTGAAGCTCAGCCAGCTTGTAGGAAGGCTGCTGCAACACCCTTCAACAGCTACGACTGTGCAATTTAGAGCACGCCAAGAACTTAGCGGCTGATTAGCAACTCACATCCTGATGAGAAAGTGCCAAGCGTCAGTCAGGTGTGGGAACGGGACCAGAAGTTTGGTGGGTGACAGATTGGCCCAAGGCTGCGTGTCCACGCACAAGGAACCAACCAATGAAAGGCGGGAAGGTCTTTTGCTGCTTCCACAGATAAGTCTCCACACAGCTGAACCTCTCTTTGAGTAGCCACCATATATGCTCAGCTCTCTAAACCGAAGGAGAATGAAGAACGACCTACAGGGAAAGCAGCCCGGGAAAGAAACGGGGAGCCTCAAAGAACCGGGATTCCAGGCAGCGGGGCGGAGTTACTGAGGACGAGATGAACGTCAGGACACAGCTAGGATAAAGACCTGGGGCGGAGGTGGTTACTGAAGCTCTCAGAGACTCAACAAGAGGGCCTGGAGAGCTGCGGCAAATGGGGAAGGCCTCTGTGTCCCCAGCTGAGTGAGGACGGCGGCGGCAGAGGGGTTCCTGTCATCCTAGCTTGACAGCCGACTTCCCAGATCTCCACGGGGTGGGGGAGTCAAACGAGGGATGAACCCGAGGTGCAGGCCAGCGGGCGCCGAAGCGGAGCGCCAGGGGAGAGGGACCTGAGGAGAGGCTCCGGGGGTCGCGGGCGTCAGGCCAGCGGCCGGGGTCTGGCGCCCGCGCCAGGCGCGCCTCACCTCGCACGTCCGCGGCCAGGGCCCGCCAGGTGGGCGCGTAGCCGATGCAGTGGCCGCACCACGAGGAGTAGAACTGCACGAGCCAGGCGGCCGAGCTGTTGGCGGTGGCCCTGCGCACGCCGCCGCTGTCCAGCACCCACACGGCGTCCTCGCCCGCGCGGTACAGCCGCGCCGCGCCGCCCGCGCCCGCCGCCGCCGCCGCCGCCGCCGCCGCCGCCGCCGCCGCCGCCGCCGCCGCCAGCAGCGCGAGCACCGGGGGCAGCCGCGCGGGCCGCGCCGGGGGCGGGCGCCGGGCTCGGGCCGCCGCCGCCGCCGCCGCCGCCCCCGCCGGGGCTCCCGGGCTGCGCGCTGCAGACGCCTCCGTCCCGGCCGCCGCCATGTTGGGAGTGCCGCGCCGCGCCTGACCTTTCACCCTGGCAACCGCCGTCACGAGCGCCGCGCGCGCCGGGCCCCGCCTCCAGCGCCCCGCCCCGCCCCGCCGGCCCCCCCCGCCGGCGGCCGGGTCCCGCCCCCACGCGTCTCGGCCCCGCCTCCCAGGCGCCCCTCGGCCTCTGACCCCGAGCTCCAGGCACTGCCCCGCCTCGCCCCGCCTCCTGGCCCAGCCCTCGGCCCCACCCAACGAGGCACAGGCCCCGCCCCTTCACGTCCCGCCTCCGAGTCACAGGCTCCGCCCCTTCTCGCCCCGCCCCCATTCTCAAGGGCTCCGCAGACACCCCCCAAAACCGCCCCCCCGCCTCACCCCGCTCCGTGTTAGGGTCGCCAGATTTAGCAAATGAAGGTACAGGAAGCTCCGTTAAATGTAAATTTCAGATAAGCAGCGAGGTGTTTTTTTAAGTCTAAGTATGTATCATACCTGAAATGCAAATTTAATGGGGCACATTTAGACTAAAAACGCTTCGCTGTTCAACTGAAATTCACATTTTACTGGGCTTCCTGTGTTATATCTGGCAACCCTACCTGGGGCTTCGGAGGGGTCTGCAACCCTGACTTTGTTTTTTTTAACCTGAGATTTTCGACTCTTAGAAAACTTGCAAAACTTACTGCACAAACCCCGCGGATATGTTACAGAGCTAGGATTGCCCTGCAAACCTAGGAAAGAAAGCTTCCTACGATTTGTTTACTTAATTTAACGGGAGACCTGTTTTTTCTATTGCTATTCCTAATTGTTTTGTTCATATCAGATTTTCTCTGAACCGTGTGACCGAAAACAGAAAAGAAAGGAAGTGGACCACAGAACGGACATGAGTCAGCATCCATCCTCTGTGGGCCTGGAAGTTCAGATTCCCATGTTCCAGGCCACCTCGCTATCATAGGGGATCAACAGTTAAATATGTACATGCTATGATTTGAACACAAACTACTTTATAGCCATGCAGTCATCCCCCTGCTCTTTGCACTGTGGGATGCTGCATAAGATTTTGTCTGAAAAGGGTTTTGTTGTTTGTGTTTCGAAGGTTAGAAAACCCCGGTTAAGGGGGATCCAAACTAGAGCCCCCTGGTGCAGACACGTGTGCCCCCTCCCCGTTCATTCGTCACTAACACTTGCTGGGCTTCTGCTACACGCCAGGCCCCGGACACTAAAGCCCAAGCTTCACTGGGCCAGGAGAGAGACCCAAAACAAACAGGCCTGTGAGGTGGAGATAAGTGCTGTGAAGAGCAGTAGAGTAGGGCGGGGCTGCTGTAGGGCGGTGGGGGTGTCAGGAAGTCCTCTCAGAGAGGGAGACTGTGGGTGAAAGAGGTAAGAAGAGAGGCAAGCAGCTCAGGCAGAGGACTGCACGTGCAAAGGCCCTGAAGCAGAAGGGGCAAGTGTGCTGGAACGGCAGCGAGTGGAGGGGGCGTAGAGCTGGAGAAGCAGCTGAGAGCAGGACCCCACAAGGCCTCCGCAGAGGAGGGCCCTGGCCCCAAATGCAAAGGTGGTCAAGTGAGGATTTTGAGCAGGGTTGTATGGTTCTGCCCTTCTGACTGCCGGCTAGAAGGGGTGGGAGGGGAAGCCCCCCCAGAGGCTGTCGCAGCCCTCCAAGAGATGGTGGGGCTCCACCAAGAGGCAGGCGGCAGTGCTGGTGATAAGGGTGGGACTTCACACACATGTGAAGGTGGGACGGGTGGTGGATTCAATCCAGGGTGTGTGACAGAGAGGTCACACCTGCTGCAGGGCTTTGGCCAGAGCAGCTGAAAGAATGCAGCCACCCTTGGCTGAGATGAAAGACTGCAGGGGAGGCGCTGGGAGAGCAACACAGGGCTGAGAGTGGAGGCCAAAGTGCCCCTGGACCTGCTGAGTTCCGCGGACCTTGGCACCATCTGCGGTTGGCACCAGGCCACTGGTTGGCTGTGTGAGAATGGGGCTCAGACGGTAAGTGGGGGCTGGTGAGGTCCCCACGGGAGGCAGTGAGGACTGGAGAAGGCTGGCCACACGCTGAGCCCCAGGCCTCCAGATGCAGAGCTGAGGTGAGGAGGGGCGGGAAGGAGCAGCAGTGAGGCGGGAGGGCAGTGGGAGAAGGTGGAAGGACACGCAGAGATCAAGACCGAGAATCCAGGATGGGAAGGACGCGGCGAGTGGACCTGGTCTGGGTAGGGCGTGGTTGGCTCCCTGGCAGCCTCAGCTTCTTTCTCCCTGTCCTCCCTCCCAAACCACTGACCACAGGCATGACCACAAGTCACATGGTGATTATTGGGCAGATAGACCAGGATCTGGTCACACGGTTGGCAAAGGCGGTCAAGGCTGGGCTGTCGGGAGGGAGTCTAGGGTCACCTGCACACCTGCTTCTCTCTGCAGGAGGGACTTAGCTTCTGAATACTGTGTCCATCTGCTCAGGCTGCCATAACAGAACACCGCAGGCCAGGTGGCTTAAACCACAGATGGGCGTCTATTAATGTCTCTCACAGGCTGGACGTCCAAGATAAGGGGTGGGCATGGTCAGTTTCTGGTGAGGACTCAATTCCTGGCTTGCAGACAGCCGGCTGCTTCTCGCCTGTGTTCACCTGGCCCTTCCTCTGTGCTGCCCGTGGAGAGAGAGGGAGGGGTCTCCACGGTCTCGTCTCATAAGGTCACTGACCCCATGGTGGGGGCCCTGCCCTCGTGACCCCATCAAACCCTGATCACCTCCTGAAGGTACCTCCTAATGCCATCCCGTCGGGGCTTAGGACTTCGGTGGTGGGGGGTGGGGAACACAGTTCAGACCTTGTCGTCATTTAGTCGCTAAGTCTTGTCCGACTCTGCGACCCCATGGACCGCAGCACACTAGGCTTCCCTGTCCTTCACGACCTCCTGGAGTTTGCTCAAACTCATGTCCATTGCGTCGATGATGCCATCCAGTTCAGGCCTTAGCAGACACTCAAAGTCCTCTGGAAGGACCGTGACCCTTCCCAGCCCCAGGTGTAAGCCCTACTGTCACTAACAGCTCTTCCTCTAGGGCTCTTGTGTTCCCCGTCCAGGTACTGAGGAGCGTGAGGGAGAGTCTCTGGGACCCCAGCTGTCTGGGGCAGCCAGTGGGCCTATGGGTTGGCTTAGCCGAGCACTGGGAGGCTGACCTTAAAAACAACACCAGTGCCTCCAATCCGCAGCACACGATTGGTTTAATGAAAAGTTCTTAGGAAAAGCACGCCTCGGTTGCAAAGTGCAGCCGCATGCAGAAGCATTCAGATGAGGTGGTGGGTTGTGTCTGAGAACCGTTAACACTGGCTTCCACGGATTAGCCAGGCCCCACTTCCCTGCTTGAAGCCGGGTGCCCCCACCCCACACCCTCCTCAATCTGCCCTCCTCCCAGCAGGAGAGGCACCTGCTCTCAGGGCACTGAGACCCACCTGGGCAACTGTCTGTGCTGCCAGGCGGTCGGCAGGTACCAGAGGCAATTCTCAGATTTGTGAGATGCACGCTGATTTCAAAGGGAGTAAAATGTCGGGAAGTTTTGCATCTTAGATGAAATGAGGTATTGGTATTCCTGTTTACGGGGCTTCCCAGGTGGCGCTAGTGGTAAAGAACCCACCTGTCAATGCAGGGGACATAAGAGACACAGGTTTGATCCCTGGGTCGGGGAGATCCCCTGAAGGAAGGCATGGCAACCCACTCCAGTATTCTTGCCTGGAGAATCTCATGGACAGAGGAGCTTGGCGGACTACAGTCTATGGGGTCGCAGAGTCAGACACGACTGAAGTGACTTTGCACGCACGTACATTCTTGTTTACAGAGGGGAAATCTGGGCCTCGGAGGGCCCAGAGCAGTGGTTAAGGACCCATGGAATGTATGTGGCAGAGGCAGAGGGACCTCCAACCTGGGTGCCTCCGACACCTGGGAGGGGCTGTTCTGATGCCCCTGACCGGGACAAAGGCAGAACTCTCATCCTCCCACCCCGAGTCTCCCCCATGGTAGTCATCCCGTCATGCCGGCTGGTGTCCAGCTGGGTGGCTGTGAGCCCGGGAGGTCAGGGCCGGCTGTCCCTTCTCCAAGCCCCCCCTCATGGGGCAGCTTCTGCACAAGGGTGGGAGACGAAGGGGCAGGCGAACTCCACTGCAGCCCGGCCCCGGAGTGGGTGCTGCCTCCACGCCCCTCAGCTGGCATCTGGTTTCAGGTTCAGCTGGTTGAGGACACCAGCCGTTCTCCAGCAAATTTACAGGATTGTTCCTGAGTGCTTGCCACGCGCCGGGGACGGAGCCTGGCGGGGACAGGCCTCTGTGTCCTCACAATGATGCCATGAAGAGGGCAGGGACTGCAGTCATGGAGGCGCGGGGGTGGGCATCCCTGCCACAGCCAAAGGCGCAGATGGAGCTGGCCCCAGCATTGCTAAATGTCCACGTCACCTGAACGGACACAGCCGAGGGGACACCCCTTGATCTGCTGCAGGTGAGTGGCAGGACGGGTCGGGGGGGTGCCCAGGGAGCCCCCGAGGGGGGCTGGGGTGCCCGGTGCATGTGTGACTCCTACCTGCTCCTCAGCCTGCAGTCACGTGTTGCAAACACTTCTACTCCTCGCTGTGCTCGGCGGGCGTTAAGAGACAGGGCTGGGGGGAAGGGGGCCGCTGGGTGCGGCCCAAGGCAGACGAGCAGGCTGGCAGTTGACGGCTGGGGTGGGGTGGGTGGCTAGGACATGGGACGGGGGACAGACGTGGGACCTGCAGACCCTCTGGGACCTCTTGCTGCAGGGGAGCCAGTGCTAAGATGCCACTTGTCGAGCACTCACAGGACGGCCTTGTCCCTCAGCTGAAGGCGACCCTGACCGGTGGCCCAGCTCCCTCGGAGGGCCAGCGCGCTCACCTCCCACCCTGCGGGAGCCGGGCGCCCCCACACGGGGGCGGGGAGGGCTCCCTCTAACAGGACCCGCGGGCTCCTGCGGGCGTGCGGCCTCCCTCAGCTGCTGCCGTGGCCTTCGTCTGTATTTTATGGTGAGGCTGTTAGGGCTGCGCAGGGCCAGGCTTCAGAGGGACTCGTAAAGCTCGTCTGGCGATTGGAGTTTAAGGCGCTGGGGGTGAGGTCCTGGGCGTTTGACGCAGGAGGGAACAGCTGAGGGGGGAGGCTGATGGAGACAGATCACGGGAAAATTCCGTGCGGGGTTTAACGGAGAAATAATCATTTTCTATGAAAGATAATGACTTCTCTGGAGGCTGGTATCAAGATTTATTGGCCCAAGAGGTTACAGGGATTGGAGCCAAGGCGAGCACGGTGAGACCTTGGAGGGAGCAATCTTGAAATTGAAGTCTCGCTTTGGGTCAATATATCTGAATGCCACCGCCCTCAGCTCCACATACGTAACGTCAGCGGAGATTAAGCACGTCCGATAGCTTCGGTGGACAGTCTTCCTCCTCTGGCCAGTCACTGGGTAACCCCAAGCTCCCTGGATCCGGCTCTCATGGGAAGGCGAAGGCCAGGGTCTTCATACAAGTCCTCCTTGACCAGACTCCCTTCAAGGGCGAGGGGCCACGGGGCCACAAAGTGACTCCAGGGACACACGTGCATGCTGGGCACCCAGGAGGCCCCAAGTCCAGCTGCGGCCATGGCCATATGCCTGGTGCCCAACTCTCAGCCCCTGCCCGCAGCGGCCAGACCCAAGACTATCGAATCTGAGGCAAATCTGCCGGGTTTTGATGTGGGAGATTTATGACCGAACGTGATGTGTGTAAAATACATAATTCCTCTCACACAGCCTCGTAAATCCAAAAGGGTCAGCGATAAATAGAAAAAAGAAATAAAAAATCACAGACTAATTTGTTCAGAAAACTAGGGGAAAATCAATAAGAAAGCTGTAGCTCAAAATTTGTCCTGAAATTGTGTAGGTGGAGAATGCACACACATTTTCCCCCAGTGGGCCCAAACCTCTTCTGGGCTCTCAGGCGGGCTTGGGAAGATCGGGTGTCGAGTCAACATGGGTTGTTGTGATTGCTGCTCCCCAGGACCGTGATCCCGTCCTGCGTGAGCTGGGGTATAATGCAGGCTGGGCCGGTGAGCTGCCCCAGAGGCTGGAGCCTGGAGACAATGGTAGGCGGTTCCTGCTTTGGCCTGCAGGGTTCTACGGGGGTCTGAGAGGCAGCACCTGGAGGCTTTGCCAGGCCAGCTTTGGACACGCTGCCCACTCTAAATGACAAGTACTGGAAAGTCTGGGTCTCTTCCCCTGGGTCCTATAAATGCTAAGTGAATGAGTTCCTCTCCTAAAGTGGAGTGAGGGCCGCAGGAGAGGAGTTCTTGTCATTCTGACTTGACAGCTGCCTTCCCAGGACCTCACGGGGGTCATATCCTGGACCAGCACCAGGACATCGATGTCCCTTAGGCCAACACGCCGCCGACTGCCTGACTCTGGACTCCCTGTCAAGCAGGTATTTTCCAATTTGAGAACTGGAAATGGCTGGACAGATGCTATAGTTGATGCAGGTAGGCAACTGATAGATGATATAAATGATAGATGATGGATAGACAATAAATAGATGATAGGTAGATAAGTGACGTGTGTGTAGTCACGTCTGACTCTTTGTGACCCCATGGACTGTAGCTTGTCAGGCTCCTCTGACCTTGGGATTTCTCAGGCAGGAATGCTGGAGTGGGTTGCTATGTCCTCCTCCAGGGGATCTTCCAGGGATTGAACCCAGGTCTCCCGCGTCTCCTCCAGTGGCAGGCAGGTTCTTTACCACCTGGGAAGCCCATATGGATAACTGATGGATGGTTTAGACGACAGGTGGTGAGAGAGACTGCCGTAGGACACGGGGAGTAACTTCTGAGAGATCAAGCGCAGCGTAAGTGAGCCTTATCTCAAGAAATCCTAACCACGTCAGAAGTTTAGAAGCCAATCTGAAAGCTGCTTCCTTTTATTTAATTTTCAGCCACGCTGTGTGACATGTGGGATCTCAGTCCCCCGACCAGGGGTTGAATCCACCCCAGCCCCCCGCCCTGGTAGGAAGCACAAAGCGCTAACCACTGGACCACCAGTGAAGCCCCTGCTCCCTTTTATGAAAGAGCTGATTGTTGGGCTCGCGGAAAAGCTACTTCTCCTCCAAGTGCGCAGATGACAATTCAGGAGAGAAAGACTGACAACACTGAAATGAGCCAGCCCCACGAGGACAGGGACAGAGCAGGGGCGTTGAGAAGACAGTGTTGGTTTCCAGTGAATTCCCTGGAGCACCAGCTCAGAGGTGCTCTCGCATTAGAACCAACACACACACGATGCAGCCTTCTTCTCCTCCTGGGGAAGGCGGGGTGGCTGCAGACAAGGCTTGGGAACTGGCGACAAGACACGGGGCGGGGGGGGGCAGGCTGAACTGGCCTGTGCCTTGGCAATGGTGCTTCCGCACGGCTCTGGGGGACGAGGGGGCCGCAGGGACCCCTCAGAGTCCATCAGCTGCTCGTGGGGTGGTTGCGGGGAGAGGTCAGTGCTGCAGTGGCCTGACCTTTGGCCCTGAAGGTCAGCTGCCCTGGTCTCACCCCGAGGTGGCCCGAGGGCTCCCCCGCCCAGTCTACCGAGACCCATGTCCCCGTGGGCCTGCGCCCAGCAGTCTTGCCCCGTCCTCCTGTCTCAGTCTCTCCCCACTTCCTTCCCACGGGAAACCCTCCTGGTGCTTGGCTGGGCATCAACTTCCTGGATGCCTGCCTGAGTCTGGTGCTGAGGGGGACAGGCGCTCTCGCAAGGGGACACCTGCGAGGCCGTCCCTGCAGGAGCGCCTTGTGCGGGAGCCCATACGCCACCTCCTCTGGAACCCACCGGGGCCTTGCTGCGTCTAGAGGTCCCGTTCGACGGCCAGCCTGGCAAGGGGCTCTGATTTCTTCCGGGAGGCGTCCTAAGCACCCTCAGGGAGGCGGGGGTCCACTCCAGCCCAGAGGCCGGGCAGAGGGTGACCTGGCCGCCGGCGAAATGAACTTCTCCCCGAGCTGCCGCCTCCTCTAATCTGCACAAGGGGACGCACACAGACCTCCCAGCCCGGAGTCACCAGCTGGACGCCGTGGAGGCACCAGGTTTATCCTTCAGAAATCGGAGGCAGGCAAACATCCCCACCGACGGTTTCCTAACGAGGCAAATCCGAGAGGGCGTGTCAATGCAGACTTAACCCCCGGCCTCAGCATCTGGCCTCCCCGACCCCCCAAAGCTGAGCTCTCATCCTCTCGGCCCCTCCTGAGGTCCACGGCAACCCATCCTGACACGTGGGCTCTAGGTGCAACCCTGGGGGGCTGCTCCCAGCCCCTCTCCTTGGGACCGTCTCCTTCCAGTAGGTGACCTCCTCACCTTTTCTTGGCCGGCCAGCTCTGCATGCGTCCCACACACCCTTTGACCTTAACCTCTGGGTCAGAGCCAATTTGCAGTTGACATCCACTCGATGGCCCTGTATCAGCCAGCCGCCCACAGGTGGCCCCACCCAGGGCAAGTCCAGGCTTCCTGACGCCCCCGGCTCGCTCACACACGCGCACGTGCTAACACACAGTCACATCGCAACGTGTCCAGGACCTTGCTGAGCCTAGGAGGCCTCGTTCGATGGCCAGCCCGGCAGGGGGCTCTCACAGACAACGTCTGTGTCCCCACAGCCCCCCGCCACTGCCCCGTCTTCTCAGAAGTCCAGCCTTCCCCACGACTGCCCAGTGGCCGCCGTGTGAGCCCGCGTGCCCCGGCTGGGCCCCTCGGCCGCCGGGCTGCCTGCTGGGGCTGCCTCCGAGAGCACGGCCAGGGCGTCCCTCAGAACCCTGCTGCTGAGCTGGGCGGACAGCAGGCCCACCACCTCGGCTCTCTGCACGCCCGGGAGGGCAGCATGCGGTCCGGCACCCAGGGCCAGAGCAGGGTCCCCCTGCCCGGAGCCAGGCAGCCCTGGGTCCCCAGCCGCCGGACTCCCCACAGACACACAGGCCACTCCAGACAGGGTCAGGGGCTGTGCTGGCAGCACTGGGAGCCACCCCGGGGCATCCCCTGCTCCCCCACAGCAGGGAGACCCCAAGCTGACCGGTTCAGACAACCGGCTGTCCGTGGCCTGGTCCCTCCCAACAGAACCTGATTCACCCAGTACTTCCCCAAGGCTTCTGCCCTGTCCTGCCACCCCGAGGCAGAGCCCGGCCTCCTCCTGGGGCCCTGGGGATGGCGACTCAGACAGACCCTCCCCAGACAAGGAGGACCACTCTCCCATAATGAGGGAGGCAGCTTCCCCTGGGGTGTCCAGTGAGACCCCAGGACACACAGCATCTTCGGGCGGGGTAGGGAAGTCTTCTGAGTGGGGGCTGGCAGGGTCGGCCTCTCCATCCGCTGGGAGGATGGGAGGCAGAGGAGGGAGGCAAGCGTCCCTCTGGGTGGAGGGCGGGAGGTCCAAGCTGCTTTGGGACAGCGCCTCGCCCACCGGGGACAGGATCTCAGGCAAGACGCCGCCAGCCAGAGGAGTGCAGGCTTCCTTCAGGACAGGGGGGGCTCTGCTTCCTCCACACCCAGGGGCCCAGCTCTCAGCTGTCTGGGCTGCCTGCCCACCGGGGTCCCCAGGAGGAGCCCCTGGCATCAAGAGGACCTCAGGCTCCGAGGAGGTCCATACAGGTTTCCTATCAGTGGAAGGGCTCGGGTGAGTGCCCTGGGGCCCCTCTGGGCAGCCACCCGAGGCCTGCGGAGGCACTGTTTCTCCTCTTTGGCCAAACTCAGAGACCGAGGTCCCGGAGGGGAAGGAAAGGGTCAAGTGTAAATCACCCGAGGAAGAGGTTTGGGATGGGAGCCTTGCTCCTGCAGCCTCCCGGGACCGCCGCTGAGCTTTTCCTGTGTCTGATCCACTGGTCGGGCTCCCACTGGTTCCAGAATCTTCCCGCCCCTTCCCTGGGCCCAGGAAGGGAGGCAGGGCAAGGGGCACCCCCGCCCATTCCAAGTGGGATGCATGTCCTACAGGCAAGCAGCGCCCTGGGGCTGGCCCCGCACCGGCGCCAGGGTCCCGTGGGCTCTCCCGGCCCCAGACCCCGCTGGACAACTCGGACTGCTCCAACCCTGACCGCAGAGACTGGGCAACGGGGAGACCCCCTGCCGGAGCCAGGCCACCCACCCCAGTGCCAGAGCTGTGCCCGGAAAGGGCCTCAGTGCCCTCCAGCCCCTCCCAGGTCTCCGGCCCTCCACCCCGGTGGGACCCCCAGGAGTCCAGAGCAGGGAGCCCCCCAGCCCAGCTGAGGTCTGTGTCCGGAGTGCCCCTGGCTTCCCCATCCGAGAGGGAGGTGGGGCTCTCGGAAAGCTGGACCAGGATGGCAGATGCTTTCTGAAACTCCTGGAGGGAAGGGCAGGACGGGAGGCTCCCCGAGGAGGCGGCAGTGGACCATGGAGAAGACGCCTCTGAGCAGGCGCTGGGGGTGGACTCGGAGCCCAGGTCCCAAGGGGCCGTGAGCCGGGCTGGGGGGCCACCCTCGTGCAGGGCTGGGGGTGCCACCACCTCAGCTGCTGCAGAGAAAGGAGAGTTTAGGCATGATGTCACCACCTTTACGCTGAGGATGTTCTGCCAACCCTGGGAAGGACACAGCCCATATCCCACGGCCCCCAAGCCAATGGATCAAAAGCAGAAGACCCCAGGCGGAGACAGAGTGCCCAGGTGGTGGGGAGGGCAGGGGCCGTGGGAGTGGGCTGGCTCTGACTGGAAAGCTGGTCCATTACCTGGGGACTGGTCCTCATGTAAGAGCGGGGCCCCTGAAGTGGTAGAGGCGTCACCAGGAGACAAGGTCAGTGGGGCAGCTTCCAGGCAGGAGAAAGGGGTGTGGGGGTTCTCCTGCAGACAGGTCTCTACCCTGCAAGCCCAGTGTGAAGTCTTGGGGTGCCCCCAGAGGGAGCCCCATCTTCCAGCCAAATCCCTCGGGCCCAGAGTCTCCTCCGCAGGGGGCCTTCAGCCACTGCAGATGCTTAAAGCACCTGCCTGCCGGCTGTCTGTCCCCCAGTGGAAGTGACTGTCAGAGGCCAGGGCTCCCCCAGCGGGGTCTACAGGGGCTTCTGGCCTCGGTCCCCCCCTGGATCAGGCAACTGGGAGTCACCATCAGAGAGATCCAGAGGAAGCGCTCCCTCGAGGGACCCCTACAGCTGCCCCCACCCAGTATCCTGGGCCGACATACCAGGGGGCGTCTTTGTTTCCTAAGCTGCGGGGTCAGACTCAAGAGGGCACGTGGGTGGGCTGGGGTGCATAACGGCCCCAGCCCAGCATGAAGGGCACCAGGAGCGGGTGAGTGTCCCCCAGCAAGAGGGCAGGATGCTCTGGCCAAACTGTCTCCAGGCCCCAGGGCCCCCCCAGCCCGAGCCGCCCTCCAGGCCCCCGACACCTCTGCTCCCCTGAGCAGCTCTGAGCAGCCTCCACAGCGGCAGGACCCTCCACGGGGCTGCCGGCAAAGTCCAGCCCCGGTTCCAACCCCGCGGGACTTCCGCCGCCTTCAGCCACCTGCTGGAAACATCATGGAGAGACGCCATGGTCAGGGTGGGGCCGCCTCTGCTGGACCTCAGGCCGTGTCCCTTAGCTGTGGACAGAGCCCCTGTGTTCTTGTGACCACAGAAAGGAACAAAGGCCGCCCCCCAAAGAGGGCCACAAAGACCCGCCCATCAGACGTCCCTCCTCCCAGTGAGCTCCAGAGACCTGTCAGCAGACAAGATTCCCCTGAGAAGGCTCAGAGATCCCACCCGTCAACAGCCTGCATCTGATGGACGAGGGGCCCCCGCCCGGCCCGCAGAGAGCGCAGGGCCAGGCCCAGACTCACACGGCCTTCCTGGGGGCTGTGGGGACACCCTGCGCTCAGGGAGGGTCGACTCTGGCCTTGGAAGTGTGATGCTGGGCTTCCCGTCAGAGCCCGGGTCTTTTCCTCCACCGGCCGGGGGCTGGGGCCGGTCTGGGGGTCTCCTAGGGGGTACAGAGACCATGAGCGCTGATGGGCACAGAAGGCAGAGGATGCAGTGGGCAAGGGGTCCCAGGACGCTGAAGCCACGTGCAAACAGCCTTAGCATCCCAAACAGCCACCACACCTGCTTGTGTTTGGTTAGAGTGAGGAGAGAAAAATACAAGGTTAGCTACTCCTAAAATTACCCTCTTGTTGGATAGTTACGGATGTGAAGACTCAGGAGAAACTTTAGAGACAGCATTTACGATGTAGATTTAAAAGCCCTCTTTATGGCGGTTTTTGGGTGGCGCTTGCAGACCCTCTGCACAGCTGCTCTTTTCCGCCGCGTCTACTCTTCCAGGGCTGGGCTGGGCGGCTGGGCCGGGGGAGGGAGGGAGGAGGTGTGGGGATGTGTCAAGGTCACCACTGCACAGCTGGAAGGCCGGCAAAGTGGGGGCGGGGGGCTGCAGTGGGGTCTCTGCCAAGAAGCCCCAGGGACTTACCATCTTCCTACACGTCCAGTCCACGCTGGGACCCGGCAGGGACAGCAAGGCCCGGGGGTCCATGTCGGTCCCAAGGCCACAGGCCCGAGGGTAACAGAGCTCTTTGGCTAAAGCTTGGATTTGTGGAAGCTCCACCAACGGGAACGCCTCCCTTTAGTCCGCGGCCCACGGTGAAGGCCACGCTTGCTTTGCTCTCTAGTCACTCAGCAGTGTCTGACTCTCTGCGGCCCCGTGGCCTGTGCCCCACCAGGCTCCTCCGTCCATGGGATTCCCCAGGCAAGAACACTGGAGTGGGTTGCCATTTCCTTCTCCAGGGGATCTTCCCCACCCAGGGATTAAACCTGCGTCTCCTGCTTGGCAGGTGGATTCTTCACCACTGAGCCACCCGGGAAGCCGCAAGGGCAAGGTGCTGTGGGTCGAGCTGAAGGCCTGTGACGGGGCGTCACCCCGGGGGCCCTGGCAGGCCCAGTGCCAGGTCAGACAGAGCCAGCGCCAGTCCTGGACCTCCACCACGAGCTCTTCAGGTGGTCCAATGCCCCAGGGCAGTTCCAGCCTCCTCCCATCTGCCCTGCTCTGTCCTGAGGACGCTTTCCCAGGCCAGACCACAGGGAGCCCCCAGGCACACACACTGGCTGGTCTGAACAACTTCTCTGCTGCTCCCAAGGGTGGCTGTTGAGAGGGGCTTCTAAGCCCAAGACGTGGACTCAGGCCTGAGAGGTGAGCTCCAAGGTGGCACCAGGGCATTGAGACAAGGCGGGGCCCCGGGACGCCCCACCCTGGCTGTCCAACCTGCTGTCCCCAACGCACCACTGGGGATCCCCAGAGCTGTGAATGAGTCTGCTCCACCCTGGGAATCAGTGCGTGCAAAAAGCTCTCTTTAGCTAAGAAGACACTTCCGGCACACCAGTTCCCACGTCACTAAAGGTCTGGACCAGATAAACCAAGCTGGGACCACCACAAGCAGAGCAGGCTAGGGTTTTCCCTTCCAGCAGAAAAGGGCCACATCACCCCAAGAGGCACAGGGCAGGGGCATCTCCCACCTGTGCCAGGTTTCAGGTGGTCTCCCCCGGGGCCTCCCTGTCCTTGTTTGGGGGCTGGCACCGCCTTGGGGGGGACACAGCCAGTTGGGGGAGCTTCTGGCAAGGCTCACGCATGGGAGGACTTACCCGGGGGTGGCTCCTTCACCGGCAGTAAGCAGATCTGAGCGGCAGGAAGGCTCCCCTCCACGTCGCCTGCCTGTGTATAGAAGGGGGGACGGGAGATAGCCATCCTGCAGGAGCCACCTGCGGGGAGGGCGCTGAGGACCAGCCATCAGGACAGGAACTGAGCCCGGGGCCCCACCAAGATCAGGCGCAGGTTGGCAGAACAGGGGAGGGTCCCCCCAACTGGGCAAAGAGGTGAAAGGGCTTTCTGGGGGTGTGCGTACAGGAAAGGCTGGGCCTGGTGGCCATCCTGTGTCCAGGGAGGTCGCCCGCGGAAGGCCCGGCAGAGGGACATCAGGCTGCTCCCTTGGCTCTAAAAGACATACAAACCCGTACACGGTGGCTTCCACCAGCCTCTGACAGAGCCCTCCAGAGCTGGGGGGCAGGGGGCAGGAACTGGGGAGAGCCCTCAGTGCTCGAGGGGAGCCCCAAGAACCTGGGGAGAGCCCTCAGTGCTCAAGGGGAGCCCCAAGAACCTGGGGAGAGCCCTCAGTGCTCGAGGGGAGGCCCCAGAACCTGGGGAGAGCCCTCAGTGCTCGAGGGGAGGCCCCAGAACCTGGGGAGAGCCCTCAGTGCTCGAGGGGAGGGGGCAGGAACTGGGGAGAGCCCTCAGTGCTCGAGGGGAGCCCCAAGAACCTGGGGAGAGCCCTCCACAGCATGGGGGAACCCCCGGACCTGCAGAGCAAGCAGAGCTGGTCTCCCAGGAAGGGTCTCACAGACGCTCCAGTCCTCCTGCCCCTCCGTCTTCAGAGACCAGTCCCACAAGCGCCCAGGCCCCACTGTTCCCTGGGACCCCAGCGCCGCACTCCTAACCCCTCCTCGCCTTCCTCTCCTTCGCTTGCCCAGCGGGTCTGTCTGCACAGACCCCTCAGCATTCCTCCCTGTGCTTCCCAGACGGTGTTCCAGGGCACCCTGGGGTTCTGAGACATTCCCCAGGGTGACCCTGGGGGCCGGCGAAGCTCAGTGAGCAGGGTCTCCGAGCCCCCCTGCAACTCACCCCCCACCCCCTTGCCCCCTCTTCTCTGCTTACAGAACCTCCTCTACATTAGTGCCACTGCCTGGAGAGTGCAGAGAAATCGGCAAACCTGTGTCAGCAGGGATGCAGTTTTTGCTAAGAGCAGGGCTTCCAGTCACGGGGCTTTTTAGGGGACGGGGTGGAGGGCAAGCTGTCCCTTTAAGAGGCAGGTTCAAGTCTTAACCCTCAGTGCCTGCAAACCCTTATATGAAACTAGGGTCTTTGCAGATGCAGACACACCACAAGTCAAGGAGGCCTGGAGGCCCCCGAAACTAGAAAAGGAGGGGAGGGCCTTCTGCCTACACCTGGATTTCAGGCTTGTGGCCTCCAGAACTGAGAGACAGGAAGTTTCTGTCCTTTTAAGCCACCAATGTTGGGTAATTTGCCAGGGCACAGGCCCCTCACTGCACAGAGGGGCGGGGGAGGAGCTGGATGGGGCGCCCTGCCAGACGGGGGGGCCACACCAGCTGCTCTAGGGGCTCCCTGGGGTGTCTGTGGGCTGGGGGTTACAGCGCGGGAGATGGGGACAGCCTGGGGGCACGTCTAGCTCCCTGTCTGGACAGGTCCCCTGCCGGGAGGCCTGAGTGACCCAAGAGCCTGCCCAGCCCTGAGCCTGGGGCAGGCCTGGCGGGCCCCTGCTCCCACCCTTGGTGGAGGCAGCGTCACGAACATCTGGACTCAGTCTGGCAGCATGTCCTGGGGTGTTCTCGGGCAGGTCTGAGGTTCTGGGGACCAGCCTGGCGACCGTCCACAGCTCAGCTGGCTGCTCTGAGTTGTCGCATCACCAGGAGGAGGAGCGGCTGCTCTGGGTGGCCTCTCCCACCCCAGCCAGCCCCCACCATCTGGAAAGTCAGCCCTCCTGAGCGCCCAGACACAGGGACAGGGAGGCCGGGTCGTCCCGAGCACACAGCTCCAGCCAGGCCCAGCGGGATGTAGGCCTGTCTGAGCCTGAGCTGACAGCAAGCCCGAAGCGGGCATGAGTTGCCGGGGCCCCCGAGGGGGTGGCGTCTGTCCTCAGTTGCCACCACTGCCGCCCCGCCTGGCTACCTTGGCCCGTGTGGCCGTGGCTCTCCAGCGGTTGGCCTCTGGCATCAGGTCGGCCAGCCGCTGTGCGTGCGTCCTCGTCCCACGCCAGCCTCGGAGGCTGCAGGTGACCGTCCGCAGCTGAAGCTGCCAGAGGGGGTGTCCCGTCCTGCAGCTCGCTGAGTCGGCTGCAAGGCAGTGCAGGGTGGGCTGGGGTGACTGCTCACCCGGCTGCCCCCCACTCCCAGGTGGCCAGCCCTGACCAGAACACTCCACCAGTGGAAGAGCACCTCACATCCAGGGGAGAGCTGCACGCAGTGGCCAAGCGGTCAGCACCGGCAAAAGGAAGATGGGCCCTGGCCCCTCCCTGCCCGGCAGCTTCTCGAGCAGGGCCTGCACCCCTAAATGGGACCACTGCTGGGGGTGGCAGGGGACGTGTGGGGAGGGAGACTCTGTCTGTGCCCCTGTTCCCTCAGGACCTCTGCATGGAGCCCGACCCCCCCAGCCCGAGGGCAGCACTGAACGTGCCTGGGTCCCACCTGAGCTCCAGGCACACGGACGGCAGGAAAAGCGCCCCATCGTGGCCCCAAGGTGGGGGGCTGGAAACAGGACTGCCAGGTTTCCTGGTTCCTTCTGGGTTTAAGGTCATGCCCACGGGGAGCCTTGCTCTAGAACATTCCCCCGCTCTCAGGTGCAGCAGGGTGTTCCTTCCATTCCCTTTCTTCCCAGGCACGCACTGCAACTGGGCACAGCTTGCTGTTCCCCCAGGGCAGCCCTGAGTGTCCCCTTCCCCGGGACTGGCACCCATGGCAAGGTGTGGACTGGGGAGCGGGGTCAGAGGGCCATCGTAGCCGAGAAACTGGGTCTCGGGCTTTCGAAGGAGGAGACATCTCGGGGGGCTGGAGTTCTGACCTGCGGGGCAGGAAGTAGCAGGCACCTGTCCGCACCAGTGTGTCCAGATGCAGGGCCCGGCCCGCCCTGGGGGAAGGATGCAGAGGACCGGAAGGGGCTGTGCCTGGCCCAGAACCTGGCCAAACTGAACCGGAATGGGAGGCCCCCGCCCCCACCTCCTTAAAGAGGTACCGTCCCTCCCCCAGCCCTTCCCAGTGCACACGGGGTCTCAGGCCGGAGCCCCCAGCCAGGGCAGCAAGGGCCCCCACAGGCCCTGGATCAGGGATGCGTCCCAGCCCTGAGCAGCTCAGCGCTCCGCTGCACTTCTCTTGAGGGAACAAAAGTAGGAAGCAGTCTGTCCAGGTGGCAGGACCTCCCGGGGAGGTTCCAGGCCTCTGAAGCCTCCCTCGTAGACACACAGCTCTTCTCTGGTTTCTGACTCGCATCACTGCTGTGATGAGGAGCCTCGTGCCCCGCCAGGACCTCGACTTCAGGACACACCCCCCACCCTCGGGGCGAGCAGCCAGCCCCAGTGCCGTAAACAAACTCCTGGTACCAAGAGGGTCCGGTCCGGTCAGCCAAGAAGCCTGTCAGAGATTCCTGGGCTGGGCGATCAATAGCCACGTGAACTACGGATCAGCGTGTGAAAAGCGCTCTCAGAGGGCCCAGGGCCAAGTGTGCGATGACCCCCTTTCCTGGGAGAGGCATGGAAATGGGCCCCCCTGCCGGAAGGAGCCGCTGGACAGCAGTGGTACCCCCAGGGGCAGGCAGGGGGCCTGAGAAGGCCACTCCTGAGGGGTCAGCCCCTTCCCAGGGTTGGGGGTCACCTCTGCGGCCTCAAGCCCAGGTTGCGGCTTTGGGTGGGGGCGCTCAGGTTAGAGCCTGGCAGACGGCCAGCCCTCGGGGGGAGCCGGGAGCTTGCTAGGAGGAAAGGGGGCCTCGTGGGCTCTCAAGGGCCGTTGTAATGAAGACGGAAGAGGAGGAGGGGTCCCAGAGCGGGGTCATCAGGATACTCTGGATGGGAATAAAGCGGCTCCGCTCCCATCCACAGCCAGGACTCTGCCCCCTGCCCCAGACGACTCAGCCCTGGGGGGCCTTTGGCTGCAAGCTGAGGCCAGTGGCCCCGCATCCAGGCTTCCAGAAAAGGCCAAGCCACCCCGGCCGGGGGAACAGCCCACGCCAGCCTCGAAAGGGGGTGCCTGGCAGCTAGGGGGTCCCACGCACACACCACCCACCCAGGTCGGTCCATCTGACCCGTGTCACTGTGCCCTATAGCAGCCCTGGGGATGGTGGCACCCTGTCCCCATTCAGCTGATGAGCAGGGAGGACACACCCCCGCCAGTGGCCCAGCTGGGAATGAGCGAACCCCTGCGCTTCTCCCAGCGGGCCAGGGAGGTCCTGGCCTCCGCCGCCGGCCCGTGGGCCAGCCGGTGGGGCAGGAGCCCCCTCCCCGCCCTCCAGCATCCCCGCCCTCCAGCATCCCTGCCCCTCCTCCCCGAGGCCAGGTGCGCAGGGCCCAGCGGCTGGGACAGCACGGCCACCCAGCAGGCAAGGCTTTTAATGGCAAGCGCCAGGGCCAGGGCCGCCCGTGACGACTCACTGCGGGACTGGCGGGCTCTCGCTCCTCTGCGGGTGCTGGCCGAGGGGGCTGCCAGGCGTGTGCCAGGCGTGTGAGGAGCCCTGGGCCGGCCCCTCCGGCTGCCGGGGGCTTGTCCCAGGGCCCTCCTCCCGCCTGCCCTTGACTTCAGGGCTGGAACTCTAAGAGAAACAGCGCAGAGCGAGCTGGTCCACCTCCCCTTAGGAAAAGCAGGAGGCGGCTTCACGCAGCGGCCACCACGGCAGGGCAGCCAGCAGCTCGGCGGGCAGCCTGCTCCCGTGAGGAGGCAGAGGGCTGGCTGAAACAGGGGTCCTCAACTCATGGGAGCCCCACGGTCCGTTGCTAACAGTCCCCAACGGTGCAGACAAGAGGCCCAGAGCTGGGGGGGCCCTTGCCTGAGGCTGCCTGGGTCACCGGGATGGAACCCACAGAGGTGGGGGCTGTGGAATCCGGCAGCACTGGGCCCCTCTCCTGCAGGCTGGCCGGGGATGACTGGGATGACCGCTAAACTACCCCAGCTGCTCCGCAAAACCCAGTTCACCACCCTCCGCCGCCCGCCAGGTGAGACAGTCACCATCCCCAAACTGTGGGAGAGATGCTCGGCCTGGGGACGGGCGCCCGGCCTTGTCCTCACCGCCTCCTCCCTGTGACGGCGGGGACAGGCTGCAGGAGCAAGGACACACCACCACTCAGCTCCCGAGGGGCCAGTCTCTCAAGGGGCCCGGGCCTCTCCCTCCTTCCTGCCTCACCTCCACTGGCCCTGCCAGCCCCCTCCACACTGCCCCAACCCTGCTCACTAAGCTCCCCACCTCTGGGCCAGAGCACTTTCCAGCCCCGGGGAGTCTGGTTCCTCCTCCGGGCCCGGCCAGGCAGCCCAGTCCAGGAAAGCCCCCTTGGCCCCCGCAGCAGCTGCCACCCCTCTGGCCCAACCCTCCCGAATCCCTTCCCACCCTGGGTCACGGGTGTTTTACACAAGACTTGCACGTGCCCAGGAAGCGCCAGTGAGCAGCGTTTCCGGCCACGAACCAAGCCCCCAGGCCGGGTGAGAACGCCCACCTGAGGCAGGCAGGTCCGGTCCTGAAGCTCTTGCTGCAGGAGGGCCACGGACCTCTGCACGGAGATGATGTCCTTCTGCTGCTGCAGGAGCAGCTTCCTCTCTCGGTGGGAGGACAGGTGAAGGGTCCACAGGTGCCGGATGCCCCTCTGAACCAGAGGAGCACACATCAGCACCCGGGGATGGGACAGGGCGGCTCTGGAGCTGGGGGCCCCTGGCTCCTCAGATGTCCCTGCCCGTCCCATCCTGCTCGGACAGGAGGTCCCCCCCTGCACCCCACACTTTGGATTCCCCTGCCACTTGGGTTTGGCCATCAGCGGGCTCTGGTGAGAGGCCGGAAGGAAGTTGGGGTGCTCATTCCTTGGGCACCTCCAAGCAAGGCTGGCACAGGCTGGCTGTGTCCCTGCCAGTCCCCACCGCCCTCCCTCTTGCCATGTCCTGGGCTCTGTCCCTGGCTGTCCCCTGTCTCCTGCTGTGTCTCTGATGGCCATCCTTTGGCAGAACCACCTTGCTGGGACAGTGCCCACCCCAGGGGAGGTAACAGCCTGTCCAGGTCAGAGGAGGAGCCTGAGGCTCAGCAGAGCTGGGTCCCTCTCCCCAGTGGTCAGGGCCCCGACCCAGAGTCCACCAATGTGTCCACCCACAACAAAGGAGCCCAGGGTCCCCGCCTCATTTGATAACTGGAACCCTTCCATTCCCTCCTCACGGTGTCCTGGGCTCCCCCTGTTGCCCCTCTGCCTGGAAAGCCCCACACCCGCCCCCCCACCTCCCTGGTCCACCCAGGTCCTCTAGGATGGAGGTCAGGTCCACCACCACCCCTCCCTTCGCAGCTGAGGGTCCCCGGGCAAGACCAGCCCCAGCCCCCAGCCTCAGTTTCTTCATCCAGATGAAGAGAGGGACCACGAGCTCCCACTCCACACAGGGGTATCTGGAGTCAGAGATGGAAGGACACCAGCGCAGTGACCCCTGACCCCAGATGAGGAAACTGCGCTCAGAGAAGCTGCAAGTCCCCTCTGAGGTCAGGGGTCAGTGCTAGCTGGGCCAAGCCCTCCAACAACCCCACTGAAACACGCACGGCTGCAGTTTTCCCATAATGAGGCTCAGAGAGGCCCGGCCTCTGTACAGAGGCTGCAGGGGTCAACGCACCACACTGCCCCCGCCAGCTCTGAACGCTCCCCATGCAGCCCTGAGCAGCCCTGGAGGGTGCCAAGCACCCAGGAGTCCTGTGGTGGGGGTGCTCGCGCTCCCAGCCCCAGGAGAGCAGCAGGAGCCCCTCGGGGTCGGCCCGCCCGAAGCCCGCCCTTACCAGCTCGCGCTCAAGGTGGCTGAGGGCCTGCTGCTGCTTCTCCGCCAAGGCTACCAGCGCTGTGTAGCTGCCGATGCTGCTCAGATACCTGGCAGAGGAGATGGATGCACTGGACTGACTGCTGACCTTGGGGCCTGCCCGTGGCTGTGGAAAGCCGCAGTCCTGGCTAGCCCGAGCTATCCAGGTGGACCTGGCATGCCCAGTTCTCGCGGCAGGGCCATCGGGAGGAGATGGCCGTGCGTGGGCAGGCGGGGGAACCCCGAGGGGTCCAATGGGCCCGGCCCAGACTGTCACTCTTCCTGTCCCCTCGTGATCACCTTTGGGCCTGGAGAGAGGAAGGGAGGACAGCGTATTTCCTATGCTGGCACCCCAGCCCAGCCAGAGGGCCCTTTTGGGGAGGTGGGAGTCATCATGGAATAGAAGACCCCCAGCCTGGCACAATTGTAAGCCGCCAGTGATCTTAACTGGAATGAGCTATTTGGAGGCCAATACGGGAATAACAAGAAGCTGTAAAAAAATGTGTCCTCGCTGACATCAATTCCACTTCCACAAATTTACCTTAAGGAATTCATCTCTGGGATGTTCACGACTCAGGACACAGAGTTGGAGACACCCCAGAGGTCCAATTCGAGGGGCTGGCTAAGGGGACTGCTGTCTCTGTGCTGGTTGCGCTGGGTGTCGTAGCACTCATGCAGGGACAGAGAGAGGGTTTCTTGACTTTTAAACGAAATCTCAAGCTACAACGGCGTGTCAGTTCAGTTAAGTTCAGTTGCTCAGTCGTGTCCGACTTTTTGCGACCCCATGGACTGCAGCACGCCAGGCCTCCCTGTCCTACACCAACTCCTGGAGTTTGCTCAAACTCATGTCTATCGAGTCGATGATGCCATCCAACCATCTCATCCTCTGTTGCCTCCTCCTCCTCCCGCCTTCAATCATTCCCAGCATCAGTATCTTTTCCAATGAATAGGTTCTTCGAATCAGGTGGCCAAAGGATTGGAGTTTCAGCTTCAGTATCAGTCCTTCCAGTGAATATTCGGGACTGATTTCCTTTAGGATGGACTAGTCTATTCCAAATGCTGCTTAAATAGCTATGTGTGTGTCTCCCTTAACAAGACCTGCCAAGACAGCCTGGAAAATGGGCAGAGATGATCTCGCACACGTGGGGCTAGGAGAGGTTTCAATGCCACTGTATTCACCTTTTGGTACTTTTGGTCGCATCAAACGCCCATTACCCTAGGTAGCAGCACTTTACCCTGGGGGTACCGAGTTGGGGCGGGGCGGGGCCGGTGCTGCGAGCATGCGCTCACCCTCGCTGATGCTCCAGCCAGGCCAGCTCGGCGCGTGTCTTCTCCTCCAGCGCCTTCTCGCGCAGGCGCAGCAGCGCGGCCCGGTGCCGCCCGCGCAGGTCCTCTTCCCGCAAGCTCTGCTCCAGCATCTGGATCGTGAAGCGGCTGAAGGGTACTGGCGCCGCGCTCCGGGGCCTCGTCCGGCTCCCCTGGGGTGGGGCAGGCTGACCAGGCCGTGTCACCACCACTGAGTATCTCTGAGTGGGAGCAGCACCCAACTCCCCGGGGAGGAGGCCGCCACCTCCAGGGAGCCTTCCCGGACTGGCCGCCCCGTTGTTCTCCATGTCATGCCCCTCTTCCCCGGGACACGTTACTATCCTCCTCCCAACTGGTGGCACCCGAAGAAGGCAGGGTGGGGTCCTTGTGAGGTTGGCCCTGTGCTCAAGCCGGCCACCTGTTTGTGCTCTGGATGGGTTAGGAAAGACAGCCCCCCTCCCTGAGATGTGCAGTCAGCACTGCCTGAGCCAGCCCTGCCCCGAACACCTGCTGTCACGTGCCACCTCAGCCGTGAGGAAGGGGCTTGAGCAGATGTAAGCTGGACGGGTCGGTGGTACCCATGGCAGGGAGAGCCTCCCTTCTGGGCATAGGCTGTAGGAGGGGTGGGTCTCAACACCTGATGTCCCCGGGGATGGAGAACTGGGTCCCCTCCCCTGGGGCCCACTTGTGAGCCCCTTCTCCGGGTTCTGTACCTGGAACCTGGGTTCCTCCCAGGGGTAGAGCCTGGCTGGGGGCAGCTGGGACGGGGGCTGGTCTGGTCTCCCTTCCTGCATGGGCTCTGAGGACAAAAAAAAAGGCATGGTTGGTCATATAAGGTTCCAGGGGCCTTTTTTACAGGAAGTCTTCACTGAGCTAGGGTGTCTGGGCAACTTAATCTACCACCACAACCACCACAACGCAACACCCCGCCCCCCTCAACCGCCAGACACACAGCTTCAGCCAAATCTTCAAGAGGCCATGAAACGGAGCAGGACTGTATGGTTTTTCCCCCGACACACACCCCAATCCCAGTCATGTCCCCGACCTGCTTTAACTAAAAGACTTTAATCAAAGAATAAATGTAATCAGAGGAAAAAAATGCAGAAATTAGTCCTGAATATTCATTGGAAGGACTGATACTGAAGCTGAAACTCCAATCCTTTGGCCACCTGATGCGAAGAACCAACTCATTGGAAAAGACCCTGATGCTAGGAAAGATTGAAGGCAGGAAAAGAAGGGGCCGACAGAGGATGAGATGGCTGGATGGCATCACCGACTCAATAGACATGAGTTTGAGCAAGCTCCAAGAGTTGGTGATGGACAGGGAAGCCTGGTGTGCTGCAGTCCATGGGGCCACAAAGAGTCGGACACAACTGAGTGACTGAACTGATGTATACATACACACATATATACACATATGGGTATACACACATGTGTATGTATGTGTATATAATACATAAATATATAAATTTTAAAAGTTTCTTGAATGTTTAAAAAAATAACAATGTATTGTGGAGTTATAAAGTAAAATGCATGACTAGCGTAGCCTAAAGTCCAGAAAAAAAGAAATGGAGGGCTGGCTGCAAGGGCCTCCTACTCCGGGTGAGCCAGTGGAATGTCACGTGAAGGTACACCACAAGTACCATTGTAAATCCTAGATCAACCACTAAAGTCAGTTACAGCTCATAAGCCAACAACAGAGAGAAAATTGAATGATAAAAAAAAAAATATTGTTTGACCCAAAAGAACACAGAAAAAGAAAATGGATAAAAGGCCAGTTGAGACAAAAGAAAATAGCAGGATGATAGATTCAAAACCTAACAACATTGGGACTTCCCTGGTGGTCCAGTGGTTAAGATTTTGCCTTCCAAAAAAATAAAAAACCTAAACAAAAAAAGAAGAGAAAGAAACAAAACAACAATAAAAGACTTCTTTCCAATGCGGGGGATGCAGTTTCAATCCCTGGTTGGGGATCCCACCTGCCTTTGCGACCAAAACTCCAAAAACAAAAGAGAAACAATACTGTAACAAATTTAATAAAGACTTTAAAGAATGGCCCACATTAAAAAAAAATCTTAAAAAACTCTTAACGATAATGATAATTCTGTTACATGGAAATAGCGAAGCACTCCAGGCGAAAGGCAGAGATTGCTGGATTGTATAATAAGACAAAAGAGCAAGATCCACCTACGGGCTGCCTCCAAGAAACACACTGGAAATATGAAAACACACATCCGTTACAAGCGGGAGGATGGAGAGGACAGACCAGCTGGACCGTCTGATGCTAGCTGTGGGGAAGGGGGAGTGGCTGGATCAGACACAGCAGGCCGCGCAGCACAGCGGGTCGCTGGGGACAGAGGGCTATTCCGTGAGGGCAGAGTTTTAAAGGGGTCAGTCCACCAAGGGCACACGGTAATCCTAAAAGCAGTGATGTTCTCAGCACCAGGGTTTCTTTTCAAGAGCTCACAGAACATCCACCAAGATAGACACACATCTCTACACATTTGGGCTCAGGTCCGTCTAGTCAAAGTTATGGTTTCTCCATTGGTCATGTATGGATGTGAGAGTTGGGAAAGATTGAAGGTGGGAGGAGAAGGGGACCACAGAGGATGAGATGGTTGGATGGCATCACTGACTCAATGGACGTGAGTTTGAGTAAACTCCGGGAGCTGGTGATGAACAGGGAGGCCTGGTGTGCTGCAGTCCATGGGGTTGCAAAGAGTCAGAGACGACTGGGTAACTGAACTGAACTGAACTGACCATGAGGAAATTAAACCACAAGTCCATCACAGGAGCAAACAAATCCATCATATGCCACCAGCCCAGCCACAGTTCAAACTCCCGGAGGTTGTGCTGGGCTGTCCCTGCAGCCTGCACACAGGGAACTCTCTTTGCCAACAAGGACCCAGTATCCAGCTGGATATTCGCCGGGCCAGCACCTGAGAGGCCTCAAGGAATGACTGCTCAGAGGGACGGAGGTGGGCATATTGGCAGACTTGGGAAGAGTGTGGGCTTCCCTGTTCCCCAAGGGACAGAGATGGGCTGTGTTCAGGATTTCAGCAGCAGGGTGACAGCCACCCTGAAGGTCTGCCCAAGCAGGACAGACAGGGCTGGACGCCTCACCCACCACACCTCCCTACTTGGCCACACCCTGCGCTGTTGGGCTGCTTCGCTAGGCATCTAACTGAAAGCTTTCTTATAATCCAGGTTCACTGCCCCCAGGTCTGGGTGGGTGGGGGTGGTGCATCTGCTAACTGGCTCACTGGCTCCCTGATTGCCCTAACAAGCAGGAGGCAGGAAGCAGCGATGCCCAATGGTGTGCTGTGACATCAAGTCAGTTCAGCTGAGTCCTCAGTCATGTCCAACTCTCTGTGACCCCATGGACTGCAGCACGCCAAGCCTCCCTGTCCATCACCAACTCCCGGAGTTCACTCAAACTCATGTCCATCGAGTTGGTGATGCCATCAAGCCATCTCATCCTCTGTCATCCCCTTCTCCCACCTTCAATCTTTCCCAGCATCAGGGTCTTTTCAAATGAGTCAGCTCTTCACAGCAGGTGGCCAAAGGATTGGAGTTTCAACTTCAACATCAGTCCTTCCAGTGACTATTCAGGGCTGATCTCCTTTAGGATGGACTGGTTGGATCTCCTTGCAGTCTCAAGAGTCTTCTCCAACATCGCAGTTCAGAAGCATCAATTCTTCGGTACTCAGCTTTCTTTAGAGTCCAACTCTCACATTCAATTCATGCATGACGCCTGGAACACTTTCAAACCCCAGTTCCCCCTGCCCCGTGAGGCCGTGGGCGGGTCGCCCCCTCCCCAGCCCCTCTGTTGGGCGCCTGACCCAGCTGCCTCCTCGGGGCCCACTGGGCCACGAGCTATGCTGTCTGGTGGCTGGGGTGTCGGTTCTGAGACCACTCACCTGCGTGAGCTGACACGTCCGCCCAACTCTTATTTCCATCCTGGAGACTAGGGCAGGGCGTGGCCGCGTCTCGGCCCGGGAGTGGGTATGAGCTGCCAAGTGAGACAGTGCTGCAGACTGTGGCCCACACGGCCCGAGACCCCCACCCAGCCCCCTCGAATGCTGGGAGGGGGGCCACACCTGGGCCTGGCTGCCGCGGCGCTCTGAAAGGTCCTTGGCTCCGGATCCACACGCACCTGCGGCCGCTCCAGCTCCAAGGCTGCCCCTGGCCTGGCCTGGGTTGAGTGCTCCTCCCGCAGCCGCTGGGAGGACAGGAAGGTGGTGAGTGTTGTAGAGGGTGGACCAGGCGGGGCCCCAGGGAGGAGCCAAGGCCACGTGAGTCTCCTACCCCAGGGCCTGCCTGCCAGCCTCTGCGGGCAGCTGCACTTGGAGGCCCTCAGCCTGAGCGGGACCCACAGCCCCCTTCCCCGGGCTGACCTGACCCACGCTTCCCACCAGCCTTCCCCATGCTGGGCTGGGCCTCAGGGGAGGGCTGGCCGGCTGACCTCCAGCCTGGGTCTGGACAGCAGCTCCCCCAGGGCCTTCTGCGTCTCCCAGACCTCCAGCTCCGCCTGCCGCCGAAGGAGGGTCAGCGCCTGTCCCTGCTCCCGCCGGTCCGGCTGCAGGGAGACGAGGAGCAGCCTCAGGACTCCCCGGGGCCCCCGCCTGCTGCCCCCACCCCACCCCCCGCTCCCTGGCAAGGACCCCGCCTCAGAGGGCAGGCGGTGTCACCTCCAAGGACTGGACCCTTACAGAGCGTCCCCACCGGTGGACTGCTCCCCAGCCCGCAGCCTCCCTGCCTCGGCCCGGCCGGGGCCCTGGGCTTCCTTTCTGCTCCAGGCTCCCCTCCCTCCCTGTCAACTCTGGGGCCCCTGCCACCCAGCCTCGGGGGTGAAAGCTGCTCCCGGTGGGCCCCCAAACAGAAGCGGCCTGAAGGTGACACACCTTCAGGGACTCCAGGAAACGCAGCGACTTCTGCCGGACGTCGGACAGCGGACCTGCGGGAACCACAGGAAGCGGTGGCTGGGCGCCTGCCCTCGCCGGCCTCGGTGCTGGGCCTGCAGGACACGCGCTGGGGGAGGACCCCTTCCCTGCACGTCCAGGGTGGGGCGGGCAGGGCCCCCAGCCGGAGGGGCAAGGAGACAGGTTGCTGCCCTACCGTATCCTGCCCCCCCCGCGGGGGTGGGGGGGCTCTCCCTGCCTGACACTCGGCCACCCTCCCCTGGGAGCAGGGACCCCAGGCTGCAGACATGTGGCCGGGGCCAAGAACACAGGTGTTGCTGCCAGACAGTCCTCGGCTCATCGCTCACTTGCCTGGGGCCCTGGAGAAAGTGCTAGTCGGTGAGTGCCTCCATGGGGACATCCCCGTGGTAAGATGCTCTGATACCTAGTGGCTGCCCTAATAAGGGTATCAGCCCCTTGGGTGTGCGGCAACCTAGGCCGAGGGGCACCACCCTGCGGCCTCCCTGGGACTGTCCAGAGTGCAGGCTCGGAAACCTCAGGCTCCCTGAGCAGCCGAGGGCTTCTGGTTCCCAGTGGGGGCCCCAAGGACACAGCCTGGAGGCTGCCTGGGGGTGGCAGGGGATGACTGTAGTCAGAGGCAGGGGCAGCGAGTGTTGCTTCTTCTGGCCCCACCCTCCATCTTCTCGGTTGGACCCCCATAAGAGCCAGCAGCAGAGGGCACGGAGGATGGGGGCTTCCCCACCCCGGGAGAGGACTTGGGTCTGTGGACGGCAAGCTCTCCTGGTGGCTCTTGGATGAGCTCCTGGGTCATCCCTGGTGATTGTGCAGAAAGGAGGGAGGCACCCTGCTTCCCAGAACAGGGCAGCTCAGAGTCCCACGTTAGAGCGGCCGAACAGCTGTGAACAACAGCCAGCCAGCTCCTGGGAGCTTCCATGGCCGTTGAGGACACTCTGCAGCGCGGAGCCCAGGGGAGGGGCAGGGGTTCTGGCCAGCTGACATGCGGGGCACATGGGGGAGGCCTGGCGTGCTCCCCCATGCTCCCAGCTGCCCGGCAGGCCCCTGGAGAAGGGGCCATTCCTCCTGTGCTTTTGCTTGTGGCCTGGAAAGAAGATACCCTGGTCCTCCACTGAGTTCCTGTTGATCCTCTTCCAGGGCCTGGAAGCTTCAGAGAGCCGAGGCCCCCAGAGCTGCTGCTCTAAGAGGTGCCGACCTCTCAGGGCCATCCCTGGCCAGGCCAGCACCCATGACAGGTCACCAGGGAGCCCCCGGGCTGTGGGTCCCCAAGCTCTGAGCTGCGATCCGGGAGAAAGCAAGTGCTCCCCGAAACGGATGTGGCCTGGGCCGACCGAGCAGCTGGCCCTGCTGAGCAGAGGACGGTACCGGCCTCGCTCCCCAACCCCTGATGACCATCGGGAGGGCCCCCAGAATCCAGCACGGCCTGCCACCCCAGAGCGCCGGCGGCCTTGTGGCTCCAACGGGACGGTTAAACACATACGTGGCGACTGTTACTGTTGCCAACAGCGACGGGGACGCTGAGGGCTGGGAGTGCTCTCCCTGACCGCGCTGCGGCTGGGGGCCCATGGCCTCAAACTGAAACAAAGCCGGTGGGGCCCCGCCTGGGCGAGAGGCTGCCGTGTCTGTGGGCCGGAGCCTCGCTGTCCGATGGCACGCCGCCCTTGCTGCTCACGTTTAAACTCAGGGGAGACAAAAATGTGAAACTTCACTCTCCAGTGGCACTGGCCAGGTCCCAGAGGCCCCCACAGCCACACGTGGCTGGTGGGCACCAGATCAGATGGCCCAGAATTTAGAACATCTCTGTCACTGCAGAGAGTTCTGCTGGGACGGCGCTGCTCCCAGTGGGAAAGGCTGGGCCCCAGTCCCCGCTCTGCCGTTCACTGTCGGGCGGTGGGGGTTATGCCTCTCTGAGCACTGGCTTCCTCTTCTGTGAACAGGGGCATGAGCTTGGGACCTGCCCGGAGGCAGGTTGCACCAGTGAGCTGCCTTGTGTGACACAGACAGGCCCAGGGGGCCTCAAGGCTTTTAGGAAGTCATTCATGCATTCAGCCAATATTCCCCAAGCACCTGGCCGGGCAGGAGCCGGGGCTGCAAGGAGAGCCAGACCCTCAGGTTCTCATGGCCCACAGAGACAGAGGCGCACACGTGAGTTTCACTCCCACCAAGCAGGCTGAGACGGGTGAGCAGAGCACCAGCCCAAGTGTTATCCGGGAGACTTCCTGGAGGAGGCGTCTGGTGGGAGTGCCCAGCGCTAGCACTCTGGGTTGTGCTGGCTGCTTGGTGGTGGGCTCCCGAGATCCTGCTTGGCTCCCGGCCTCCCAGAGAGGCCGCCTGTAGGCAGAGCTGGGAGAGGAGCGGGTTTTTCTGGAAGACCCGGCACTTGGCCTGGCACCTGGCCTGCTGGGGTTCAGCCGAGTGGAGGATGGGGGCCTGGCCCACAGCTCTGCCCACACAGACCTCAGAGGCTCCAGGGGGCAGGGTGGGGAGGAGCCCTCTGCCTCGGCTGTTACTTGGGGGGCACAGTGGGGTAGCGGGGGCGTCCTGGCGGGCTGCAGCTGGGCACCCTCGCGCCAGGCCCCTCCTTCCTCAGGAGGTCTGTGGCCCAGCCCCTTGCCTGCCGAGAGGCACCCCTGGGGAAGAGGCAGCTTGGCATGAAGGAGCTGCTGATCTGTTTTCCTTTGCCCTTGCCTGGCACCCCACCCAGGCTACCCACTCGAGGGGTGACTTATGGGAAAGCTCGCACCGCCCCCACCCCTGACGTGTGGTCCACCATCCAGGCATGTCGTCCTGTCCGTCAGCAGTGGATGGCCCCTCCCTTTGGGATGTTGAGAGGAGTCTGCCCTCCCCGTGGGATCCGGGTGGGTCTGCTCATCCCCAGAGACACTGTACCGCCTCCCTGCCACGACCCCGGGCATCGCCCGCCCTGTGTGGGCAGACACAGTACAGGGCACATGGGGGCTGTGCCGCCCGAGAGGACGGAGTGGGCTGGTGTTGCGGACCAGCAGGAGTGGAGGCCGAGGGCAACGCTGTTGCCCAGCCCACCTGCTTCCTGTCTCAGCCCCTGAGTCCCAGTGTGACCCCGTTTGACAGACTGGGCACAGCTGATGGTCCCAAGGGGCCAGGGCTGCCCGAGTCAGAGGTGCCCCGCCTCCCAGTTCCTGCTTGGCCAAGATGATGGAGAGGGGTGGGCAGAGAGCTGGCATCTGAGCCCAAGTCCTGGTCCCAGCCCGTCCTGGGCACCCTGGGCAGCTCATGCCCCTCACTGGGCCACACTTCCTGGAGACTGGTGCTGGAAGCATCCACCCACTTCCAGGCAGACTCTCCCCCTGGGCGTTGGTTGCCCAGGATCTCACAGCTGCAGGTGGTTATCGAGGCATCTTTTGATTGCCCACCACCTCCTAAAAGGCAGGCTGCTTGAGGGCAGGGCCTGATGCCCGGTCCATGCCAGGCTTGGCAGGTCCTCAGCGAGCTGGTGCTGAGTGAACAGAGGGAGGGTGAGCCAAGAGACTAGCGGGCTCCCCAGCAGCCCCCTCCCCAGGCCAGGAGGGTCTCCCAGACCTTGGGGCGGTAGGGGGGAGGTTGACTGCAGGACGGAGTGGCACAGAACCTGTCAGAGGGCCCAGGACCCCCTTCTACACACACACACGTGTATGTGTGTGTCCAACAGCTCATACATGCCCACCCCTGGTCCGCAGAGGACTTTGTTCCCTGCCTCTTGCCCAGCCTGGCCTGAGGGGCCCTCTGTCTTCCAGGGAGGGGCAGGTGTCTCTTGGGGGCACCGCTGTGGGCAACCTCTTGGGAAACTGCTCATCCACAAGGAGTCCCGCACACCCCCTGTTGCCTGGTAGGAGCTCTGAACCCAGGACGGTGGGAAGCCAGAGTGCAAGGCTGAAATTCCTCCCGCCCGCCTCTCCCCAGGCACCAGGGGGACCTGGGGGCTGCTAACTGCCTCCCAAGCCTTTCACAGGCCACCGGATCCCACAGGCCTCGCCGCCCTCCTCGTGAGATGGGCAACTCCACCCGGGTCATAAGGAGGTGCAGGTTTTATCTGGGGCTGCTCCTGAGCGGGACAGGGGTCGGGCTTCACTCTGAATGCACTGCAGTAGCCCAATTCTGCTATAGATGTGAGCATGTCTTATTCTTATTTTGGAGAAAACTAACTGAAAAATGAGAATGAAACAGATGCGCATCCCAGACTTCTCAGAACAGCTCTCGGTTCCCAGCGCCAGGCCAGAGCCCTGCAGCTGTCCCCCTCCCTGAGCCCCACTGGGCAGAGCATCCCACAGGCCAGCTCATGCTCCACTCTGCACACTGCCAGCATAAAGGTCTGAACCCAGGAGGGTACCCGGCCGGCGCCCCACCCCCACGGCCCCAGCTATGCACCAGCTCCGAGGTTCTGGGCAAGTCTCAACTGTAACCAGAAACGAAAACCCTCTGGCAGCAGAAGAGAAGGCAGAAGGCTGGGCCCCGGGAGCAGAGCTGTGGATGAAGCAAGCCTTCGACCCTCGTGAGGGCAAGGGTGAAGTCAGGACAGAGGCGTGGCAGGAGCACAGAGCAAGCAGCCGGGCCCCGAAAGCCTCCAAAAAGCTTTAATACTGATGCGTGGATACGCTCCACATAAGAAAGGACCTCTCTACACCCAGAGGCTCGCTGAGCATCAGGCAGTGGAGGGGGTCCCCAGAGGACCTCCCTGGCCACCCGACCAGCTAGCCCAGGGCCTATGCACAGGCTTGCCCTTACCACAGCTCCGGAGGGTCCAGGGCGCGACCAAGCCTGCCCCTCTGGCCGAGCGCGTCTCTTCCAGCCGCAGGGAGCCGCTGCGGGGGTCTGGCGTGGCCGGCACCCCGAGTGAGCTGGAGACACACAAACACCTGTGTGAGCAGCGAACACCCTCGAGGCAGGAGACAGCTTGGGGGGCCAGGGGAGGGCCAAGAGGCTGGGCTCCTGCAGGCCCGGTGTCCAGGGAGACCCAAGGGCCAAAGAGGGGCCGGGCCTGTGACCAGAAGCCCCGGGGGTAGCTGCACCCGCAGCATCTCCTGGCTCGGCAGGGCCTGATCGGTGAGCAGTGACTTGGGGCTGAGTGCTCGTTACTGCGGGGGGACCAGCTCCCGGCAGGAGTGCGCGGCGTCCACAGTCACTGTCCAGGGCTGGGGCCCGCGTCGGAATGCCCTTTGCCCAAAAGCCCTCGCCTCTGCCCAAAAGTCCTCGGTCTGCTCACTCAAAACGCCCACTCTGGGGTGACAGGCACAGTCCCCCATCCTTCATGACGGGCATGTCCTTCATCTCCGCCCCCTCGGCCATCGGCTAGGGGGCACTGTCCACCAGGCCCACGGGGGAGCGGGGCCCACAGCCGAGCTCTAACTCCACCAGTGCCCTGCACTGCCGCCCTGGTCGGAGAGTGACCTCAGCCGGCCGGGCGACCAAGAAGGCTGGGGTCAAACTGGTCCGGTTGGAGTCAGAGGCCTGCCCTCCGTCAGGGCAAGCTGCCTGGCACGTCTGCCCATGGGAAGAAGAGGAAGGCGTGGCCCTGGGCCCCTCCCAAGAGGGTAGCAGCCCAGGGGGGGCAGGAGAGCAGAGGTGGGCGGCAGCTGCCTGGGTTAGGGGCCTGCGGCCCAGAGGCGTGTGCTGGGCTCGGACGAGCGGTGCTGACAGCCCGCCTCACTTCACGTCTCACCAGCATATGTGCCTCTCTCTCCTGCAATCCAGCAACCCAGGACCCCTTGGAGTGATGAAAGACGCGAGCACACCTGTGGGCCATCGGGCCCAGCCTCCTCCAGCCCCCGGGTCCCCAGGCACAGGCGTCTGCTGAGCAGCTGCAGTGCTTAGCCCCCGACCCCGCAGGGCAGATGGCGTGGAAAGACTGTGCCACAGAGAGGCAGCAGGCCTGGGCCTGAGACAGGTGCTGCAGAGGTGAGGGGCGGGCCCAGGGGCTCACCCCGGGATGGCCCCAGGGGCGCTGGGGCGGGAGCGCTGACCGCGGGCTCCGACGGTCAGGGGAGGAGCGTTCCTAGAGGCAGTGGCACCAGGGGCTGCTCCAGGAACGCGTGGGCATGGAGGCGTTGGGGGCAGGGTCGCGGCAGGGTCTTTTCTAGACTCTCCCGCTCCCTCCTTCTCAACCCAGAACCTGCGGGCGCGCAGTAACTCCCACCTGGGATCATCAAAGGGCAGGAAGGAGCTGTGTCCTCCAAGGCCATCAGTCCCCACACCAGTCGCCCTCCATTATCTAGATCACGTGTTGCAGAATTTGCCGCAGAGAGACAGACCATCCGTGTTCAGGCTCTGTGGGCCCCCCAGGTCTCTGTCTCCATGGAAACCACTCAGCTCTGCCTTTGTGGCAGGAAAGCAGCCACGCTCGCTGTGTAAACGTGATGAGTGTGGCTGCACGCCAATAAAACTTTATTTACAAAGACTGTTGGTGGGTCCTGGGGGCAGTGGCTTGCTGACCGCAGGTCTAGATTTTTTTCTAAGGCAGTGGTTCTCACCGGAATCGCCTGATCACGGGGCCCACCCCCAGCATATCAGATTCAGGAGGGCGGGATAGAGTGGGGGAGGACACTGCATTTTCTAACAAGTTCCCGAGGAACAACTTGAGAACCACTCGCCAGAGAGGGGGTGTAGCGGAAAAACCAGGGGCTCTGGAGTCCAAGCCCTGGGTCTGACCCTTGGTTTGTCCTCCCCCAAGCAGGTCACTTCTCCGCCAGCCTCAGCTTCCCCATCTGTAAAATAGGGATGAGCATACACCCCTCAGGGTGCTGAAAGCACTGCCTGAGGTTCAGGGAGGCCTGTGGGGTGACGGTGGGCACACAGCTGGGCCACACACTCTCCCATCCTTCCTTCCAGACGGGCTGGGGGTGGACTGGGCATCAGGGGCCCAAGCTCCGTCGAGGGTCTGGGGGCAGGGCGGGAAGCCCTAGTGTCCCCACCACATGATGCTGGTAACAAGCTCTGGCCCCACCCAGCCACTGAGCACCGCGTTCCCAGCAAGGAAAGGAGTTGGTGGAGGAGACTCAGGAACTGGCCTGAGAGGAGGCAGGATGGGCCAGGCCCTGGGGAGCGGAGCTGTGCCCTGCAGCCTAGGACTCACAGGGCACTGAGGGAGGTGGCCAGAGGCACGGCCGCAAAGCAACCCCTGGGGAGCAGTGAGTGGCGACCTGCTAGTTTAGAAAGCAGGGCCGGGCCAGGCCAGGGGCCCTCCTGGAGACCCCGATCCTGGGCTCCAAGGGCGTTGGGCCGTCCAGGGCATGGCTTTGAACGACTTCCACCTCTGCTGTCTCTCTGTGCCTGGGCAGGCTGCGGGAGGGGTGGGGAGGGGACCTGCGCCCTGGTGGGAAGGCTCTATGACCTGAGGGGTGCCGTGGGTGCCCAGGGTTCCCGGCTCTGAGACCTTTGAGGTCTGAGCCCACAGGACCTTGCTGGCCATCCAGCGACAGGACCTACAGATGTAGGCTGTCCACCTTGGAGCCTCCCATCCCCCTCCCCTTCTCAGGGTCTAGACAGGGAGCAGGGGATGACGGCGGCCAAGTCTGGCCCAATGCTGACCCCTACTGGTGGCAACAATTCCATTCCAGCTTCCCAGGTGGTGCTGGAGGTAAAGAACCTGCCTGCCAATGCAGGAGACATAAGAAGCCTGGGTTCGATCCCTGGGTCGGGAAGAGCCCCTGGAGGAGGGCATGGCAACCCACTCCAGTGTCCGTGCCTGGAGAATCCCGTGGACAGAGGAGCCGGGCGGGCTACAGCCCATGGGGTTGCAAAGAGTCGGACACGACTGAGCGCACACACAGAGGATACCCAACCTGACTGAGGCTGGGCCGGGGAGGGGAGGGGAGGAGGGTGAGGCAGTGCTGGGGGCATCGGGGTGATACGGGGGAACCCCCACCTCCTAGGGAGGACGCAGGCTGGGGGTGTGCTTTCTGCACAGGCCTGGGATCTGCGCTGACCACCCCCCGCCCCGTGCGAGGGCCTCCCCCCCACTTGGATTCCCGGCTCTCCGAGCACGGCCACAGTCTCCACCCTCCACTATCCTCTCTGCTCACGAGCACCGCGCCCCCCAGGCGGCCCCCCAAGGCCCCAACCTGGGCACCGAGTCCAGGACACACCTAGCGAAGTGGGTGGGGAGGATCCCCTTGAGCGTCTCTGGCCAGCCCCCCGGGGACCCCCCCACTGGCCTGTCCCCCTCTGGAGCCCCCCCCCGCCCCCGCCTTGGCTCTGAGCTGTGGAGCCTGAAGTCGCAGAGGACCTGTGGCCAAACAAGGTGAGGGGGCATCCTGCGAGGGGCCGCCTGGTGGGGCGGCGGGGGACGGAGAGGGGAGGGCCCGGGGTGTCTGAGACCCTCCTGGGGCAGCACTGGGAAGGCAGCTGGTGGGGCTGGGGGCCAGGAGGGCACTGCTGGCCGGGGAGGACGGCTGGACAGGGACCCACGTCTGCGGGAGCCGCCAGGCAGAGGGGCTGAAGCAATGGACCTTGGGGTGGGAGCGGGCAGTCCTTGCAGGAGGGGACGGGGCCACAGCTGCTCAGTGAAGTCCAGGTGCCGACATGGGCCCCAGGGGCTGAGGGCACTGGGGGGGGTGATGAACTGGGGGACAGAGGGGCCGGGGCGGTCGCAGCTGCACAGCCGGGGGCCTGGAGTGCGGCTGGGCCCAGCAGAGCGTCCCCGGGACAGTGACTGCTAAGGCGGCCTTGCGGGCCCAGGCTGGGCTGGCCGGGTGGACAGCAGGACTGCTGAGGGCGCCTGCTGCCCCTGCCCCAGGCCGGTCATCCGTCCGTAACAACTGATGGAAAGGGACCCGTGTGAAGTGGCTCTAGAGGAGGTCAGGGCTGGAGACGGGCCTGTTCAAGGGCTTGTGGGCAGGTGGTCCTGAGGATCTGACACCAGCGAGCAGACCCAGATGGAGGGCCCCTGCCTCCACACGCCCCGGACACGACCAGCCTGCCAACCACCCGGGGACGCCTGGGCAACTGGGGCCTCCCGTGGCCCACTGCACGCCGCCCAGCCGGAGGCGTCCAAGGCCCATGTCTCCCCCAGGACAGGCCAGGAGCTGTGTCACCCTGCCGGCCTGGCTGCACCCACCCCGGGGACATGAAGGCACTCGAGGGCAGCGCCCAGCCTTACCTCCCTGCGAAGGGGCTGAGGGCCTGGAAAGAAGCCACGTTTCTTGCCAGCCTCCCATCCAGCTCGGAGCGTCCATTGTCCGTGAAACCTTTCGAGAGAGGAGCATCGGGACTTCACTTCCTACAGGCCGGCGGGGTGCGGAGGGGCTGCTGCTTTGCAGGGAGTGAGGTGGTCCCCCCTGCATCCCCACGGCAGGAGGCACAGGGGTCCTGCGCTCTCACCCCTCTGCGGAGGCGGGGCGGGGAGGGGGCAGGATGTCAACCTCAGGACCGGGGGCCCGCCCCTCCCCCGCCAGAGGCAAGGTGGCGACAGCAGGCACAGAGGGACAATGGCTGGGGTCTAGTCATTGTCCCCCCTCGAGGGAGGAGACCCAGGGGCAAGGAGAAAGTGGGGGTCCCCTGGCTGCCGGCGGGGCCTGGGGGTAGTCCTACCTATGGGCTCACTGGCGTGGCGGGCCCTGGGGCTCGCGCTCTGCGGCCGCTCCCAGCCAGGGCTCCAGCGCGCCGTCTCTGTGTCCCGGAAGCCGGTGGTGGAGAGAAGCGGCCTGGCCCGCAGCCCTGCCCAGTCCCAGGGCGCCCCTGGGCCCACGTTGGGCACTAGGGCTCCGGGGCGGGCCGGTGTGCTGGCGTCGGAGGGCAGCGGCCCCGGGCCAGGCCCTACCAGCGCATCCATCGCCTCGGAGCGGCGCAGCTTGTCCGTCAGGACGTCGATCCGCTGCTTTAGGATGCTGGCCATGGTCTCCAGGGCCTGCAGCCGGGCCTGCTTGTACCGGAAGTGCAGGGGGCCCGGCGTGCCCAGGCGCTCCGACTCCTCAGGGTCCAGGTATATGCAGAGCCCCGGGTTCCGGCAGTGCGTGCTCAGGTCCTGGAACTTCAGGGGCCCCAGGGCGGAGCTGGCTGGCATCAGCAGGGGCGTGCCCTCCCAGCCATCTTGGGGGCCCCCCACCTCCAGAGTCTTGGTGGGGTTCAAGGCTCTGTTCAAACACAGGCAGAAGCTGCAGGGAAAGAAGGGACAGGGGTCAGCCTGGGGGCGGGGGCGACCGTCTCCATGCGTGTCAGAGACACGTGTGTGCAGGGATGCACGTGGAAGCAGCTTCCGGGCCAGGCCCAGGTCCGTTTGTGACCGTGGCGATCACGACAGACCACACGCACCTGTTAGGCAGAAGGAGACCAGATGGCAATGATTTCTTGGATGTGACCCCAGAAGCACTGGTAACAAAACAACAAATAGGCAACTTGGGCTACTTCAGAATTAAAAACATGTATGTGTCAAAAGACCCAATCAACAGAATGAAAACACAGCCTTCTCGACTTCCTATTTTTGCGTTCCAATTTCCTTTGATGAAAAGGACATCTTTTTATAGTGTTAGTTCTAGGAGGTGTTATAGGTCTTCACAGAACCAGTCAACTTTACTTCTTCGACATCAGTGGTTGGGGCATAGACTTGGCTTACTGTGATGCTGAATGGTTTGCCTTGGAAACAAACCAAGATCTTTGTGTTGTTTCTGAGGCTGCCTCCAAGTACTGTGTTTCGGACTCTTGTTGACTACGAGGGCCACTCCATTTCTTCTAAGGGATTCTTGCCCACAGTAGTAGACATCATGGTCATCTGAGTTAAATTCTCCCATTACTGTCCGTTTTGGTTCACTGACGCCTAAGATTTTTATATTCACTCTTGCCATCCCCTGCTTGACCTTGTCCAGTTTACCTTGATTCATGGACCTAACATTCCGGGTTCCTATGCAATATTGTTCTTTATAGCATCAGACTTTTTACTTTCACCAACCAGACACATCCACAGCTGAGCATCTTTTCCGCTTTGGCCCAGCCACTTCATTCTTTGTGGATCTGTTAGTAATTGCCCTCTGCTCCTTCCCAGTAGCACATTGGATACCCTCTGACCCAGGGGAGCTCGTCTTCTGGTGTCCTATCTTTTTGCCTTTTCATACTGTCCATGGTGTTCTTGAGGCAAGGGCACTGGAGTGGTTTGCCATTCCCTTCTCCTGTGAACCACGTTTTGTCAGAGCTCTTCAGTGAGACCTGTCCCTCTCGGGCGGCTCTGCACGGCATGACTCATAGCTTCACGGAGCTTTGCAAGCCTCTTTACCATGACAAGGCTGTGATCCACGAAGGGGATGTCATGTGCATTTTAAGTGAAATGTTTGTAAGTGAAAAAAAAAGGACACAGCGAAGCAAGATGAAGGACCTAGAGCTGCCCCACCGATGGAGATGACCATCCCCTAGTGTGGTGTCCAGCCGAAGGAGCTGCACAGTCAGGACCCCGACAGCCTTCCCGATGGGGGGCTGCCCTTGGGGTGTGATGGGTTTCTCGGCCCTGGTGCAGGTGACATGTGTGCTCAGCATGAACACGTTCACTTTGGACCTGTGTCCTCGTCTGGATGTGACCAGACACCAACACTGAGACGGTAAAAAGAGATGCAGACCCCGGGCTGCCCTGTGGAACCCGAATCTGGGGGAGTGGCCCAGGGCCGCACACTTTCAAGACGAATGAAGAAAAAGGAGCCAGAGGGAGAAACTCCCAGGGGCCAGGGGTCAGGGAAGGGTGTCCGATCCATTGAGGTGAGCTGCTGCAAAGAGGGTGGGTGCTGAGCTCCAAGGGGTTCAGCCCAGAGCCCCCTCCCAGAGCACTGGCTGCCAAAGGTGCACCCAGGGCAGGCAGCTCCTGCTGGGGCGGTGTCTTGTGGGGACCCCTATCCTCAGCCCCTCTGGGTCCGCTTCTCCCCTCTGGCCACACGCGGATGACGCTCCCGGAACCCGGCTATGAGCTCCTTGTCACATTGCCCTCCCCTCATCATCAGGCAGGTGGCCAGGAAGTGGCTGGCCCTGGCCTGAAGCCCACAGGGCACTGCCCACAGGCCCTCGCCATGGGGATGAGCACCGTGGGGTGAGGACAGGGAGAAACTGGATCTCCTCTGCGCTGCTGGTGGGAATGCAAAACGCTGTGGTCACCGCCCATACAGCCCAGCAGTTCCTCCGTGAGCGAGACACAGAGGTACAACATGAGCGGACAACTCTCCTCCTGGGTGCGTGCACAGGAGAGCTGAAGACAGGTGCTCGGATGTTTCGATCAGAGTGGCCAAAAGGGGGACACAACCCACAAGTCCATGAGCTGACCAGGGGTGTGCAAAATGTGGGAGATGCCCCAGTGGAATATCACTCAGCCCTAAAAAGGAAGGAAGTCCTGACACAGGCTGCAACACAGATGAACCTGGAAAACACGCTCAGAGGAAGAAGTCAGGCACAGAGGCCCTGTGCTGTCTCAACTGACATGAGACATCAGAACAGGTGAATCCATCCAGCCAGAATAGCCATCATCAAAAAAATCCACCAACAATAAAGAGGGTGTGGAGAGAAGGGAACCCTCCTCCACTGTGGGTGGGAATGTAACTTGGTACAGCTACTGCAGAGTACAGTATGGAGGTTCCTCAAAAAACTAAAAACAGAGCTACCACATGACCCTGCAATCCTAGTCCTGGGCATTTATCTGGGGAAAAGAAAACATGATCCAAAACGATACACGCAAACCCAGTGTTCACTGCAGCACAATTTACAACAGCCAAGACATGGAAGCAACCTAAATGTGCATTGACAGAGGAATGGATAAAGAAGATGTGGTACGTACATATGATGGAATATTACTCAGCCGTAAAAAGAATGAGACAATGGCACTTGCAGCAACATGTATGGACCTAGAGATGTCATACTGAGTGAAGTCAGTCAGACAGAGAGGGAGAAATAGTGTATGACATCCCTTATGTGTGGAATCCAGAAAGAAATGACACAAAGGAACTTACTTACAAAACGGAAAGAGACACACAGACTCAGAGAATGAATGTATGGTTGCCCGGAGGAAGGATGAGAGGAGGGGATAGTTAGGGAGTTTGGGATGGACATGTACATGCTGCTGTGTTTAAAACAGATAACCAACAAGGACCTCCTGTAAAGTACATGGGGAAAAAAAAGAACAGGTGAATCCATAAGGACGAACAGCAGACTGGGGATGCCTCAGGGCTCAGGGGACGAGTGGGGGGCAGTGACTGCGAATGGGAACTGGGTTTCCTTTTGTGTGATGAAATGTTTTGGGACTAGACAGAGGTGGTGGTTGGTTTCACAATATTGTGAATGTGCTAAAGGCCCCTGAATAGTTCACCTTGTAAAGGTTAACTTTACGTGACAGCAATCTCACCTCAGTGGAAACCAACGCAGCCCTGATCACAGGCTCTGTGCAGCTCTGGGCAGAGTGAGCCAGACCCTGCCCGGGAGAGCCCCCCTGGGAGTCCAGCCCCGGCCCCCGCACACCCACCTGCCTGGGGCCTCCTGGTCCCCCAGCACCATGCCAGAAGTCACCTTGCTCCACTGCAGCACCGGCACCCCCGGCCCGGCGGCGGCTTCCAGGTCCTAAAGCAGAGAAGGATGCTATCAACCCCAGCCCAGCCACAAGACCCCAGGCCCTGTCTCAGCCTCGGAGCTGTCCCCGGCCGCCGCGGGATCACAGGCTGGTCCCTCCCGGGGAGGGTGGGCAGAAACGGAGGCAATGGGGTCCCCGTAAAGCCCCATGGAGGCCAGGGGAGCCGGGTGTCCGAGCTGCTGCATACCCTGGACTGTGCCGCATGCGGGACGAAGGTCACGATGCCGGGGGTCGTCTGGGAGACCACAGGGACGGCTCTGCCCAGCACGGCCTCCCTCTGCTTCCTGTGGGCGTCCTGCAGCCTCTGGTTTCTGAGCTCCAGCGAGCGCATGGCCGAGGCCTTCTCCTCTAGGGCCTGCCGCCGCCAGGCCACAGTCTTCTGGCGCATGAACTCACGCAGGGACTCGGAACCGTGGAGGGGGCCCAGGGCCCCCCGGGGCTTGGGGCAGGGCCGAGGTGGCCGCACCTCATTCTCCTTCTCAGGCACATTCCAAAGGGCACCCTGGCTGGGCCTCGGCCAGGCGAGCTTGGCCCCCGAGGGGGTCCGCAGGGGACCCCTGCCCTGATACAGGGGGCTGGGCCCCTGCGTGAAGGAGGCGCTCCAAGGCCGCCAGGTGGGTTGGCTCGGCCTTTCCAGAGGGCTCCATGGCCTCGGGGCGGAGGTCGCCAGGTCTTCAGAAGCGGTCCAGGCCCTCTGCGGACCCCAGGCCTGCCCGGCTGAGGCGCTCCAGGACCGCTGCAGGATGGGGACCCACCTTTCGGGGGGGCTCCCAGGCCTCTGGAAGGCGGGGTCTCGTCCTTGGAACGCCCAGGTCTTCGGTGGGCAGGAGGCCTGCCTGGCCGAGGCGCTCCAGGGCCGCTGGGGAAAGGAGTTCAGCCCTTCGGTGGGGCTCACACATCTCTGGAAGGAGGTGTCCCATCCTGGGGCCGCCCAGGTCCTGTGTGGATAGGACTCCCACTCGGCCACGGGGCTCCAGCGCCGTGTGGTAGGGAGGCTCCCAGCCCTCTCGGAAGTGGGCAGCCCGTCCATCGGGGCTTCAGGGCTCTTCCAGAAGGAGCCCTGGACGTCTGGGGATTTCCAGGGGCTTGGCCGCCTCCTCCCTGCCAGGCTGTGCAGCTCCAGCCTTCGGCTCGGGTGGCGGGACCGGGCCAGCTCCAGCCCAGCCTGGATTTGCTGGCGGAGGTCTCGAAGGACCGCCATAGCAGCCTGGACGTTCACGGGTGGATCACGGGAAGCCAGGGTGGGCACGTTGGCTGCGGGCATCTGCGGGTCACTGCGGACAGAGGCTGGACTTGGCATCCGAGGGTGGACAGGGGAGCTCTCGGGGGCTCCAACCTTCTTGCTGTGATCTGCAAAGACAGGCAGTCACAGGGTTGCCAGGAGGAGCAGAGCCCCCCAGAGACCCCTCTCTTGGCTCTGTACTCGTCATCCACGCACAGAAGCCCTCTGCGGGCAGATGCACGTCTGGGTGACTCATGGCTGTGCCCAGGCATCTGGCACAGAGCCATCCTCTCTGAACATGTCGAAAACTGAGTGTGTGTGTGTGTTGGGGTGGGGGTGGGGGGTAACAGACGTCTCCTGGGAGCCACTGTGGCTGCAGGCCTGCATTCTCTAAGTCAGGACAGCCTGGTGGCCATGCCCTGTCTTCCAGGAGCAGAAATTTGCTTCTCAGCAACAGAAACCCTCTTTTTGGTTTTTTTTAAATGCACTGACTCCCCAAAGCCCCTGTCTGCTGGTGGGTTTGGAGGGCATCTGACAGGTCTCTGTGGGAATAGGTGTTGCGCCCGCACCCCGATGCCGTTGCTGCCTGAGCGTCTCTCCCCTGGCGCCCACCCTGCCCCCCAAGATGCCACACAGCGGAGCAGCGTCGAGGCGGAGGTACAAGGTACCTAACGCTGCGATGGGGGCCTGGTCTCTCGAGGGGGCCTTGCTCTGGAGCCTGGGGAGGGCAGGTGGGGACCCCAGCAGCACCCTCACCAGAGCTTGTCCTTTCCTCCAGGCATGAACACCAACCAACTCATAATCTTAAAGAGAAAACACACAGCCAGGTGCCCAGGGCCCTCGGCATGCTGGCCCAGAAGGGAAGGCTGGCAGCTCCTCGCAGAGCCAGGACACCAGGTCACACGCTCCCGGAGGGGACAGGGTGAAAACCCTTGGGTCCAGGCCACTCTGGTGCTGGGCCATACCCCAGCCATTAGCCAGCATCCTGGGCAAAGTTGAGTCTCAGGATGACCTGGACATGTGACCTGATTTCTCTGACCCTCAGGGCTAATAAAACGTACTCCCTATGGATTTCTCTGTAAAACATTCAATGCAGGCCCTGAAGCACCGCACACGCTCTGTAAAGGCTGGTCAGTAGCAAAGACAATCACTAGCACACACAGAGCTCGGGGGCGGGGGGCGACACTGTCGATAATCACTTGCCCTGAACCAGAGGAAACTAATTCGTTTTTATAAACTGGTGAGAGCGGGGATAAGGGTAGGAATCAAGGAAGCTGTTGCAGAGAAAAGGGGAAATAGAAGGCTGAATTTCCCTTTTCTTTCCTGAGAACAAAGAAGATAAAGAGAATAGTGAGCAGGCATGATCACTCCTAGTTCTTAACTGTTCCTAGTCTGTAGTCTGTAACTAAGTTTGCTTTTCTGCCTTCTAACTCTGCAGGAGCTCGTTCTGAACCTACTATCATTTAGTGTCCGTCACTCAGTCGTGTCCGACTCTGTGACCCCATGCACTATAGCCCACCAGGCTCCTCTGTCCACGGGAGGAGGAGGAAGGAGGGAGGGAGGGAGTTGCCATCCCCTTCTCCAGGGGGTCTTCCTGACCCAGGGATAGAACCCAGGTCCCTTGGGCGGCAGGCAGATTCTTTACTGTCTGAGCCCAGGGGCGCCCTGCTATCCTTTAACTCTGTGCTGATCACCTCCTGTTCGTGGTGCTCACCTTTCGGCACGCTTTTGCAGACCACCTCTTGGAGGTCTCTTTTTGCATTACAGGAAGGAGGTCACAGCACAACACACAAAAAACGAAGGACCCAGCTCCTGAACTACCTGATGCCAGCCTGTGACTGTGTTTGAAGCAGTGCAAGAGGAGCAAGAAGAATACAGGCTCCTCGTGTCTCTGTTCCTCAGCACCAACACCTGACTGTGAGCCCTCCTCTATACGATCCCCAGATTCCTCATGGAAGTGGGGCACAGTTCTCGAGGCACGGACCAACTGTGCTCTCCGCCTCCTCCCACTGAGGATTAAAGCCACCCTTCCATTTCCTCCAAACAAACTGGCTCCGTCTGTTTTTATTTGGCTTTGTTGGGCAGAGAAAGCTAAGATTTTGGCGGCAGCAAAGTCACCCAGGGTGGCAGGATGAGGGGTCCGGGCAGTGTGTGGAAACAAACAGCCACCACATCCCAAACATAAACACTTTCTTTAATAAATGCTATCACGTCATAAACATCATTTATCAAGGTTTTACTTCATAATCCCAAATCGCCCTCACCAAATGCACCAAAGCAGCCCCACCATCATTACAAACCCAACCGCAAGGGCCCTGGCAGAGGCAGAGGCAGGAAGCAGTGGCCGACCTTGAGCGCTTACACACACACACACACACACACACACACACACACGGCAGGGAGCCAGCCCAGGCAGCGCCCCAGGAAAACAAAACTACCCAGACCAAGACTTGTCCTGGGGGCATTTCTGCCCGAAGCCGGCGCCTCACAGCAGGGATCACCCACCTAGCACACCCTGTTCCCTAGACTCGGCGCCCTCCCCAGCCCAGAGTGAGACTCGGGGCTCTGGCCCGAGGATGAAGCTCCACGAAAGGGAAGGGCGACGCAAAGCCACGCCCCCAGAGGCCACGCCTTCCAGAGGCCGAGCCCCAGGAAGGAGAGGCCGTGACCACGCCCCCTGAAAGCCACGCCCCTGGAAGAGTGCTCCAGGACACGCCCCCTCTGCGACCACGCCCTCCGCCCCAGGCTCCTGGGGTAGCCGAGGAGGAGAGTGCGGGGTCCGGAGTCCCAGAAAAGTGAAAGTCTTAGTCTCTCAGTCCTGTCCGATTCTCAGTGACTCCATGGACTGTAGCCCGCCAGGCTCCTCTGTCCATGGGATTCTCCAGGCCAGAATCCTGGAGTGGGAAGTCATTCCCTTCTCCAGGGGATCTTCCCAACCAGGGATTGGGACCACCTGCATTGGCAGGTGGGTTCTTCACCAACATCACCACCTGGGAAGCCCCCGTCCAGCCAGTGAAGAAGCGGAAGTCACTCAGTCGTGTCCGACTCTTTGTGACCCCATGGACTATACAGTGCATGGGATTCTCCAGGCAAGAATACTGGAGTGGGTAGCCTATCTCTTCTCCAGGGGATCTTCCCGACCCAGGGATTGAACCCAGATCTCCTGCTTTGCAGGCAGATTCTTTACCAGCTGAGTCACAAGACATGGGTTTAAATCCCCCTCCTCCATTCTCCAGCCACAGGCCTTGAGCAAGTGACCACTTCCCTGTGCCTCAATTTCCCCATCTGTACGCATCTCTCCACAAGGATGAAAAAGTGAAGCAGTCACCCCCACTGCAGGAGTTTCCCAGAAAGGTCAGGCTTCTGCTGACCAGGGCTGAGTCTGGGACTGCCCACCTGCCTGCCACGTTTGACCTATGAGGGGGACCTGGGGGGTGGGCTCCCCAGCAAGGGTCCTGCATCCTGGATCCCAGAGCTGCTGCACTGCACAAAAAAAGGCCACACTCTCTGGATGGGGCACTGAGCAGGGGCCACGCTGGGTGAGGAGGGGCCCGCAGGCCCCTCTGAGCACCCCCACCCACAGCCCCCGACATCACTGGCTTCCCCATTAGCCAGCCAGAGGGGTCCAGGTCAATAAATGGGCCCTGGTGGGCACGTTTTTCCTTCTGCAGAGCAGTTTAATGGCAATTAATTTTTTTACGAGAGGATTTTTAATCTGTGGAAATGGATGAAGTCCCCAAGTGCCTGTCAAAGTTCCAGGGCCAACCTAATCTATGATAAAAAATGCAAAGTGAGGTGCTATAATCTAAAATTAAATATCGGGCTTCATTTTCCCTCAGCCCGGATGGATGAATATTTTATAACTATTGTGATTTAATTTTTTGTTAACTACAGCAAATTTCTAATTCATCCAATTCCCAAGTCCTGTGGCTCTGACCTCTGAACCCAAACTCATCTCTTCTTAGCCCAGCTGTGACTTCGTCACTGACAGAAACTAATGGTCAGCTGCATCAGGGTGACACGGCGGTTACGGTGATGAATGCAGCCCGTGGCACGCCCTTCTGACCCAGTGTCAGGCACAAGGCAGGTCATTTTTCAAAGGAGCCATTAAAATAAAACAAACCCCAAGGTCCAGGAGCAGGGGGAAACATGATGCAGAAAATTCTTATATTTTGTGCTTTTTCAGGGGCCTTCTGGAACTTTCTCTCCATCTCCTGGCATCCCTCACTCTCCAGTGGAGGTTTTGCCGACGTGCCCCCACATTGCTCTGGGCCCACCTCCATTGAGGCACAGAGGAGGACAGTCACTCAGCCCGCTGGAATGGTGGGTTTGCCCAAGGGCAGAGGGGGCAGGTATCTGAAGACGTGGGCAGACCTCACATTGGCATTCCCGTCCAGGACTGCGATATCGTGCCCGGGGGAAACTGAGGCACAGAGATGCTGAAAAACAGCTCCAACACCAGTGTTGCTTACTCCCAGCAAGACCAGGGGTCCCCACAGAGCCGACCTCAGCCCCCCAGGGCTCTCCCCACCTGGGGGGGGCTCTCATTGGTGTTCCCAAAGTCTGTGGTGCAGTGGTCCCAGAGTCCAGGCCCTGAGGGTGGGCCTGGAGAAGGCCTCCAGGCGCAGGTCCAAGTGTGCACAGCTGGGCTCTTTTGGGCGGGGAGCACAGGGCCGGAGCCAACCCTGGCTGGCCTGTGTGACCCTGGGCAGGCTGGTGAACCTCTCTGAGCCTCAGTTTCCTCATCTACAAAATGGGAGCGAGCCCGTCTGCCTCCGAGGAGAGCTGTGAGGAGTTACGTGAGCCGCTGCTGCCTGCGTGCTTGGCACACACGGGCAGAGGGAACCCAGCCCTGAGCGTGTCACCCCATCCCGCCCAGGCTGTTCTGAAGGGAGGCCCAGAGGAAGGCTGCCCGCTCTGCTCCCCACAACCCACATCCAGCTCATTCACCCCACAAGCTGCACGAACCAGCCAGGCTGGGCGGCTGGGTCTTCACTGGACACAACCATATGACCCACCCTCAGGGGAGAGACCCCCAAGTCAGGAATTTCTCTGCGACCCAGCGGCCCAGCACCACCAAGACCCCTGCACAGAACTCTCAGGAAGTGGATGCGTCCTCCCTGAGGGGTCGTGGGAAGTAGGCACTGCCCGGCCTTTCCTCCCAACAGGCGCCCCAGGGGAAGCCGGCCTCCCGGGCTCGCTGCCTGGCGTCCACATTCCAAACCAGGCGACAGGGAGGCTCATCCCTCAGTCACGCTTCCTGCCGCTGATGGCAGCCAAACGGCCACGGCTTATCCGGTGACACCGAGTCACGAGAAAGCAAGCACGTCCATCAACCAGCACCTCGCGAGCCCCCCGCTTCACGCCCGCCTTTCCAAGGCACAGCCAGTGCAGCACCCGCTGTCCGGGCTCCAGAAATAAGCCACGTGCCCGCCTCCTGAGCCTGAACCATAAATGTCCTGTCCCCAAGCCCTGCTGGGCCCCGCCTGGGCCAACCCTACCTGTGTCTTTGGCAGCTCTCCTAGGGGCAGGCGGCTTGGGGGCCTTCTCTGTTTTGCAAGAACTACTTTTCATCCTTTTGGTTTTATCCTGTGCAACTTCAGTGAGAGGAGAAGAGGGAAGCAAGGGAGAGAAGGTTGAGTAGCAACACAGCACACGGGTCAGCCTGCTCTCCAGCCCCTGACTGTCCCCGCATGCCGCCCCCCTGTCCCCCCGGGGAAATCCCTTGCAGGGCTGGGCTCGCCTCGCCCTCCCTCATAGCCTTGCCCATGCACCAGTCCCCAGAGCCCCTGAGCACAGCACCCGGATCGAGCTGGCCCACAGCACTTGTGTTTGTTGAATGAATAAATGACTGGATAGGCCCACAGCAAAGCTGTGGCAGGCAGCTAGCCAGATGGGACATTGGCTCATCAGGGAGAGGTTCTTGTTGTTCAGCTGCTCAGTCGTGTCCGACTCTTTGTGACCCCATGGACTGCAGCACGCCAGGCTCCTCTGTCCTCCACTCTCCCCCGGAGTGTGCTCAAATTCATGTCCATTGAGTCTGTGATGCTATCTAATCATCTCAACCTCTGTTGCCCCCTTCTCCTCCTGCCCTCAGCATCAGGGTCTTTTCCAGTGAGTCGGCTCTTGCATCAGGTGGCCAGAGTGTTGGGCCAAGAGTAGCCCCTGCTCACTGCTACTAGAGAAAGCTCCGAAATATTGGAGCTTCAGCTTCAGCATCAGTCCTTCCAGGGAATCTTCAAGGTTGAGTCCCTTTAGGATTGATTGGTTTGATCTCCTCACAGTCCAAGAGACTCTCGAGAGTCTTTTCCAGCAACACAATTCAAAAGCATCAATTCTTCAGTGCTCAGCCTTCTTTAAGGGCCAACTCTCACATCTGTATATGACCACTGGAAAAACCATAGCTTTGACTACGCGGACCTTCGTTGGCAAAGTGATATCTCTGCTTTTTAATGTGCTATCTAGGTTTGTCACAGACAAACCTTCCAAGGAGCAAGTGTCTTTTAATTTCATGACTGCAATCACGATCTGCAATGATTTTTGAGCCCAAGAAAATAAAGTCTGTCACTGCTTCCACTTTTCCCCCTTCTATTTGCCATGAAGTGATGGGATTGGAAGCCATGATCTTAGTTTCCTGAATGTTCAGGGAAAGCAGTGTGCACCAGACCCAAAGGGGCCTTGACACGGCGGGGCTGCCCCAACTGGATGGGCGGGGACCTCCAGCAGGCACGGGGGCCGACCGCCCAAAGGCCAGTGTTTGGCCTGGCCCCCCTCTGTTTGACCTCATTCGTCTCTGTCACCTGCTGGGTGGGGGCTGCATCTGGGAAACACCAAACGCCCACCCAGCTGGTGAGCCTGAGAGCTGGGCCCCACCCAGCGTGTCCCCAGGAGACCAGGGGAGCATGCAAAGAGAAGAGTCAGGCCCCAGGGACTCCCAGGCCTATGCAGAGCAGCAGGGTTCCGGCCTTGGCACTCCACCACCCACCCCACTCCCACCCCAGCAGGAGCGGCCTCAAGCCCCAGGTTCACACGAAAAGGACAAACCCTGTAGGATTTCACTCATATGAAGTCCCTAGAGGGGTCAACCCCCTGGAAACAAAGTAACTTTGTACATAAACACAGTAAAAATGGTAAACTCTGTGTGTGTGGTGTGTATGTGCGAGTGTGCAGTCGTGTCCGACTCTAAGACTCCATGGACTATAGCCCGCCAGGCTCCTCTGTCCATGGGATTTCCCAGGCAAGAGTACTGGAGTGGGTTGCCATTTCCTACTTCCAGAGGGATCGTCCCAATCCAGTGATCAAACCTGCATCTCTAAACTTTATGTGTATTTTGCCACAACTAAAAAAAAAAAAATAAAGACCCAGGCCCTGACCCATGCCCTGCTTCCAGAGGATTCTAAAACGAGGAGGAGCTGGTGACCGACGCCACGGGGCACTGAGCTCCCTGAGACACCAGTGGCCGGGTCATGATTTCAGCCGATAGGCCCCGGCGGCCTCCGTGTGGGGGGACGGGGACAATGACCTGCTGGACGAGCCCAGGCCATCGAGGTCCTCTGTCCCCAAGGGGAGAGGCCAGGGAGTGCACGAGAGCCACCGCCGCTTCCAGGGAGCCGCCAGGGCCCACGATCAGGCCAGAGCTGGGTCAGAGACAGGCCCTGCCTCCTGGCTTCACGCGGCCGGCGCCCCTCACTCTGCCTGGGGCTGCACTGCGCTCGCACCTCTGGCTGGGCAGACCGGAAGCCAGTCTGTGGCTGCCAGCCAGAGGATGCAGACACCGGTGTCGACCAACCCTCATCCCACCCTACTCATCACAGCGCCACTAGGATAGGTGATGGACCTCTGAGGGCCTGACTCTTGAAAATCCTGGCCAGAGACCCCCAAAGCCTCGGGCCTCCAGGGCAGCCTGACCTCAGCTCCGGAGGCCTCTCCCTGCCCCTTTCTGGGGTCTCCAGAATCTTGCTGGACCATAGCGACGGCCCCTCCACCCGGCGCCCACCCCACACACTGACCAAGCAGTCAATGCCCAGACCTGCCGAGGTCTCCCTGCCCAGAACCTTCCAACTGTCCTACAGGCGGCGATGCCAAGGTTCCTTAGCTCTGGGAGCAGCTCCAGTCTGCCCCCCGCAACTCAAACTCACCCCTCCTTCCTGCTGAGTGAGACAGCGTCTACTGGTTCCCCGGGCCCCGGGACCCTTCCTCCCCCGTCTGGAGGTCTGCCAACCCACTGTCGACCCTTCAGCTTCTCCCAGGCTGGGCAAGGTCATCTGTGGGTCAGGTCAGCAATGCCTCCTGACTGTAGAACGGACCAGCAAGCCCAGGAACTGATGGGAGCTGAACAGCCTCAAGCCCAGGCTGTGGCCGGCCTGTGAGCATGCAGTGCAGAGAAGCTCAGCGACGGCTGTCCCTGCCCAGGCCCCCTGTGCTTTGAGCTCCAGCCTGCCCTGCAGAACCCGTCTGGATTCCTCCCCTGGTGACTGGAAAGCGGGCTCCAGAGAATGGCAGGCTGAGAGCAAATCCCTGCTTGGCCCCTTCACAGCTGGGGTCCTCTCTGACCCTCAGTATCGTCCTCGGTGAGTGGGGAGGTAACAGAGCCAATCCCACAGAGTGAGAGAGAGGCTGCCTGGAGACTGCCGGCTCCAGAACCATATGCTGCTCACACCTGGGCTGAGGGTCCAGGGGGGCGGGGGCGCTGGGATGGCTGCCCACAGGGCCACTCACCTGAGGCCTGGTGCTGGGAGACCCGGGAGGTCTCACGCCCCTGGCCGGGGGTCGCCTTCTCTTCGACTCCACTTTCAGTCCCACTCAGGATGCCTGAAGTGAAAGGAAAAGTGAGAGTCGCTCGTCCGTGTCCGACTCTTTGCGACCCCGTGGACCATACAGTCCCTGTCCCAGGCCTGGGCTTCCCTGGTGGCTCAGCTGGTCAAGAATCCGCCTGCGATGCGAGAGACTGGGTTCCGTCCCTGGGTTGGAAAGATCCTCTGGAGGAGGTCATGGCAACCCACTCCAGCATTCTTGCCTGGAGAATCCCCATGGACAGAGGAGCCTGGCGGGCTGCAGTCTGTGGGGCTGCACAGTCGGACACGACTGAGCGACGAAGCCCAGCACAGACAGGATGCTTGAGCCACGAGAAGGGGCATCGTGAGGACTGTGAGCCCGTGAAGCAAAGTCCAAGGGAAGGTCCCCCTGGTTTGAGGGTGCAGTCTCCCCTCGGAGGTCTCCTGGAGGCCTTCCTCCCATCCACGCGCCTCGCGCATGCTCCAGCCTCCCTGTACCTGCCCTTGCACCCACCCTCCCTCTTGTTTCCACCAGGCGGTCTCCATCTCCTGGATGAGTCAACGCTTCTTTGTGCTTAAACCCAGCTCGAATGCAGCCGCGGGAGGGCTCTGTCTGCACTCAGCTTCCCAGGCTCCGAGACCCTCTAGGGCTGCAGGGCACACTGGCCCAGCCTCCCAGGGGTCACCAGTCCAGGCGGGGCCGCCCAGTGCCCCGCACGGCCTGGCCTGCGGCAGCCCAACCTCCTCGCTCTCTCCCTTCTCCCTGCCTGTCCCTCTCCGGGGAGAGCTGCCCCACTGACCTGGGCAGGCCGGGGCTGGAGGGGGGTTTGGCGGCTTTCGGGCCTTCCTCCGGGGCGCTGGCGTGGGGGCCTTGCAGAGGTGTGAGGCGCTGGAGGGCGCCGAGGTGCCCAGCGAGGCACAGCTCGCCTGCCGCTGAGCTTGGGCCCGGATCTTGCCCCTCAGCTGCTCCAGTCGGGGGTTGCTCTCTCTCGGCTGCCGCGGGGGCCTCGGCACCTGGGGGGCCCTCTCGGTCCAAGTCCTGTGGGGCGGGGTGCACGAGCCGTGGCCCCCCGAGGAGCCGGAGAGGCGGCCCGATGACACGGAGCTGTCCCCATCCTTGGCCTCCTCGTCGGTCAACCACATGGGGACGCTGCAGGCCTGCCTCTGTTGGCCAGGCTCCTCGGTGTAGTCAGACCAGGCTGTCGGGGGAGATCCCCGCAGGGCGCCTGCCTGCCGGGGGCACTCGGGCCACCTCACGGCCGCCATGGCATCATCTTCGGCCACCAGTGGACAGAGCCTGCCTTCCCTTGGGGGAGAGAGGCAGACACAACCTGTCAGGTGCAGAGACACGGTGGTGCTGAGCAAAATGTCTCACATGCACCCCCCGCACACACCCCCAGCACCCTCCCACTCGCTGTTTTCCTGTCTCAGACCGAGAAAGGGATGAAAGGTGAATGTGAAGTCACTCAGTCATGTCCAACTGTCTGCGACCCCATGGGCTGTAGCCCACCAGGCTCCTCCATCCATGGGATTTTCCAGGCAAGAGTACTGGAGTGGGGTGCCACTGCCTTCTCCAGGAGCTCTTCCCAACCCTGGGATCGAACCCAGCTCTCCCGCATTGCAGGCAGACACTTAACCATCTAAGCCTCCAGGGGCTCAATCTCTGGAGAAAGGGATGAGGGGACAGTAAAATGCAGCCCCCTCTGCGGGTGGCGGGGCAGTGACACTCTCTCTTGGATCCCAACCACACTCCCTTCAGGTGGGCACCACCATTAGCCCAATTTACAGACTCAGGGAGAAGGAACACAGAAGCACCCTGGCCCATGACCTCGCTCCCCACACCACCTCGGCTGCCCTCCAGGGAAGGCGTGGCCACCTCCCTGACGGCACCACAACATCCACGAGCTGGCACGCGCACCTAAGTCGGCACAAACACGGCCGGACTTGGTGCTGGCCCTCCGGAACGCCGGTCCCCCCGGGGCCCCGAGGGAGATGGGGCACTGCCTCTGGCTCTCTTTAGGGTGGGGCTGGATCATGTACCCCTGGCAGGCGGGAAGCATCACCATGACTGAGGCGGACATGGCAGCAGGGCCGGGAGCGAAGGCAGAGCTGCTGAGCCTCCAGCACCGCCTGCCCTGGGGCCAGATGGTGCTTTCACGGGGCAGCCCCGGGTCCACAGCCCCATGCTCGGCCGCCCAGCATCCTCCCCAGCTTAAGGTGAGCTGGCCGCTGCCTGGCTCCTGGTGCTGGCCTGTCCCGGGCCCCTGGCCCATGCTGGAAACTCTCAGCACGGCCATGGAAACAGGGTGGGCACAGTGGGTTCTCAGGCCCTGGACTGGCAAAAGCCTGGGGCGGGAGGGCTTCCCAATGCACTGACCCTCAGTGGAGGGTGAGAATTCCAGGCAACCTCATGACAGCATAATAACCCCGTGTCACGCAGCAACAGAGAGCTGGGCCTGCATCTCCTGCTGGGACCCCAGGCAGCACGCCCACCCCAGTCCTCCTAGGGTGCCAGGGCCAGCGGCTGCAGTACGTGGTGAGCTGGCCTGGGCTGGGGTCAGGCTCGGCCTGGGCCAGAGCAGGGATGACATGAGGGGCTGGGGCCAGGGGCGGGCAGGGGCAGGTGTGGGCTCTGCTGCACGCAGGTGTTGGGGCTCAAGGGTCAGCTCCGGGTTGGGGTCAGCCTAAGGGTCCGGGCACAGGAGAGGAGCCAGCCCGGGGCACGTTGCCAGCAGCTGGGCGAGGGGCTAAGAGCCCCGGCCCTGATGCTTTGGCTTCTGGGAACTGGTCCAGGGAAGCGGGCCTGGTATCCCGCTCTCTGGCACAGGCTCAGCGCACCCCTTTGACCATAGAAATGGTCGCTGCGGAGGCCTGAGCGTCCCCACCTGGCCATCTCCAGCGGGCTTCCCGTCACCAGCTCGACGAGTCTGGCAGGGCGGCACGGCGGGAAGGACACGGGCTCTGCGGTCTGCTGGCCCTGGGCTCGGCATGGTCCCCCAGGAGGAGAGCTGGTTCAAATCCAGCTCCGCCCTAGCCGGCAGGGTAACCTCGGGCGACCAGAGACCCCACCCCTGCCCCTGGGTATTGTGAGCTCTGGCGAGTTCACCCCACAGCAGGGCCCTGCAGAGTGGCCGGCACTCACCAGTGGTCCGTCTGGGAATGGTTGAGGGGCTACGGCATTTACCAGCGTTAGCGATAGCTCTGAAGGCACTCCTTCCAGAATGGTCCCTAAAAAAGTGGGGGGTCTGCATCCAGAGACCCCCAGGCCCCCTAATTCCAGGCAGGCATGGAGAATGGAGCGCTGTCCTAGAGGTTCCTTCTAAGGGACCCGCCCTGGAGAACCAGGGACACCTGGAGACGCTGCTGCCTGGGCAGGCCGTGGGGCGGGGCTCTGGTCACCGGGACACAGCCGCAGGTTGCACTGCCAGTCGAGCGGGAGTGGCCCGGGACGGACCCTGCCTGGTGCCCCGGCTCCGCCCCGACTCAACCTCCCCTGCCATTGCACCGGGTTGGGGCAGGTACAGAGCCGCCTGGACCCCAGATCCAGCCTCCAGCCCTGGGGCCCTCAAAGCACACTGGTGGCCCAGAAAGATGGCATCCCTCTGCAGTCAGGTTCCCCAGCCGGGAGCCCTGTGGGGTCAGCTCTGGCCCGTGCCCCTGGCCCAGAGTTCCACCCTGCCCAGGCTGGCCCGCTCCACTGGGGACTTCGCTTGGTGAAGCTGAAATAGATTCAGGATGTTTGCAAGTGGCTGGGGCCCCGGGACCCTGACCCAGGTCTGCACAGGACAGCAGGCCCTTCTAGGAGGGCGGCAGGCCACAGTGGGTTGTGGCATGGTGCCCAGCACGCAGGAGGGGCGGCAGGTCTTAGGACATGGCCGCAAGTTCGGCTGGCGGGGGGACATCATCAGGAATGACCATGGTGTCCCCCACAGAGCCTCTAAAGCCTGGACAGCTGAGAGGACCCCCAGACAGCTCCACCTCCTTCATTCCCAAAGAGCCCCCTCCCCCCCGGCAAATCCCCCTGCGACCTTGGTGAGAATGAAAGCCCTTCCTGGCCCCCTTCGCTCTGGCTGCAGGATCACGCACCCGAGCAGAGGACTGACCCCATAGCTGAACGACTTCCCTTCACCAGGCACTCAGTCTTCCCCATCAATTGGGGTCCTTGGGGCAGGGGGCGTCCTCCCAGTGTGCTCCGGGCTCCCAGCCCCTCTGGAGGACAGAGAGAAAGGGTCATCCTGAGGGGAAGTGGCAGGAGCCCCAACACGATAAGTTTCTCCTAACAGATGAGCCTGTTGACGCCTTGTTCCCACCAGCAGGGACTAAGCTGCCCCCAGTGGTCAGCGGAGACTGACTTCTCCAGGAAAAAGCTGGGTCATAAACATGGAGGGGCAATCACTTCAAACCCTCCGTGTGTGTACTACATGTGTGTGCGTGCTCAGTCGTGTCCAACTCTGTGCGACCCCACGGACTGTAGTGCACCAGGCTCCTCCGTCCCTGGGATTCTCCAGGCGGGAACACTGGAGTGGGTTGTCGTTTCCTTCCCCAGGGGAATCTTCTCGACCCAGGGATCGAACCTCCTGCATCTCCTGCTTTGCAGGCAGATTGTTTACCTCTTGAGCCACCAGGGCTACTGGCGATAAAAGCACAATCCTAGCCACAAATGTGGGGTGAACTGGGAATCAAACCCAATGGCCTCTGTCGCCCTGTGACCTGTGACAAGCCCCAAGCAGGTTCCCTCTCCTCCTGCCCACTCAGCTGTAGAGCCCCTTCCAGACGCAGCTGCTCACTGGGGGAGACAGGCCACTCCCTGCCCAGGGCCGCCCGCTCTGGTCACCCCCGCATGCCACATCGCTCGTCCCCATGGGGGCAGCCAGCAGGCTCCGTGCTGGGCTGCAGCTGGATGGCCGTGAGCGGTGGTGTCAGCTCCCCGTAGGGTCGCGTTCTGTGCGGCTCCAAGAAGGCCGCTGGGCAGAGCTGGTGGTGGGGGGCGGAAAGCTGGCCTCCCCCCCAAGCGTGCCCCGCAGCATCTCAGCCGAGCCCCTCCATGCTGACCCACCCCCGGCTCCTGCCAGCCTGATGCACTCTCTGAGAAGATCCCCTCCCCTCCCTGGGAGTGGGGGCCCCCTGTCTGTCTGCTCCCCCTCCCCCGGGTCAGGGACGACCAGGGGGCGGGGGTGACCTGAATGCAGACACTCATGGCTGCTGGAGCCCCCAGCTCGGCCGGGCCCCGTGTGGAGGTGTGGGGGTCCCATTCCAGCTGTCCCGCGAGGGTCCTGTGGGAGGAGCCCCGCTCTGGCGGCTCAGAGAGGCTCGGCAGCAGTCTCGTGTCCTGGCCCCGGCAGGGCTGGAAGCCGGGCAGGAGTCTCTACGACCGGCCGCTCCCCCGGAGCTGGGAGAGACAGCACCCGCGGGTCCCCAGGGCCACTCTGAGTCTGATCAGAGCTGGGTGGGCTCACGAGGGATGGGGTTCTCGGCTGGGAGGGGCTGGTGCAAAGAGCAAGCCCATAGGCCCCGGGTCCCCTTGCCCAGCTCCTGGTGGGTGCGGCGGTGGGGTCCTGACTCCAGACTCGCCAGGTACCCATTGGTGACCTCGGGCAGGGCGTTCAGTCTGCTCATCAGCAAAGTGGGCACAACAGCAGCTTTATTCGGTGGGGCTCTCATGAGCGCCAGAAGACACCTGGTACTCAGCACCCGCCCCCCAGGCCGGGCACTGCCTGAGAAGGGAGAGCCGGACGCTCTGTCCACACTCGGCCCAGCCCAGGCCCCCTGCCGTGCCCGCCCCCCCACAGCCAGACCAGAAAGCGGTGCTGCGCCCGAGCAGCTGGTTCTGTCCCTCGCTGCCACCAGGGGCTGTCCCTGGCCGGGGGTTACCGGCCCCACCCCCCACCTCCCCTGCAGCCCGCTGTATCTGGCGCTGTCTCCTGGAAGCCGGCCTGGCTCTGCTCCAAACAGCCGCGCTGTTTACTGTCCCCGCCGCAGCCCCAGGACCGCCGGCCTGAGCAAGCCCGAGCAGGCTGCGGCCCTCGGTCCACCACGCCCACACCCCGGGGCCCCGGGCAGAGACCACAAAGGAGGCGCAGCCGCAATGGTGGACAGGGCCCTGCACGTCGCCATGGCACCTGCCGGCCGCCGGCCCAGCCCTGGGAGGAGGGGCCCGAGAGTCTCCAAGGAGCAGCGGGCCGGGGGCGCTGAGGGCCGGGGGGCTGGGAGGCCGCAGGAGGCCGGCCCGAGGCTGAGCCAGGCCCAGGCCTATCGGGACGTGGGGCCCATCGGGACGTGACCTGCAGACAGCCTGCCCTGAGGCTCAGAGACAGACGTGTCCCCTCGGCCAACCGCCATACGCACGGACACACAGCACACACACAGACACACACCTCACACAGACACACACAGATACACACCTCACACAGACACACACCTCACATACAGACAGACACGTCACACACAGACACACAACACACACACAGACACACAACATACACACACCACACACAGACACACAACACACACCACACACAGACACACACCTCACACACAGACACACACCTCACACAGACACACACCTCACACAGACAACACACACAGAGACACACACCACACACAGACACACACCTCACACACAGACAGACAACACACACACAGACACACACCTCACACACAGACAGACAACACACACACAGACACACACCTCACACACAGACAACACACACACAGACACACACCTCACACAGACACACACCTCACACACAGACAGACACCTCACACAGACAGACAACACACACACAGACACACACCTCACACACAGACACACACCTCACACACAGACAACACACACAGACACACACCTCACACAGACACATACCTCACACACAGACAGACAACACACACACAGACACACACCTCACACAGACACACACCTCACACACAGACAACACACACACACACCTCACACAGACACACACCTCACACACAGACACACACCTCACACAGACAACACACACAGAGACACACACCTCACACACAGACAGACAACACACACAGACACACACCTCACACAGACACACACCTCACACACAGACAGACAACACACACAGACACACACCTCACACAGACACACACAGATACACACCTCACACAGACACACACCTCACATACAGACAGACACCTCACACAGACACACACCTCACACAGACAACACACACAGACACACACCTCACACAGACACACACCTCACACACAGACAGACACGTCACATACAGACAACACACACAGACACACACCACACACAGACACACACCTCACACACAGACAGACAACACACACAGACACACACCTCACAGACACACACCTCACACACAGACAACACACACACACACCTCACACAGACACACACCTCACACACAGACACACACCTCACACAGACACACACCTCACACACAGACAACACACACACACACCTCACACAGACACACACCTCACACACAGACACACACCTCACACAGACACACACCTCACACACAGACAACACACACACACACCTCACACAGACACACACCTCACACAGACACACACCTCACACACAGACAACACACACACACACCTCACACAGACACACACCTCACACACAGACAGACAACACACACACACACACCTCACACAGACACACACCTCACATACAGACAGACACCTCACACAGACACACACCTCACACAGACAACACACACAGACACACACCTCACACAGACACACACCTCACACACAGACAGACACGTCACATACAGACAACACACACAGACACACACCACACACAGACACACACCTCACACACAGACAGACAACACACACAGACACACACCTCACAGACACACACCTCACACACAGACAACACACACACACACCTCACACAGACACACACCTCACACACAGACACACACCTCACACAGACACACACCTCACACACAGACAACACACACACACACCTCACACAGACACACACCTCACACACAGACACACACCTCACACAGACACACACCTCACACACAGACAACACACACACACACCTCACACAGACACACACCTCACACAGACACACACCTCACACACAGACAACACACACACACACCTCACACAGACACACACCTCACACACAGACAACACACACACACACCTCACACAGACACACACCTCACATACAGACAGACACCTCACACAGACACACACCTCACACAGACAACACACACAGACACACACCTCACACAGACACACACCTCACACACAGACAGACACGTCACATACAGACAACACACACAGACACACACCACACACAGACACACACCTCACACACAGACAGACAACACACACAGACACACACCTCACAGACACACACCTCACACACAGACAACACACACACACACCTCACACAGACACACACCTCACACACAGACACACACCTCACACAGACACACACCTCACACACAGACAACACACACACACACCTCACACAGACACACACCTCACACACAGACACACACCTCACACAGACACACACCTCACACACAGACAACACACACACACACCTCACACAGACACACACCTCACACAGACACACACCTCACACACAGACAACACACACACACACCTCACACAGACACACACCTCACACACAGACAACACACACACACACCTCACACAGACACACACCTCACATACAGACAGACACCTCACACAGACACACACCTCACACAGACAACACACACAGACACACACCTCACACAGACACACACCTCACACACAGACAGACACGTCACATACAGACAACACACACAGACACACACCACACACAGACACACACCTCACACACAGACAGACAACACACACAGACACACACCTCACAGACACACACCTCACACACAGACAACACACACACACACCTCACACAGACACACACCTCACACACAGACACACACCTCACACAGACACACACCTCACACACAGACAACACACACACACACCTCACACAGACACACACCTCACACACAGACACACACCTCACACAGACACACACCTCACACACAGACAACACACACACACACCTCACACAGACACACACCTCACACAGACACACACCTCACACACAGACAACACACACACACACCTCACACAGACACACACCTCACACACAGACAGACAACACACACACACACACCTCACACAGACACATACCTCACACACAGACAGACAACACACACACAGACACACACCTCACACACAGACAACACACACACACACCTCACACAGACACACACCTCACACACAGACAGACAACACACACACACACACCTCACACACACACACACCTCACACACAGACAACACACACACACACCTCACACAGACACACACCTCACACACAGACAACACACACACACACACACCTCACACAGACACATACCTCACACACAGACAGACAACACACACAGACACACACCACACACAGACACACACCTCACACACAGACACACACCTCACACACAGACAACACACACAGACACACACCACACACAGACACACCCCTCACACACAGACAGACAACACATACAGACACACACCTCACACAGACACACACCTCACATACAGACAGACAACACACACAGACACACACCTCACATACACATAATACATACACCTCACACACACAGACATGCAGTGCATACCATACACAGACACCAAACACAGACACACAAGAGACACAGACACACACAAGCAACATAAGACACCACAGACAACACAGTATACACACATAAACACACCACACAACCACAGACACCCAACAGACACACAGCACACCCACACGACACACACAGGCCCAGCGTGTCCCCCGGGTGAGCTGGAGCCGTCTCCGTGCCCACGGCCACACAGCCCAGAGACCTGCCCTGGGCACCACCTCCCTCCCAGACTAGGAGCGCCCAGCGACCCCAGACAGGAGGCCCTGCACGTGACTCACCCAGCCTGGCCCGGCCCCCAGGAGGCCCCCAGTCCTCAGCGGGGGCCGCAGGCACGAAGACCCCTCCTGGGGGGCAGGGCGGAGGAGGGGAGCTGGCCTGCACTCGGCCCAGCCCAGGGAGAAGGGCCTGGGAAGGCTGGGCGGGGCTCAGGCGGAGCCCCCCGAGGACTCACCCGCTGGAAGGCTGGGAGGGCCGTGGCCCAGAAGCGGGCGGCAAGCGGAGCGCGGGGGCCAGGGCACCCAGGCCTCCGGGCTTGCGGGAGGCCAGGCGCCAGGCTGGGAGGGAAGCCGCCCTGATGTTGCCAGAGAAACCCTGGCGTCTGTCTGATACTGGGACTCCTCCTCCAGGCGCGGAGCCTGGGGACCCGTGCCAGGCGCCAGGGGCCTCACCTGGGCCAGCGCCCCGCCTGGGCAGAGGCAGGCAGGCCTGCAGGACAGTCTCCCCACGCCCCGGAACTGCCCGAGTCCCGCCTCCGCGGTCGCGGGGCCCATCCAGCCCGCTGTCTCCCTCCTCCCTAAAGCCCCCACCCACTACGCGGGGCTCTGGGAGCAGCGGCCCTGGAGGTGGACGGGCACCATCCCTTCTGACTCAGGATACCAGGCGTGGGTCCCTGGGCAGTTCACGCCTCCAGAGCAGCCCTCCAAGCCTGGAGACCAGGTGGGTGGGGGCAGAGGGTGGCGGGGAGGGGAGGTCCCAACAGAGCACACTCACAGCCTACAAAGCCCCTCATGACCTTGGGGTCACCATGGCAGCCCCCGCCGGAATGGCGGGAGGTAGTGGGGGGTGTTGGGCACCTGTACCAGATAGATCCACATGCGGATGGGTCTTGGGGTCTGGGTGGCTGGGTTGGGATCTGACGCTTTCCTGTGGCCCTTATGCTGGTTTTCCAACTAGGGGCCCTGGTGAGTGGAGGGGGAGGTGTGTCCATTCCCCCATCCACACCCTGTCCAGCTCCAATCGAGGGGGGGGCAGGATGGTGCCCAAGGGTCCTGGGGGCTGCCCGATAAACGTCCAAGTGTCCCCTGCCGACAACTTAGCTGGCTATGGGGCAGTGCCAGCAGGTGGCGCCCTCTTCCCATCATAGTGGGGGTGCTGCGGGGTGGTCAGTGTCCCACAGGGCTTTGCTGTTCCTGCCACACCCCACCCCCACAGTTATGTTTCTCCCCACCCAGAAAATTCTAGAAAATAATCTTTTGCCAAGAAAGCCTCTTGGTGGTCAGAAAATTTGGATTTAGGGGACAGAAACTTGCAGCAGCCTGGCCTCTTACATACTCAGG